TGATTTGTTCTGTAAAAGGTTAGAAATTGAGCATAATAATCAAAAGGATATGCTAATAAGGATATTTTATCGTTATGATTAGTTGTCCTTATCATTCTATCATTGTTTCTGGAATAGCAGAAAGGATTGATGTTAAATTTGATAAAATTGAAAGTATCCAAGCAAAATAATTCAACAAAAAATATAAAATAAAATTTCTCTGCAAAAATGAACAATCAAAAATGAAATCAAATATGGCATAGCTTATTAGAATGTAAATTATAGTCTCATTAAAATTTAACTGACCCTTACTGAGATACATAAAAGTACGTTTCAGACTTTAACTTCAAATTCAAATAAATATACATAGCTTTTACTCTATGAACAGATTTTCATCAGTCGTTCAGTTTTATATTTTTGCTTATTAAATCAAAATTAATTATTTCAATTAAATTTTTGAAAAGTTAAAAAAAGATTAAAAAGTAAGTTCCTTTCTTTTTTAAAGTATTATTTATATATGTAATAATAAAAGCTGAAAAATTTTTGAAAGAAAAAATAATTCTTTCTTTTAATGTAAATTTTATTATAATTTTTTTAATGAACACTTCAATGGCTACCTTTGGCATTATTAATTTACTTTATTAATTACTTCATTAATTTCAAAAAGTGAAAATTAAAGTGAACGAACGATTTCGAAATGAAAAAATTTTTAAGGAAACAACAAATAGAGCAGTAAAAGGAATTTTCGATTTCAATTTTCGTCATTTTTCAACGATTTCATCACTTTAATTTTTATTTCATGATTTGCAGTTTTATGTATTGTTTTATAATTTAATTATAACGAAAAAATTTATATTTCAACTTTTAACTAATTAACATTTATATGTGAAACGAGGAGACGATGAAGGAACGCAATTAAAAACTATAAACAATTCATGCAATGCAACCAATTAAGTAAAAGTAGGAATGATTGGAAGAAATGAAAGATGTAAGGGTGAATGAGAGAAGTTAAAAATTAAACAAATGATTATTTAAAGGTAGATGTATTTAATTTAAAACAATTAATTTGTGTTAATCTTTTTATCACTTTTTTTTCTTCACCAAACTAATTCCATCGATATAATTTCATCCACTGAAATTAACTTTCAAATCAATGAACGAAATTATTTTCTTTATGCTAATTACAATTCGTTCAGCTATAAATTATGTCTGATACTGCATATTCTGAGGTGCTGCTTTATCAGATATTGATAAAAACTAAACTTTCAGTTTCCGAATACAAAAAAAAGTTGATAATTGATAAATTTAAATTTGTGTGCTTTTGCAATCAGTATATAATGAAAAATTTGAACTAAATGATTATCACTAAAAATGCTTATCATAGATTTATTAAGAAACATATGATACAAATATTATTTTAAAGGAGAAAATTTCATTAAACTATTGAAGGAAATATTTTAATTATACTTTTAAAAATTTAATAAATATTTAAAGAAATTTAGTAAATTAGTGAAAATACGAGATGATAAATGGAGAAAGGTATATGATGACAAAGTTGCTGACAGCATCTCATCATTTTCCGTTTTTTTTTTTATCAATAACATTGTCCGACTAATTCTTCTGTTAGAACGGATCCTGTTTTTGCCGATGATTAATTTGTTATTAAAAAAGAATAAAAGAATATCATCATTTATATTTCGTTATAAATCTGATTTTAGTAAAACAGGATTTATTTATTTATTTATTTATTTCTTTTGCAAAGAATCGATTAAATTTTTTTTCAATTTTATTTATTTATGTTACAAAATTGCTATGTAAATAATCATAATGATGCAAATTTTTCTTCAAACAAAGTTCAAATCTTCGAATTAAAATTCAAAACAAAACAATGAAAATAACTCATAAAATGTTAATATAATTATTTGATGCAAATAATACTTACGTTTCAATATTATCAATAAATTAAAGGATCTAATAATTAATAATTAATTTCTATTCAATTAGATGAAAATCGTTAATTAATCCACAACAGATCATTTTATCGTTTGATAATTTATATTTTATTGCTTTATAGTTTAGTAAATTTTGAAAAAGTTAGCGAAAGGAGTTTTATCGGCAATTTGTGAATTACAATAAAAATGAAATTAATTTTACATTGTTGAAAATATTCTGAACACATCATTTATAATTTTTTGCTAAGCAGCAATTTGCATTATTACCGTAGCTATTATTATTATTATTATTATTGTTTAATTATTATTATTACTGTTAATACTATTATTAGTAATAATATTATTATTATTACTGTTATTGTTATCAATAAACCTATTTTACTGCAATTAATAAATATATGAAAAGGATAAAAAATTATTATGCACACTTCTAAAAATTTCAAAATTTTCGACACAAAGCTTAAAAAAACAATAACGATAAATTTCCATCAACCTTTAACTATTGAAAGAATAAATTCGATAAAGGGAAAGAAATAAGGAGAGAGAGAGAGAGAGAGAGAGAGAGAGAGATTCAAGGTTAAAAGAATATTACTATTACTAATTATTCCGAAATTTCATCAAATTACCAAACTTTTTGTTTTTTTTTTAAAAAAGAGAGAATGCGAAGAGCAAAATTCTTAAATGTCCAGAAATGACGATAAGGATGATACGGATGATTTCATGGTAATGATGTAATGACACCGATTTATGACTTTTTTGAGATCTTCCATCTGACAACTTCCAATATTCATTGAGCGATTAAATGGGAAATACAAAACAGTAACAATAGAAGAGATATCAGGAATGCGGGAATGCGGGAATGCAGAATTGAAAGGAATAGAGAGCGAAAATATCAATTCTAATCATATTAAATGTAAAAAATAAATTGATCTACTGTATTTATTTAATTTTTTATGCAGATATTAGATTTTCGAATTTCTTTTCTAAAGATATTTTTGTAGTAATTTGATGTAACGTTAAATTGAAAAGTTTTAAATTATTTCACAATTTGAATAATTTACAATTCATTGATCTTGATTCTGTAATCAATTATTGTTTTTTCTAATCTCATAATGATACGATAAGTGCCCACAATGTGCTATTACAGTAGGATTGATTCAAAATACTTGCATTCTAGATTTGTTCGATTCTTATCATTTATCAATTCATATGCAAATTTTTCTAACTTAAATTTTATATATTATAAGCATCTGACAAACCTATACATTGTACACCTGGTAATTCAATTCTTATATGCAATGATCGTATTGTAATCAGCTTTTGTTTTTTACAGCTTACATTCTTGTATTCAAAAGATTTGTCAAATTGTGCTTGTTGTAAACTACTCTTACGTTTTCTCTCTCTCTCTCCCTCTATATAAATAGTGCTAGGTTACAGAAGTCATTTACTCTTCAACTTCAACTTTTACTTTTCGTCAATAAAAATAACCTCCACGTTATTCTACACTACTCTCATTCACTTCCAAGCGAATCTCTCTCAGATCAATAAATAACGAAAACTTTATATATTATTAATAAATCCTTGACAGCTTTCCCATATTGACAGCGTTCAAAGAAGGAAATCTCTCCCAAATAAGAGAAATTAACTTTCATCAAATATTCCATCGTTCCAACCTAAAGCTTACCAATAAAAGTCACACAAAAATAGCTATCTTGCGAAAGTGACCAGTGATAATATGCTAAAAATAGATCGTAAAAAAGTATCTGGCAAAAGAATCATAGGACAGTGTTAAGATACAGAATCTTCTAGTTATCATATTATCTCCACCTTATCATTTCTCTTCTTTGCTATCTCAAAGAAAAGAATTTTTTTTCATTCATTTGAATTTCTCTTACTTAAAAGATCTAATTGATTTTATTATTTTAACTAAATTATTTTAGACTTGATTTTATTATTTTAGACTATGAAAAATCAAACATTAAAAAATAAATTATGCAAAAAACTGTTTTCTTTTTAATAATGTATAATTTATAATTTAAAATATTTTAATAGCTAAACGGAATTATTTCAATTTTATAATTTCTGTATACTTTTTCTTCCTCTCTCTCTTTGCATAGAAATGAATAGAAATTTAATGATGAATTTTAGTTCATGAAGTTTATCAATATTGATTTTACAGTATAACACTTCATCTCGATTATATACCATCGTTAAATTGAATTAACTCTATTCATCACTTAATGAGAAAAATTTAATTTCTTCAACAAATAAAATTTACAATAAGTTGCTACTGAATTAGCTAATTATCATCGGAAGAGAATTTGTGTGTGAATAGCGCAAAATGATTTCTTTTATTACTTAAAAATTTGCTTAATATTAAAGAGTAGCAATATTGATTGATTTGTAAGCTATCGATCATTCTTATTTTTATTATAGCTGTGATAAATTTCAATTTCATTTTTAAATATTATTTCTGCAATTTTATTACTTCGAAAACTATACACTTTATGTCTAAAATAAATGATATGATAACAAAATGCATAGTAATTTTAATTATATAAAATGAATAAAAGCAAAGAGTTTTATAAATATTGCAAACGTTAAAGTTTTAATGTAAGTTTTAAATAATAAATATTAAAAGTATTTCTTACAAACATTTGTTTTTGTTGTTCCAAATATATACAAAATGCATTTTAAAATACATGAAGATAATTTTAAGCATAACAAATTCCAATTATTCATTTTATATTTGATTTTGATCGATTATGAAATTGCTCAAAAAATATTACAAATATGCGTCCATACATTGTTATGATCGTTATTATATGCAAAAATTTCATCACAACTATTTTAGAATTTTGATATCAATAACAGATTAGAAATCAATAGCTATCAATGTGATAATCAATAAACAATTAAATACTAAATTTATTTCTGACACTTTTTTTATAATTTTCCGCATAAATACATACATGTTATAAAACAAATCATGAAGAGAAAATGATACTTCAATAATTTCGTTCATCTTTTTATCAAATTTCAAATTTTGATGTCTAATTCAACGCTTCATCAACAATTCATAGTTGAGCAACAAACTTTGTAACCATATCGATAAGACATCACACAATTTTGTGCATCGAAAAATGGACAACTGTCAGCTGTAGAACAATGTAATGGCTTGTTGGTACCCGGATAAAATTTTACTTTGCCTAAAATTTCGAAACCTTTTTTTATTAATCGTTTATTTTTTTCTTGTACTATTATCTTTCAGAGACTAATTAATATTTTGTACGACTTCATAAGGAAAAGTAGAATTATCAAACTGAAATTAAATTATTCACCAATTTGATTCCATCATCCAAATGATATCATTTTACAAAGGTTTCTTCATCAGAAATGAATTTTAACTAATTGCTGAACTGATGTTTTACTTGTAATTTTTTTAAGCAAATTTTGATAAATCAAACCATAAATTTTGTTAGCATTGGTACCACAGCAAATATATTGTCCGCCATTTTGGAATTCATTGTATTCGCAAAAGTAACCAACTGTACAGGGCCAATATAAACAATTCTTCACCGTACCATTCATATATTCCACTTCAGCGCTTGGATCAGCGCATTTTGCTAAATTTTTATCGACAAATTTCGAAATCATTAAATCAGCATTAATCGATAAAGGGAAAAAGAAAGAACAGATAATGAAAAAGTCATTTATAATAATTATTTTCAACGTTTCGCTTTATTTTCGTTCTTGCCTTCTTTAAAATTATGCTTACTTCAAGTTATTATAAAGTTGTAAACAAACAAATTGTTGGTTATTTTGAAAACTTTAAAAATTAGAATTAAAATTTGAACGAATCAAAAGTAAATAAGAAGTAGTTAAGTTTACGTTTTATAGTATCATCATCCATTCGCATTACACAATGACCATTGATACATAAAAGTGATGGATACCATTTGTCGATACATTGTTCACTATATACACATGCTTCACCTAATAGAGCAAATGGATAGCATCGTTCACCAATGGCTATCTGATTTCCAGGACATGCTAAAATTTCATCAACAACAACATTTGGATTTGTTTACAAGAATTGTGAATAGATAAGTCAAAAGGATTGAAATATATTGATTTCCTGATTAGATTATGACTGAAATCTAATCTAACAATAAAATGTCCATAATTTAAGCTTTATTATATTCAGCATTAAGAATGATTGTATTAATGATATGATCACAAAATTAATTTTTCATACTTTAAATTCTTTCTAAAAAATTTTCATCATTAATTTAGTTCTTAACATTCACTACGATGTCTCATTTAACAATTTAACATTCTTCCCATTCACTTTTAATTTCATTAATTTATCAATCAAAAGTTTCGAATTAATTTAATAAAACTAAAAAAATTATCACTTTCCCATCATTTCATAAATTCTCTTAAATAAACTAGAAAATTAATTAGATCAATTTTTTTATTGCATAGCGATATAATTAATTTTATTCATTAATTAAGCAAATTTAATACTATAATTGCTAACTCTTAGAACGCGAAATACATTTGCTTCCATCAAAAGCGTAACCCGATTGACAAAGGCAAATTCCATCGGTGCAAAAAGCGCCAATATAACCACATTGTTGAGTAAAATTACACAGAAAACCATAAGTTACTTTCCGATAGCACTGTCCATTTATCGAAATTTGATTTGATGGACAAAAGATTGGAGCTATAATAAATATCACAAATGTTGATTAAGATTACGTTGAAAATTGTATATACCATAATTATGAGTATACCATAATGAATATACCATAATATACCATAATTCAAATTAGAAATTTAACATTTCATACAATGATGAAAATTTCCTATTCCTTATCTTTTTCTACAATAAGCGTTTCTAATCTTTTCATGTATTATATATTTTGGTCTCTCTTAATTACCTTTGTTCGTTTACTTTAACTCTTCAAAATAAATGCAATTTAAGGTGAAAAACTTTATGGTAATAAATCCACAATAATTTGTATAATGCAGGACTAATCAAAAATTTTAGTAAAAAAAGCACACCTATTGCAGTACATGAATAGCCATCGTATTTAGAATCGCTGGCGCATTGGCATACGTGTGAAATGCATTTTGCGCCAAATGTATTGCATTGTACTGTCATCGTACAGTATCCACCATATGGTACTGTATTTACTGTACCTAAACTCGAAGCATTACGAGGAAATAAATTTGTATAGTTTTTAGAGTATACGAATATATATTGAAAGTGTTAGAGTAAACGGAAATTTGATTTAGAAAGGCGAATTATTTCCTGAAAAGCTAAAAAGTTTCGAATAACCTGAATTATTTGAGCAGCAAACTCCATGGAAGCAATAATATTCTGGAGAGATATTCTGACATTGTATGTTCGATATACACCGATAACCGCTTAAAAACGGTATACTACCCATTGGGCATTGTCCCAGTACAAAATGCGATGATGCTCAAAAGTTCCAAAACCACATTTCAATAATATTATTGATCAATTTCAAATTTTAATTATGAATTCATATAAGAAAAGGTTTTTGCAATCCTGATAATGGATTAATCAAAACCATATTTTTGGTACGTAGTTGCACTACCAATAGTAGACAGTTTCTAGGAATAATTTAATGGTCTAACGATAAAATATACTCTTAAACTAAATACATACAGTATGATAGTGATAATTACATACAGTATGATAATGATAGTATGATAATTAAATAAAGAAAATTTTTTAAAATGAGTACGATATTGAAAATATGCATTTGTAGAAGAAAGACTGAATTAATATTTTGGTTCACTACATTCGACGTATTAAATGCATTAGACTTTTTTAATAGAAATGTAATAAAATGGACAGTAAGGGTTGAAAAGTTGTTATACCTGTCAATAATAACGTAAGAAGTGATGGTAAGAATTGCATCCTGAAATGAAAATATTGTTAAAATAATTTATTACAATAAATACAAATTAATCCTCTTTTAATCGACCATTTTCAAATCTGTTCTACCGGAATGTCTGCAAATTTCCGGTTATTTCGAGCGAAAGGAGCCGGTAATGAAAAAAAAATCATTTCTAATTTCATTTTTAACATTTCCGAAATTTCCAAAATAATTTGTTGGCATTAGAATTTAGCGAATTAAGGAAATCTTTTAATAAACAAAAAGAAAACAGTAAACAATAGCAAACCTTTTACGTGAAAAATAAACAACAAGAAATAAAAAAAGAAGTATCAAAAGTTTCAATTTATTAGCCTTTCTCTTATTAGATACAATAAGAAAGTTGGCTTAAATACATATAATCGTATCTTTTAGCTTATAAACATAACAATTTCATTACTCTCTCTCTCTCTCTCTCTGTCATTCAGCATATTTCCGGTTTTTGGATCTATAACTCCTCCTGATATTATTTATTTTTATTGAGAGGATGTTATTCTCGTACCGTCTAAGCTGCTCTTTAGTTACGAAATACTTAAGATTGTTTATTCTTTGATTCATCCTGATTTGAAGTAAATAGTTAATTTTTTTTCTTGTGAGAAATTTAGACAGATCTTTGAAGATGAGAATGTCTTTTTAGTTTGCTTAAAGATTCCGAAAAATATTTCCTTCCTTGTCATCCAACCGGATTAATACCGGAAAAGAAAATATTCCCATTTGTATGATCTTCTATAATAATTTCAAAGGTAATTTGTTCGAAATCTCAAATATCATCAGATGAAGTACTTCCTATGATAATTTGAAATTCATTTATCCAATTAGCTCCAAAATTGTTTTTATAATGGCTTTGCGGTGTTTCATTTAATTATACTCTAATTAAAAAATGTTTCAAATTGAAGATTGACCTCTCCAATATTCCCCTTCAAATTAATTAAGGCTTATTTTGAATAAATTATTTTACTCAAACATTCCTGATACTTTCATTTCTCACTTTAATAGTTTTAGCTTTCTTAAACTAGTTGAATTGTTGAATATTTTGAGCTGTATTAAAGAAATAATTTCAGCAGAAGAAATTGAAATGTAGCTTGAAATTTTAGTATTGATTCATAGAAAAATCTAACTATTCTTACTGGTCGTATTTTCATTTACAGCCTATGTTGGTAGTTCGTCATTATCAGGTAGGTAAACTGGTAAATTAGTATAGCAATAGCAATATCAACATCACTTAATTCACCATTAAATCATAGTCACGGAAAATTGTTCCTGCCATATATTCAGCGTGAAATTCATTTAAGAGGATAAGAAAGCTTTATAATTGTCATACACTTCTGTTTAACATATCCGTCACGGAAAGAACATGCATAGAGATTTCCTGTTTACAGAAACGGAGAATGAAGATCACAAGATTTTGTTTTCATTAATAATTATGAAAATAAAGGAAAAGAAGCACTTTGTTTACACACCAACAACCATTGATTTACGAAATGGTACTTTGAGTCATTTCACATTTTGAAAGGATAATTTTGAGGGGAAATATCAATACAATCAGTTTGGTTGAATTATCATGGTGAAGCAAAAAAGAGACTTCTTCGAATGATCGCAATAATGGAAATGATAGGAAAGTGATAAGATCATTTAGAATAGTCAATCTTTTTATACAACGGAATAAAAATGGTGTATTTGCATTGCGCAGCGTTATTTTGAAATTAATTAATAGAAAATTACTTAAAGTGGTTAAAAACAAAATGAGGATAGATTTCTCAGCGTTAAGGTTGCAAAAAGTTGCAAAGAAAACTCAGAAATTCAATTCGTTAATTTTAATAAATGCATGAGAAGATTACAGGTAATTGCAAATCATTCTTTCAATAAAGATCATATCAAATTTTTATTAGTAAAAAAGGGCCGATTATTATATAAATTTCAAATCTGTTAAGTTTGAAGTTATCTAAAAAAGTTGAAAATTTCGAAACGTTGCAATATAAAATAACTTTGGTATTTTACAATTCATTTTTCCAACAGACAAAAAAAACTAAATAAGAGAAATTCAAGAATTTAAATTTAGGTGTGAATAATTTTGGTTAGACTTAAATAACCAAAAGCCAAATTCTGATATATTGTCTTTATTTTTAAAAAGTGAGCACCGCGGTAAACAAACTATTTCACCTTTCATCTTTGCTAATTGAAATCGACATGTATGTTGTAAACATTTTTATGGGATTTTTTTAAGGGAAGGTTTGCTGAATGGTAGTAAGGCCTAATTATTTTGTAGTAAAGTTTGTTCATCTTGACGCTATAATATAATTATCAAAGAAATAGTTAATTGAGATCGATCGATTATTATGCTATTCTCCTTTACATGTTGATCAGGAAGAATAATTTCAAATCCTTCGTTGAGGTGTTGCATGAGAAGAGCGGTAAGTTACATTGAATCAGTTAAGTTACATTAAGTTACAAATACGCTTCTTTCAAGTGTTCGGTAAACACTGCTTATGATAACTAGTCAATTGGTCATTTTGTATATGAAACTTATGCGGACCAATGAATCGTCTGGTCATTCGGAAGATAAACTGATGGTAAACACGAAGTCATTGGATTTAAATCACTCGGGGCATTCTTTAAAATCGTAAATCTAGTAAATATATAAAACAAATCACATCATTTCACTGAAAATATACGATTGTCATAACATAAACATGAGAAACATAAAAGATGCATTGATTATTTAATGATTTTTCTATTATAAGGTTATTTTGGTTTTCCGACAATATATGTTGATGTATTTATAAATGAATTTACGGAAGTATGGAATTTGTATTCATTCATCGTACCTTCCAGTTTTTTCAAAGTTTGCAAATACTGAAAAAAGAATTTTGACTTCCAACTTTAAACATAAATTGTAAGATAGAAGAAATTAAGCTTCAATAAAACAAAAGAAAAACGAAATATAGCAAATATGTTGATAAGATTATTTCTAAATTTCTATCAGTTAGGAAGTCAATGAATTCAAAAAAGGAAATGCTAACTAACTAAATTCTTCTTTGTAACCAAATTATATTTGTGTAAAGATTCAATTAGAAAAATATTTTCCTTTAAATTAATTATATTAATTATATATGTTGTCCATTCTTATCGAATTAAAATTTATCCATTTCACAGAACAATAAATTTATGACAATGAAGATTAAATTAATTTAATACAAAGAAATTTATTGAAGCTTTATGTGATAATAAAGTTTTGTTGATTTTTCTGCTTGCTTGTTTTTGCTAGCAAACTAAAAAAACAAATTTGAGAAAATTTTAATATAAAATAAACTTGCTTGTATAACATTAACATATATTTATATAAATATAATTTAAATGCATTAATTCGTTTTTATTATAAATGTAAAATTTACCGTAACTATTCTTATTTGTTTATTTATCGTTTCAAAAACAATTTAAATGCAATTCTAATAAAATAAAAATATAATTTAACCGAACGAAGTTCAATTTATTCATTCATTGCACTCTTTGTTTTAATTATTTAATTATTTCATATTTTTAATAAACAATTATTTGTAAAACAATGATAGAATGCAAAAAACTCATTTCAGCATTTTCTGCGACAGTAAGAGAAAAAAATGGCGAAAGAAGAAAAGTATGCGTTAATTCAGGTGATATCAATATTTCCATTCATTTCGAATTTCCTATAATAAATACCGAAAAATAAGTGAATGGAAAGGAAAGGAAACAATATTTTGACCATCACAGCTAGCTGGACAAATATATGTCTGAACATTTATTTATTCTTCCTATTTTGTGCAGTTGCATAAACTGACCACAATCTCTTCTTTATATGCCATTTTTTCAAAATTTTCATTTCATTACAACAATCTTTTTTTCTCTCATTTTTCTACTATATTTCATCTCTCGAGAATTTTTAAAATACAATGAAAGCATTAAATTGTTTACGGTATCTAAAAGTTTTCAGTTAGAAAATAATGTATTATTTTGGCGTGTTTCTGGTATTATTTTGATGTACTAATTTTTTACTCTCTTGACCTTTTGACCTGCTATCTTATTTATTGTTATAATATTAACTTTATGCAAACTTCTCTTTGACGATAAACCCAACCGTTTCTTTTTCTCCTAAAATTTTCCTCTATAAGTCTTGCTAAATTTCTGAACAAAAATGCTAATTAGTTAATATGTTGATTGTTAAAATTCGGCAAAATTATGTAATAAGGATTCTGTTTGGAGAGGGAAAGAGAAAGAGGGAAGAGAGAATTATTCATTTTTAATTATTTATAATCAACTATAATTTCAGTATCAAACAACGATGTGTGATATAGCAACTAATGATGATACTAGAAATGAATCAGAATTCAGCAGTATCTTCTGGAATAGCATGAACACTGAAATAGATTCATTTAGATCTCCTTCAGAAATTTCGATACCCGAAGGAGTCTCAATCACTGATGAACATTGTGATGATGATGATAATGATGATAACTGTGATAATCGTGGTCAAGATCTATCGCAATGTATCAATTCTAATAATCCAGAATCAGTCGCATCATTGGTAACCATTCCTACATTTTAATAAATAATTAAAATTAGTATTTACTCATTTATTGTGAAACTTCAGTGAATAAAACAACAAATCTTAATTATAGAGAAGTAAAGAGACAAAATTTAAATAAATATCAAATTATACTAATTGAATTTCATTGTCGAGAAATAAAAACAGAAGAAAATTATATTTGCAATAATTTATGAATTTATTTATTCTATTGCATCCGGAAAATGATTCAAACTTCATTTAACCAAATATTTCCGCTTAATCAGTGGGCATATTAGGAATTCAGGATTCTCACACTTTTTATTATTTCACTTTAAATTTATTTGGAAACTTTCAAACTAAATGAATTTCTATTAAATTCTGTATATTTGATGAAACAAATTTTATACGATTTATTTTATTTTTAATAAAATTTTGCTGTGCAAAAAATAGTTTGAAATAATCATAGATGAGTGATAAGAAAGAGAATGATGAAGTAATTGATGAAACACTTTTACCTTTAAAACTTCGGCAGAAGAAATGGATTGTTGGAAATTTCCTTGGCAACGGTAAATTCCTCTCTTTTTATTTTTCCGCTTTTTGCAAATTTTAACATAACTATCGGAAATAAAAGTAAACTATAAAAAAAATGCGATACTAAACTTTGTCAAATTATAATAATAAGTAAAAATAATTGTTAAATAATAATAATAATAAGCATAAAATATAATAATAAGGAAAAATAAGTACTAATTAGTAAAAATAATAGTTAAATAATAGTAATAATAAGTATAAAATATAATAATAAGTAAAAATAACAATGAATGTTAAATGAATTGAAAGAAAGAATTGAAAAACAAATTTTAAAGGCTCTGAAAATTCGTGAACTTCTAATCTAACATTGCTGCTTGTATTTGTTTTCTTCCTCTCTTTTTCAATAAATCTTTTTGAACTTTCGGAAATATTATCAATTAAGTTATTAGCAATTATTTCAGCTAATTTATAACAATCTTATAACCTAAAATGCAAAAGGAATTCAATTATACTTTCTTTTGGCTAATATATTAAATAATTTTTACCAATCAATTTTATTAAAAATTTAAAATTGTTTACTTCTCTTATGCTTAGGTTCGTTTTTTCGTGTTTACCAAGCATATTCTGATGGTATCTTATTAGCAATTCGTAGACGATACTTTCGCAATCAAAACAATACAACTGCCACTAAAGCCGATCATGAAATTGAAAGCGAATATCAAGCATATCGAAAGCATGTTAGTAAAATGCATTATTCTTTTTAATTTAATTTTAAAAAGAATGAAAATTTTAGAACGAATAAAATTTCGGAAAAAATTTACTGAAAGAAGAAAAGAAATGAATGTTGTAAAGATTGTAACGATTGGATTATTAACATTATAGTTTGGCAGGAAATTAAACTAATAAATTTAAAATTATAAAAAATTATGATAAATTAAATTCTATCAAAATAATCATTATATAAGTCCATCATTATAATATTCTGTTCTTTCATATATTTTATATATTTTATCATTTTATCATCTTTCTATTGTATTGCATCAAAAAAGCATAAAATCTTTTAATTTTATATTTTCTTCCTAAAATAATTTTTTGCTTTTTTTTTTACACCAAAATTTCAAAGAGTTTACAATTTAATTTTTCTTCTATATTTCAGGTAATTGATGTATTATTAAAAATTGGTTATCATGACAACATTGCAACGTTTTTCGGATCACGACGAGTTGGTGTTATTTGGGAAATGTTTATCGAATTTGCTGCTGGTGGTGATTTATTTCATGAAATTGATTGCTATCGAACGCGTATGGTTTTTTCTTATTTTCTCCTAATATTTCATAAATCATAAAAATAAATTTTTTTAGATTATAAAAAATAAAATAATTATTAAAATAATGATAACAATAATATTTACATTATCATCTTATTTTCTCTCCAAAAAAAGTATAAAGTAATTGCAACGTTTTAGATATGGGCCGAGTACCAGAAGAAATAATAACGTCAAGATTTCGTGATTTAACACGTGCTGTCGCATACTTACATGAACGTAAGATAGCACATTTAGATATTAAAGTAGAAAATTGTTTGATAACTAAATGGGGTAAGTTATTTAGTATTAAAAATTTCAAATACAACATTTTACTTCTTTCAAATTTGTATATGCCTTATGCAAAATCTTATGAAAAATCTTAATTTAACTTAATTTAAATCTTAATTTAACTTAATTTAATTTAAAAATCTTAATTTAACTTCATAGGCTAATAAAATCACAAGAAAGGATTAAGGGAAAATTAGCACAATATTTATAATTAGCACAATATTTATAATAATTATCAGTTATTAAAATACGATAATTACTGCAGATTCATTCATCATTACTCTAAATTTATCATAATTTCTTCACACTATATAATAATGACTGCGAATAATAATTAATAATAATAATAATAATAATGATAATAATGATAGCGACAATAGTAATAATGATGAGATGATAATGATAATAATAATATAATAATACAGTAATTCTTAGTAATAAATGATCATAAGAAATGCTTCGAAATTAATAAAAATAATGATGTTCATTAGAATTGTTCATCATTTGATTGCATGCTAAATACTCTTCAGTGGATTAAATCACACTTTTGTAAATAATCCTGTTGTAGATCTCAAAAATGCATCATATCATTACCATTCTCAATCCTCATTATTTGGTTTATCATATTCTTATCATTATGTTATCAAACTCAAATCTTATAAATTGAAATTAATAAAAAAATTATAATGAAAATTTCATTTATTTAAGGATCATTGAAATTATCCGATTTTGATTATGCAATAATATTTAATTCCGATACAACAGTTTCACCAACTCAAATTGGAACGAGAGCATATGCGCCACCACAGCGATTTAGTTCCTCTACTAAGTTTGTTACATTTTATCTTTTTCATCCTCTTCAACAAATTTTTAATATCCGATTAATTAATTGGTTTGATCCTAATTTCGAACTTTTTAGATTTTAAATATAAATAGCTCCAATTTTTCCTATATCAACGTATCAATCTAAGCTATTAGCAAATGTCACCAATTGCTACCATACCAACAANAATATCCGATTAATTAATTGGTTTGATCCTAATTTCGAACTTTTTAGATTTTAAATATAAATAGCTCCAATTTTTCCTATATCAACGTATCAATCTAAGCTATTAGCAAATGTCACCAATTGCTACCATACCAACAAATTTATACATTTCCAACATTTATAATATTACCTTGCATTATCCTTGCATATTAATTCCGCATCATTCTTTTCTTCCTCTCCCGCAACTCTATAATTCTGCTTTCATTTACCTGTACAGTTATATTGCTCCCTTTCATTATCGTTTTTGAGAAATACAAATTTTTGTCAAATTTATTGACGAAAAAAGAAAACATTGAAATATAGCAGAATTTCTTACATTTTGGTATGTTATGAGAAAGTGACATTTAAAAACTTTTCTTTAGGCCTGAATGTGCTGATGTTTGGTCCTGCGGCATTGTTTTGCTCTTATTAATTACATTTCGTATTCCATGGGTTGCCGCACATAAGTTTGTTTTAAAAAAGTTTAATTTTATGTGAAACATAAAAATGCCATTTAACCTGCAAAATGTCATTTACTTTAAATTACCTTTCTTTCAATCATTTTTAAGAGAAAGAATCGAACAATGTTCAACATTTCTTCTCATTAATTTATTTGGCAAATAGAAGAGGAAGAAACTAAATTTTGTCATAAAATTTAAATCATACCTGTAAATTTTGCTAGACAAAAAAGTATAAAATTTTATTGCTACTAAATTCTCTATCATTATCGAATTTAATTAGCAAAATTAAAAAAAAATTTTTATTTCAGAAAAGATCCTACCTATGTAAAATGGTTCAATTATATTAATGAAAAGAAAACTAATAAAGGATCAAACTGTATATTTCCATTAGAATTTCCGGATAATACTAATTCAAAATTTTCAGGTAAATATTAAACATTTTAGTTGGATTTTTAATCTAATTTATGACTAATGTACATATTTTAAACAATAGATTTTTCTTGCAAATTACTAATGATAACATCAAAAGAAATCACATTACAATGTCAATATGTGAAAAGGTATTGGACTGAAATTAATTTATGAATAACTGTGAATAATTTATGAATAAGAGCTTTCAACATCCAATGAACGAAATTGCTCGCAGACGTTATGAATGAATGTACGACATTGAATAATCGTATGAATGATGTCCTGATAAAAGCTTATTTTATCAATTGGATAGAGTTTGACTCGTATGCAGTTAATCATTGTATGATAATTTATTTTCGACTTGAAGGACAATTTCTGTTATTTGATTCTTTTAAAGGATCTGATCGTTATTGGGTCAATTATCAGATTTAATATCACATGAATTATTCAATTTTAATTCATATAATTATTGCATTATTGTTCTATAACAATTGTTCTACATTTAAAATTATAAACTTAATCCTTCAAAATACGAAATTGATTTTGGAAAAATAAGAAAATTAGTAGAAGAAAGATAAAAATAACTTTCTTAGAAAAAATTGCAGATATATAATAGTTTTCTTTAAAGGTTTGAAAATGAAATTTGGCGTTATTTTACTTTCAGATTTACTCGAGCATTTATTGGATCCGAGTGAGGATACCCGAATGAAAATTACAGATGTCGTAAATATTTATTGGTTAAAAAACGAATGTTGTAAGCCATTTGTTGTCGGTGAAAAACATTATGAATAAATTTAAGAAAAAAAACAATTATAGTTGAAATTTTACAGAACTTGAAACTTAGAGTATTTAAAATAATTCTATAGTATTTTTTGCATGAAAATATAAATACTATTCGAATTAAAGTTATAACATCGCTTGATTGATTCTTTATTATATTCAAATTAATAGTACCACTGCTCACTAATTTTAATCATTTCATTTCTGACATTTGTTTTTCGATCGATTTGATACTTATATTGAAATTATTAAAGTTTCTGAGAGAAAAAAACTGATGATATATTATTATCTTTTGTGCTATGGTTATAAACGTAGCATAAATTATGTACTGCGTGTATTGCGTGATTAGAAATTAAGCGTATAATTTGTGATGCACTATAGTTTTATAAATTTTGAAAATGTTTGATAAAGTGATTATATAGTGTGATATTGAGTATATTTATCGTATTTTAATTAGATGAATAAATAATTTATTTTGCAACGCAATCGAATTAAAATATTAGCAATAGATTATGATTTGCTACAAAATTACTAAAAGATTGTTGTTGTAGTAAATGAACTTTGTTCATATAATTAGACAAATATCAATGCGTTGCAAATAACTATCGTTTGTATGAATCAATAATGATCAATGTATTGCAAATAAATATCAGGAATATGTATTCGTTGGAGTTGAAGATTTGTTGCTCAGATTATTTCTTCTATTTTGTTTTATCACAAAAAAAAAATTTTGTGATTTGAGAAATTTTTAATATTTTTAAAAAAAAATTTAATATCAAAATGTCAAATGTCAAACTATTATTACAACCTTGTTTTGTTTTTTATTGAATGATAAATAAAACGATATTTTCCACTGATAACTTTGCATACATACATATTCTTGCGGGAAGAACTTTTTCTACAATTTAACATTTTAGTTTATAATTCGTTCATGCATACAGCAAATTACAACTGATAATATACATCAATATTTTCGACTGTTGTTTTTAACTTAATGAAGGTTTAATTACCAAATTAAAAAAAATAATTTTGGTTTATTACGATTTAGTAGTTTTAAAAGTTAATCTATAGTCTACTTCATGATTCATCATTAAGTGTTTTGTGCGATAATTTCCACCTCAACAGCTTAATTTGATAATTTGATAGAGTGTAAATTGAAATCGTCTACTGAAATTAGGGTGTCTTAAAAGCTAAACATATAATATTATTTTTTTGATGTTGACAGAAAAGGGAAGTGGCAAAAGCCGAATAGGACAAATCGTTGTTGCTACACAAAACATTAAAATGTCCACCGAGTTGAGTTTCCGATGCGTTTTGAATTAAACGTTGTGATTCAGCATCACTTGCCATAATATTCTGCAAAAGTAAAAAAATCACTTTCTGTTATTTCCAATAAACATAATAATACTGAAAAGATAATGATTATTAATTCATTTATAAGAAATGAATTAATTGGGAAGCAATTAAACACAATTATTAATTATCTTACTAAAAAAATTTCATACTTACTTCATCCATTATTTTTTGCAAAATTTTGTTGTTGCATATAGGATTCAATGATAATTTGTTATTGTTCATTTCATCGTCCATTTTTAATTGACGCTTTTTCCGTACGACTGGCACTACTATCTGACGAGTAACAACAGAATTCTGAAGTATACAGGAAAACTGTGAATGCTAAATGAGATGGATACTTTTTGTTCATTTAAAAAAATTCCCAATCAATTTTGTTTCACATCTGAAGGATATTAAATCAGTAATAAATAAAAATCATTTGAATTTAACATTTTTAATAGCAAAAATGAAACTTTTTGATTTTAGCAAATAGATGACAGATTTTAATTAATTAATTTGTTTACTTCTTTTTTTAATTATTAAATTTTTGATACAAAAGTAGAAAAAGTTTTATTTCCTCTACAAAACATTATATTTGAAATTTTAAAGATTTGAACATAAAAGAGAAAAATTAATAATATTTTAAATATTTACAGGACATGGTGGGCATGGGGGCGGTTGTGGACATGGTGGTGGTGCTGGACAGGTTTGTATTGGACAAGTGACTGGTGGCGGACATTGAATCAACTTAGCGCATAATATTTTGCATGGTGTACAACGACATGGTGATCCTTCTACAGTATAAATATTCACTGTAACGTATAATGTTACAATGAAAATAATGCCAAATCGATGAACAATTTCAATCATTGAATAAAATCTGAAATATGTTGAGTAATTGCAATTAGAAAATGAATTTCTATCTGTAAGATTTTATAAAATTATGTTTATAAGCTAAAAAGATTATTATAAATTATCACTTTACATTATTTGAAATAAAATAATTATTTCGAAGAAATACAAAGTATGTATGATTGATTTTCTTAATAATACCGTAGTTTATTGAAAGGAAGATACGATAGCAATGCATATTTTATTAATAAACTTAGTTTAAATTAAATTTCTTCGATTTAAATTGAATTGAAAAGTTTTATTTGATTTTGCTCTATTGCTACATATTATCAAGTATTGAGATTTCTTATTTAGGTAATTTATCACCAAAGAATAGATTTTATTTATTCATAATAAAAATTAAAAAAAATTCGTATGAAATTATGGTCATTGTAATGATTATATGGTCATTGTAATGACTGTTATCAGTGAATTTAATTTTGTTAAAATGATAACTTAAACAATTTGTTTTTAAAGTTTTACGAAATATAATTACTTTATAATTAAACAATAAATTTCGATGCTTTTATTTATTCTTAGTATTTGATTAAGTTCAATATTTTTGTTTACTAAAAATTATTAAAATGAATTTTTCGTTAACCATATAATAACTATACCATTTCTCGTTTTCCAAAATTTTGATATTTAAAAAAATCAAAATGCAAAAACAGTTCATTGTCGTTTAATCAAATTTTTATGCTATCATTAGACTTATCACCAACACTGATATCTGAATATCGATACTCAACTGATATAGTAGTTAATTCCTTATCCAAAATTGATATTTGAAAAGAATTTTCCTTATCTATACTAAAAGGAGTGAAATGTTGAAATTTCGAAACGAAAACTCATTCATTGCTACTAATACATTATTAAGAAATTAGTATTTAGAAAATGAAGAAATATATCATATATGACTGTTTTTTCGATGTCTTTTAAAACCTTTTTATAGAAGATGATAAAACCGGAAACCGGAATATGAACGAGGTGGAATATTTATGAGCCAAAAAAAGGAAAAAAAATTATATAAAAGGAAGGTATGAAATGTTGAAACAGTTCCACTTTGCAAACTTTTCCATTTTTTGCTTAAATTTTATTTAAATGATTTATTAAAGAAAATAATTGCAATAAAATGGTTGCAATAGCCGTAGGAAAATGTTATACCAATGGTTGGATATTCCTACAAATTAATTACGAAATGAAATCTCTTTAATTTTGATAACGTTAGAGCAAACAAAATACAACTGCTAAATAGCAATTGGTGAAAAGCAATTAATAGATAATAATTACTCATTAGTTGAATAATTAGAAACGATTCAAATATTAAAATCGTCAGACTGTTATAGGAACCGATAACCTATTCTTTCATCCGGATTCGTATTTGGAAGTTGAATTCACAAATATTTATTACCACCATATTTGTAAACATTTACAATCGTTATATTTGTAATCATTTGCATTCATACCTGAACTTCACTTATTAAAGGTAAGCCGCTAATAATAAAGTATTTTTGTGGCCATCATAAGTAGCAGAGAAAACGTAGAAAGCTAGGGAAGAAAATAAATTTTCTAGACAATCTCATCTTATTGATTAAGTTCAAAATCATTGGATTAGATTCAAAGGTCAGCAAAATTTCGGCATTTTATTAATACAGTATCACAGATCATTTTATTATTTTATAGCATAAAATAGGCAAATAAGTTAAATATTTTCAGAAAAATGTTCAATTATATGACCGTACTACTTACTTTTCAATTTTCCCTTTTTGGTTTATTGAAAGCAAGCTGCAATTGTCCACAATGTCCGCCATGCACTGTCCAAATCTGTCCACCAGTGGTCGTCTGTCAACCCATAGTCTGCCCAGCACCACCAGTTTGCCCTGTTCTATTGCCAAGATCATGTCCAGTATGTGTTGTAAGTTATTCCTATCAATATTTCTGCAGTTTTCACCATTCATTTCTCTTTATTCTTCAAATTAATGACAAGTATTGCAAAAAATTTTTGGTACTTTACTTACTTTTAGTTTTTTAATTACTGTCACCAAAATTTGTTGCTATTAAAATATCACATTTAGAAACCGATCGTAAAATCAGTGCTAATCTCTGTTGTTAACAAATGCTGCAAAACATGTGACGATTATTGTACTATGCGATTGAAACGAAATATTTCAAATGATACAATGGTGACAGTAAATTCGGTATGCAACAATAAAATGCTTGGCGAAATTATCGCTAAGGTTTAAAAATTTTGAATCATTCTTTTTCTTTATTTTTTCTATTATTGATTGCAGTTTTTAGATAGCTAATTATTATGATTAATTTAACTATAATTGTTTTAAAAGAATTTTATTTTACATAAATAAATTTGTTTCAAATTCTTTTATATTCCCATTTCAATGAAACAGTTTGAAGTGAAGTAAGACAATTTTTAACATAGCAATAAATTTTATATTATATTATTATCATTGATATTCATACCAAAACATTGATTTGATTGATTGATTAATTATTTTTACAGAAGATGACATTGAATCCAGCAACATCACAAAAGTTGATCATGAAGAGTGTAACAAAACTGCTTGGTCAATACAATGTATTTTGTAGTACCGGTAATCTTACCTATGTTGCATACACCAATGATTTTTGTCAAGTGGATAAAAGTGGCGTTGTATGTTATGCCTTCAAAACTCTATGATCACTTCGTAAAAACAAAAAAATTTTAATAAAAATTAATATAAAGATAATTGCATTGCTAATTAGTATCTCAAAAATATATTTTCATTGTTACAGAAATTTTTTTCTGATATTGTAAAATATTCTTTTCAATATTTTCCATAGTTTTTCTGTCACTAACATTTTGTGTTGTAAATTTGCCAACTCTCGGCTTGTATTTCAGAGATTCTTCTTTTGTGTTCTATGAAATGCATTTCATTTCCTATATTTTGTAATACTTTAATTTATTCTTCCTATCCATCAAAACTATCTCTTCGACTTTCTTTTACTATTTTTAAATAGCAGGAAATGATTAAATAGCAATAAATGATTAATTAACGAATATGTCCATTATCGATAATTAGTAAACAGTAAAAGAAGAATGAAAAAAGCGAAATTCCTCAAATCAATCATTTCGGACAAACAATGCAATATGTCCATTATTGATAATTAGTAAATTAATGATTAAATAAAGGTTGCAAAGGTATTAGAAGAAAGGAAGATTTGAACTACTAAATGAAAATTGTTTCATATTTCTACTAATGGCTTCATTTTGAAATAGCTAAAGTTGATTATTTATAATTAATTGTTAATTATCGCTTCCGAGCTGCAACATAAGCTACACCTGTCACCATATTATTGTTATAATAATCAATTATAACCTAAAATTTAATTTTTAAATAAAAAAATTACTTTTCTTGAAGTTTTTTGATTTTAGAAACTGGCACAATCAAATGATTAACTTTGAATTATGGAAGTAATTATTGAAAAATTATCCAATCATTCTCTTTCTTTTCCACTTTTAGTGCTTTTTATTCAAATAATTTTTTGCTGCTTTCTGTCATTTGTTTTAAATTTTTGTATAATAAATTGTTTCAATTAAAAACAATCATAAATTTAAAAGTTTATTAAAAGTGCGCAAACATAAAATTGACAAAAAACAAAAGCAAAACTAATAGAGAAATTTCAGAAATCAAAATTCTGAAAATATAAAGAAATAAATTATAGAAAATATTGTCATTATTTTGGAGTAAATTAATAAAAAAGAATAAATTTACGAAAGAAACGAATGCTTTGAAAGAATTTCAACCAATTTTTTCATTTAATATTTATTTAATTTTAAGTGAAAATTTCTCGCAGCCTTTTTTTTCCCTTTGTAAATGTTATACTTCCGCATTTTAAACAAAACAATTAATTTATAATTGTTTTTAATTCACATAATTTATTATTTAAAAATTTCAAATAAACGATAGTGACAGTATGAAAAACATAATGTTCCAAAAAAAAATGTTAGCAGCCATATTTCTTACATTTTAAAAAACTGCAATTTCAAATGTTTGCTTTAAAGAAAAGATAATTTATGTACTGTTGCTTTCTTATATTATTTTTTCATTTTCAATTAACTTTCCTTTTCGAAGTTCCTTCTCATTTTTTTTTTGTTTTAAATAAATTAATTTATTTCTGTATAGGAACACCAAAAAATGTAAGAAAACATTACGCTTACAGAAAGATTTATAGCACGGAGGAAACACGCAAATAACGTTACGGAAGATGTCTGAAATCACGTGATAAACATATATACGGTAAAAACGCTTAAAGAAATGTTTATAGCGTAAATAACATTACGGAAGGCGCCTGAAATCACGTGAAAGACATGCATACGGTAAAAAATGATGCTACTATTTGAATTTTACTGTATTTTTAACAAAATTCATTTCAATTCATTAGTAGCTTTTATTAATTGCCAAAAGACATATCTTATATCGAAATTAACAATTTTTAATTAATTTCACATTAAATAAATTATATCAATTAAAATCAGTAAAAATTTTGTTTTAAGAATAAACATTTACATATGTGAGAATATGTTAATTTTTATTTCTTTTAGTTGTTAGCAATCGCTAACACTTTTGTAGTATTCATTAATTATCGTCATTATTAATCATTGATTTTTCATTTATTTGTTGGCGCAATTGTCGTTAATGTTATTGGATTACTCTAAGAAATGATATCGTTACTCGCAAAATGTTTCTCGAAATTACATCGCTGAAAAATAAGCTAATTATATCAAAAAACAATTAACAAATAATATCTTAGAAAAAGAAAGACAAAAATAGGAAAAGTAAATTGTTAGTTATCATTTACAATTATATTCCAAAATTTTTAATAAATGATAATTTAATTAGTTGTTCAGCAAAAATTAATTGTATTTAGTAATTTAGATTTTTCATTTGCATTTCTAATTAAAGAAATTTTAATTACATACGTTGAAATTCGTCTGATTTGTTTGATTGCAATTCATTTCATCATTATCAATTGAACCTTAACATTTAAGACTGATAAATTTTATTTTTCAATAAGCAATTAAAAAAGATATGATAAGCAATTTCAAATAAATTGATAATGCTAATTAATGTCATTTAGAGATTTGTTCGGTATTACTCGAAATAAAATACTACGGCATTTTTACTTTTACCACCTTCTCTCTCTCTCGCTCTCTCTTAATCTTATCATTTTACCCTTTTTCTAGAATTTCACCTGTGGTATTCATTCCATCATTATCCGATCATTTGATATAAGTTATCATTTGATACTGTTATTCATATCGCCTTACCAAAATGAAACTTATAAGAATCCGGAATGAAATTTACGATTTTATCGCGATACTATTAACGATTCTGTTCAAGTTATAACTTTCTCATTGTGTTATCAATGATTATTCAATGAAATAGCTAGATCTTTGATCTGTTGTAAAAAACTTTGTTCTATTATGGATATATCACTTCGATGTCTTGTGATGATATGACTTATACAATAGTTTTCTAGATTAAATTACAATGATAAGAGATTTCTCTACAAATGATAGCATTGATTTTTTTTACACAAATGATTAATATCATCATAACTTATTGTACAAAATTTTTTAAATTAATCAATCATATCAATTTGAAGTTTTAAGATGTTCCCATGCAAACTATACAAAAACTTACCAATATCAAATTGTTGAATAACATTTGATTTGTTATTTATGCATTTGATAATACATTCTTGAAGTGTTAAAAAATTATTTTCATTTCCACCCATTCCGGAATAAATGAATGGTACACATTGCCGGAGTGCAGCATTGTAATATACACGTTCCATATGTCCGGTTCCATGACCAATTTGTACCGGAATGCTGCACGATGACATAAATGCTGCAAATTTTATTCAATTATTAGTAATATTTTGTAAAAAAGTGATAAGAGAGTAAGTAATAAAATGAAAAAGATTATAGTAATCATGAACTGACCTTTGATCCTATCTTAATTATTTCTTTTATAAGATTGAGTAATTCTAAAACCTAATAAATATTTTTGCATAAATTATGAATAAATTTCACTGTATTTAGTAAATTTAAATGCTTACTTGTAACTTTGCAACACACAGTTGTTGATATATCAGCTCCGATGTGGCAGAAATAATTAGTAGGACATGGATTGGTAATAGAACAATGTGGAATTATTTGATTTTCATCTTGATATGGCATTCCTTTTGGACAAATGACCGGTAAATTTGATAATAATAACGAAGATGATATCGGTGATATTAGCGTAATAGGTCTACCTTCTATAAATTATAAAAATTTAATTTAAATAAATTTGAAATGAATAACTTAATTAATGTAATATATATAACAAATTTGCAAATTAATCTTAATTTATCTTTCCAAAGATTTCTTCTATTATCTTGAATATGCCGAACAGGATGTTACTTTTTTTTATAGCATAATAAAACTAAAGAAGGTGGAACTAAATGAAATTACAATACTAATTAATTATAATTTTAATATAGGATAATATTCATACCTGGACATCGTTTAGCACAATCGCTTCTTGTTAGGAAATTATTTTGATTACCACTAATGCCAGCATATTGAAATGGCTTGCAAGAACCAGAAATACGATCATAAAACCAACGAGTATATGGTCCATTATCAGTGATAATTCCTTGAGATAATGGTAACTGACAAGGATCCGAAGCTAAAATTACAAAAATTTAGCATTGGTAAAAACTTTTGTAAATTCAACTTTTTGTAGAATCTTCTTTTTTCTTCATTATTTTTAAAAATTTCAAATGGCCATACTGTATTCTTACCTCCAGGACAACATACGGTAGTATCAGCATCACCACCGATATGACACCAATAAGTTAGTGGGCAGGAATAACCATTTCGAACATTACATTTTATTAATGATAACATATTATTCTTATTCGTTGTAATATTATCTAATGGACATGGATTTCGAAGAACTGAAATTTTACCGAAATTTAAAAAATTTTTCTACAATTTTTGAAATCACAATTTATTATTTTAAATTGTCCTTCTTCATTTCTGTTAATTTTTTGGGAGAACATTAAAAATAGTTACCTGGACATTTTTGTATGCAAGCTTCAGCTGTTAAGAAATTATTTTCATTACCACCAATACCAGTGTATATAAATTGAAGGCATTGTCGTAAAGTTTGATCAAAATACCATCTGAAAGACTAATTTAAATAGCAGCGAATTTTAAATTTAAAAATTCAATTTTTATTTATACAAAAATTTCAATGTGTAAATTAAATAAATATGCGAATAATAGAAAAACAAAAACTACCCATTAAATGGAGTAGCATAGGTTTATTGAAAAAAGAAATAAAAAAGGACCTATTCAGTGAAGCAGTTCCAGTTCCTGAAGCTAATGGTGACAGGCATGGTTCACCAAAAGATGGGCAACAAACTGATGTTTCAGATGTCACACCAATATTACAAAAATATGATGTTGGACAATGAGGATGCAATGCACTACATTGCAAAATATTGCCATCTAAGGATTCGGCCGGATCACCCATCGAACATGGATTCCTGTAAAAATTTTCAAATTAAAAACAACAAAGAAGAGAGTAAATTAATTGGAAAAAGAAAAGGTAATACTAAAGTTGTACAAATGGTTAAAAGGATAAATGGTATGTTTATTAAAATTAGAAATTATTTATAACAAATAAGTAAACATGTTGATATTTTTAGTTCGTAATAATTTCTATATTTGAAAAATTTATTGCAAATTTGAAGAGGAAGCTCTTTTTAGTATAATTTGAATAACAAAATAAAAGCTCACGTTAATTCTGGACATTTTTCCTGGCACTCTTTTAATGTTTGAAAATTATTTTGATTACCACCATAGCCGGTGTAGGAAAATGTTGCACATTGACGTAATCGACGATCAAAATACCAACGTGGAATTGTTGCACTTCCGCTACCTTCCGCAACTGGTAAAATACATGCATTTTGAGCTGAAATTTATTATAATTTAATCATTTGTATAAAAATTTAACAATAACATTTGCTCTATCAAATTTATATTCGAAAAATGTATTAGTTATATTATTTCAGTGAATTCCATTATGAAATTCTTAAGAAATGTTCATAATTTACTGAAGTTAACATCTAAGGAACTTGAGAAAATCCCGGGAGAATTTAACCAATCATTTTTTTTCTCAATGGAAAACAAACCACCAGGACAACACAGGGAGGCAGCGATGTCAGCACCAACATGACACCAATATCCAACAGGACAAATATTAGGTCCACTAACTGAACAAATTAGATATTGTCCATCTTTTCCAGCTGCTGGTTCACCATCTGCGCATGGATTTGAAATTACTGAAATTTTTTTTAAATAGGAAAATTATACATTCGAAATTTAATTTTTCTTTATTTTATTCAATGCCTAAAATAATATAATTGATAATCATTGAAAAATGGAGTATAAGATTGCTGAAATATAATTATTTCATGAAATAAATTAAAGAAATTAATAAAATTATTTTAAAATTAAAAAATTTTAATTTTAATTAAGTGATACAAACCAGGACATGTAGCTTCACAACTTGCTCGTGACAAAAAATTATTTTCGTTTCCACCTAAACCGGTGTAAGTAAATGGTAAACATTGCTTAGTTAATGGTGTAAATGCATAACGGTTCAAATATGCTTGACCAGTTCCCGGTACACGAGGTTCATTACAGATATCATCAGATTTTCCTGGACAGCAAACCGTTGTCTCTTCTGTGTCACCAATATGGCAGAAATAATCCATTTTACAAACACTACAAAAATTATTATTAATAATAAGAATAACATAAGCTAATAGTTTTTGAACCTAAAAAAAATTTTAATTTGTTTAGCAAAATTCAATCTTTCACAGACTTTTAAATATTTTCTGGAATTTTTGTTAGAAAATGACAATTATTTGTTGTAATAAAGTAATGGTAACAATAATGGCCAAGTAACAGGCCTGGTATTAGCAGCACTGCACATAACCAGATTACGGTGTTCATCCATTTGTGGTTGTCCAAGTCCACATGGATTTGGTAATACTATAAATAAATAATTTTTCGTCTACATTTAAAAATATGATCATGTATGATACAATTGCATCATTATTCATTCACTATTAAAGTTCTACGTCAAATGTGTTACATACGCGCAATATAATTTAATAATTAGCAGTTGACTGTAAAACTAAAATTGCTGCACATTAGATAAACAACTTTGCCTGGACAATGTGCTTCGCAATCCCGTAACGTTAAAAAGTTATTCTCGTTTCCACCGAGACCAGAATACTGGAATTGTTGACAGGTACGTGTTGTCGAATCGTAGTAGAAACGCACCAAAATTGCATCACCGTTCCCTGTATAAAGATCTTGTTCACATGGCATTCCGGTAGTAGGGCAACAAACCTGAATTATGATTAATGAGATGAATAAAATTTAATTAGAAATCAGATTTCAATTTCATTTCTATATTTTGCTTAAATGTCCCTTTCCCACTCTATTCTGTTTTATAATTGATCGTTTTTTATAATTGATCGTTCTTGACTAATTGCCTTAAACTTTGGATACCTTTTACGCTACTAATATATATTTTTTTTAATCTCATTCTATGCTTTTTTTATTTATATATTTTAGCGATAAAAGCATGAAATTAAAGTAATTTGTTGATGTTTGATAAAAACGGATAATTATTTCGACAAAGTGAATATACCGAATTCTCCAACGATGCACCAATATGACACCAATAAGTCGTTGGACAAATTAATGGTCCAGTTGCACCACAATGAGTGATTTGTCCATTTAAACCAATATGTGGACGTCCAGCAGAACAAGGATTCCTAAAATTGATTAATCCCTTTTTGACCTAAATTTAAGTCAAAGTCTCTTTTTTAAAAAGATCCATTTTTCTTGATTTATTATTCAAATCTTATATTCGAAAGCTATTTGTGTTTCACTCTTTTGAGTTTGTATTATTTGTCAGAATAATTGCAGTTTTCGTCTACTATTTCCGTCTTGAAACGAAGGAAATGGTAAACAATTAGTATAATTACTACTATAAACAATACAGCAGTAACGATAATAATAAATTTAAGAATTATCCTTCATACTTGGTTCATGATTAAACCTAAAAAAGCTAAACCGTGTTGTAATCAAACCTAAATTCAGGACATGCTTCAGTGCAATCTTCACGGGTCCGGAAATTATTTGAATTGCCACCTTGACCACTATAAACAAAGTTTACACAAATTTGTGATTGCATATTATAATACCAACGATTTAAGACTGCATTTCCATTTCCTCTGGATACTGGCATACGGCAAGGATCACCAACTGAATTATGTTGAAAATTTTCAAGTATAATAAGTACTATTTCAACAAATAAATAAACTAATTGAAAAAATTAAAACCGGATTAGCTTTCATTAATTTAATGCAATAATTTTGGGAGAAAAAAAAAACAAAATTTAAGAATTTTACTTGCAGGACAACAAACAGTTGTTGAGGATGTTGCGCCAACATGACAATAGTAACCGATACCGCATATTGTTGCAGTATCACTACCACACAGCATCGGATTACCTTCTGGACCTATTGCTGGAAGACCATTTTCACATGGATTCTCTAATATCGGACATGTTTCTTCACAATCTGTCTTTGACAAGAAATTATTCTGAAATTGTTGAAAGAAAATAAATTACAAGAAATTTCTTATATTTGAGTTAATAAATATTATATGCAAAAGAATGAGAAAAAGCCCTATGAAAAATTATTTTTAAATATATTTTTAAAAATTTCAAAATAAATATATCAGTTTAGTTATGCTAAGTGAATAGAAAGGAACAGATAATATATTTTTAAGACTTTCTAAATGTTTCAAAAACTAGATAAATCATCATTTGTTGAAATCAATCAGAAATCTTACAATCCTTTTGTTTGAAAGCAGATTAAATACAACAAACCTGATTTCCACCTTTTCCAGTATAAATAAACTTCTCGCATATTCTTTTCCTACTATTAAAATAATATCGGGTGAGGTTTGCTCGACCTCTTCCTTCTAGCAAAGGTTGAAAACACGCCAATGGTATCGTTCCTGGTGCATCATTATGTTCTGCGGGATCAATTCCCATATTCAAGCTTAGGCCATTAAGATTTCGCACAATACTTCTTAGCTGTCTTAGAGGGTTTGCAATTGGTAATGCATTCATATTTGCCACTAAAAAATTAAGCAAAATTAATAAAATATTAAGCCTGCCAAAGACAAATTCCAACTTAATACTTTGTGATAAAATGAAATCATTGTGAGATTTCAAATATTCAAATATATACAACATCCGTAAATAAATAATAACAAATAATAATTCATTGATGTTGTAAGATTTCAAATATTACTTTAGGTACATTTATACGCTTTCTTTGGATATTTAAAAGTTGATCAGTGTATTGTTTGTTTACAAGTATTGCATACCTTTCAATGATTTTTGTTACTACTACTTTTATAAAATTTAAGAAACTTACAGGATGGGCAACAAACTGATGTTTGCCGTCGATCGCCTATGTGGCACCAATAATTGGTAGGACATAAAGGATTAGCAGATGAACAAAATGCAACATTTCCATCTTCATCAATATATGGCAATCCAACTGGACAAGGATTATCATATTCTGTAAAAAATTTTTCATCCTTTTCACGATTCTATAAAATGATTTTATGAAGTTAAAAATTTGAAATATGATAAGATGAAACCATTCATCACGTTTCACATTTTTATAATGACACAGTTAAATTCAAATTTTCTCAACAAATTCAAAAATTATTAATGCTTTTTGATGGATCAATTTTATCATTTATCTCTGATTTATCACAATTTTAATCAGCAAATGTTTTATTAGTAGTGATATTTTAAATTTGAAAATTTTAGATTGTATTGATTTTAAAATGTTTTTACCAGGACAAGCCATTCGACATTCCCGAATAGTTTCAAAGTAATTATCATTACCACCAAATCCTGAATATATGAATGGGCGACAGGTTGATGCTTCTCTATCAAAATAGTATCGTGGTAAACTATATGTACCGGTTCCAGACGCAGGTGGTAGCAAGCAACGATTTCCTTCTGAAATTTGATCAAAAAAAAAAACTGTATTTGTAAGATGACCCTTTATGACTTTTAATTTCTAGAAGACAACCAATAATTCACAGATATCATTTCATTGCTTAACAGAAAAAAGAAAGAAAGAAAAATTTACGAATAGTTTTAATCGGTGCATTTGATATCAAATTTTGCGTTCCACGATTAAACCCATTTGAAATTCTGGCATTTCCATATGTAATGCCAGTTAATGGGTCAATTAAGACACCAGTGTTAATCATGCTATTACCGGAAAATATCGGAATACCAGAACCAATCAATGATTTAGGTGAATCAGGTATTAGAGCATTTTTTGGCATAGCGGGAGAAGAGTTAACAAAAGCTTCTGCTCTATTGAAATGAGGTGTTTCAATTCCGGTACCAACTTGGCCGATAAACATATTTGGTTGTGATATATTGCCAAAATTCGAGTTAATACCAGTAGTTGCCATAGAATTGAGATATTCATTCAAAGTGATGGGTTTATTATTAACGTAATTGACAGATTCAACAACAGGTGAAATACTACCAATATCCATGTTAGCATTGCCAAGCGAATCAATAATTCCGCGTTTAGTATAATCAGTATTTGTAAACGAACTACCACCCTTCAAATTATAGGTGTTACCGGAAGCAGAATTTATATTTCCGATAGGGTTTAAAATCATAGTTTTGCCATGACTAAGTATAGTATGATCAATTCCCGGACAACAAGCAGTTTTTGTTAAATCATCCGAAATTCGGCAATAATATCCTTGTGGACATGAATAAATATTTTCTGGCGAACATCTGAAATTTCAAAAATTTTATCAAATTCGGATATACTTAAAGAAAAGGAGAAAAGGAAAAGAAATGATAAAATGATAAACTGATGAAGTTTATCTTATTTACGGCATTTATGTCTAGAAATATGCTTACTGTTCCGGTGCATTTGTTTGGATTTGCGGTTCGCCACTTTCACATGGATTTACAGCGCCGCAACTTTGCTGACAAGCACGAAATGTTAAAAAATTATTTTGATTTCCCTAAAAAATAAAATAAAATGAAATAATCGAATTTGTCGTATAATTCTTATCAAAGTTACTGATAATTTGAAATTAATTATGATAGTTTCTTCCACATTTTCTAAATTAATTTATACGCTAAGTATATATTTTTATTCAATCATTTTTTAGCATTTAGCAAATACATAAATGATTATTGATTGTCTCACTTTGAAACCATTAAAAATAAACGTTTTGCAATGATTATCATTAGCATCATAGTACCAACGGCCTAATCCGGTAAGACCAATTCCGGATTCCTGCGTTTGCTTGCATGGATTATCAGCTTTAAATAGAAAAAACAATGAACTGATTGTGAAAAAGAAATGAAAATTTTTCAAAATTATAAAAATTCCACATTATTTGATTCATAGAAATTACATTAATACAAATTTTTCTTCTAATAGTTGCAAATTTGCAACAAAGCAATAACAATGTTAGTGGAAAATTTTTAATTTATTTACAGAACATATGTAAAAATTATATAAAAAAAGGTACCAATTATAGGACAACAAAATGTTTCTTGCGGTCCAACACCAATTTGACAAAATGTACCGCGGGGACATAAAAATGAATCCATCGGAGAACAGTATTGCAGTTGAAATCCAGTTGGCAATGATTGAAGACATGGTTCGGTGATTGCTTTACTGATAACATCAATGATTCCATTAACTTTTTGATTTGGTTGATTCAAGTTTATTTCATCATTCCTTGTCACTTAAACATATGTACACTTATCAATCCGTATAAGCATATATGATATACTTTGAAATTGATGCAATTCTATTACGATTAAAGATCAAAAGTCAAATAATCAATTTTAAAATTTTAAATATTAAGTTTTTAAATTCAAATAGCTTAGATTTCATACTAATATTTTGTTAAAATCATATATGATTGCAATAAATTGCACATGAAATTTTTCTCCTCAAAAAAAATGCAAATAAATTATGCTATAATTATTAAAGTGTTAATTAAAAATTAAAAACTTATCAAATGAGAAGCAGCATTTTGAACATTGAAATTTTCATCAAAAGGCATGGCATATTCAGTTGCTGTTGTTGTTGTTGTTGTTGTTGTTGTCAGTTCTAAATAAGACTGAATAAAATTAATTTGCTAAGAATTAATCACAGAAATATATAAATTATTATCATTACCAGTTTTTACGGACGGTGATAAATTCCAATATGATATTGTGGGCATAGCATTTTCAATATCAGGTTTTCCAGTACTTGATATTAAGACATTTGATGAATTGGTAGTTATCGATGATAAAAAACCTAGATGGTACTTTAATTCAGGATGTCTTATAATAATAGCAATATTGCTGATTTTTACTTAATCATTTACAAGTATGAGGGGAAAAGTTTTCATGAATATTTCATAACAGAATCCTTTCTATAACCATTGTTAGAACTTCTATCTTTTATCAAAATATTGCTACTTATAAATTAAAAGTTTCAAAATTATTAATTCTTGATCTCATTAAAACTTTTATTCAATTTGATCACACAATTAATTAATTTTAAAATATCCAGCAAACCTTTCAATCCTTCAACAAAAGCTGAATGCTCCGGTAAAACTGTCGTAAAAACTTGCAATTGTTTGAACTTTTCAAAATCAAATGTTAAATCAGTTGATAATGTATACATTTCTGTTACTGCTATTTGGGTAGTAACAAATGGCGGTGGCACGATCGTTGTTGTTGTTACAAATGATCCTGCTAATCAATACTTTGTTAAATAACAAAATAAATATAGTAATAAATTTTAAATTTTAAATTACTATAATAAAAATATCAAATATTGGATGGAGAAATATTATTAATAGAATATTAATTAATATTGCTATCTTCTATCATTAAATCAATAAAATGAAACATTTATTTTTACCAAAATTTAAGCATGCTTTTGAGCATTGTTCATGTTTGATAAAACGATTGTTATTTCCACCAAATCCGGCATAAACAAATTGTTTACAAGCATTATTTCGTGTGTCATAATAAAATCGCGGAATTTTATATGGACCAGTACCAGATATATTAGGAAGTAAACAAATATTAACATCACTTGTGTTCCCTGTAAAACTCCCATTATTTATTTATTTTTGTTAAAAATTAAAAAATAAAAATTTCCTTTGGGGTATTGTTTATTTGTCTAATTTGCATATTTAAGTAAATTATATTCGTCTAATTAATATCTTTTGCATTTTGCTTTCTTTTTCTAACAAAAAATAAATTTGATAATTCAATTTTATTAAAATATGAAAAATCTTTTGTTTTTTTTTACAAATAATTAATAACAAATCATTAATATTTACCATTGATTTCTTACTCATCTTATTATAATATGAGCTTAGAAAATCTCATTTGCAAAAATAGTTCAAAAATTACTCTTTAATTAAACTTTCAACAAAACTAGCCTGTGCCACATGTCTCCAGACATTGACGATCTGTTTCAAAATTGTTAGCATTGCCTGCTGAACCCAAATAATTGAATCTAATACAACGATCAGCGGCAATATCAAAATACCAACTAAAAAAAAATTAATTATAAACTTTTTCTTTTAAAAAGTTTCCATATTTTGGAAAGGTATGTATAAGTAGGGGAAGTATGAATCATCGATTAATATTAGTTTAGTTTGAGCATGTAAAGTTAGTAAAAGATATTTGCATAACTGTAATATTAATCATATTTTAATTGAATTAATAATCATTGGCAAGTTTTAATTGATGTCATTATAGAAAGTTAATGAAACATTTACCGATAGGATGATGAAATGCCAGTGACACTCGTTCCTCGGTCTGGACTTAGCTCACAGGGATTCAGGTCAACGTCTGAAAGTGTAAACTTTTGAATATACCACAGGAATTTCATTTGTCAAAATGTTGCCGAAATTGGTTTTTAAAATAGGCGATCAATTAATTAATTATTATATTGAAGAAATAAGAATAAATTAATTGGAGTAAAATGGGAGGTTAATTTTATTGATTAAATTTGAGATCTCATTGTAAGATGAAATTTATAAAACATTTAAAAAAATATCATTGAATATTTTTAAATAAAAGAAATTTAATTTGAACCTTTTTTTCGATTTAATTTAAATCTAAATTTGGAATTAAATTAGAAAGATACGAAGAAATTCGAAAACAATACTTTCAATAGCATTTTGTTGCTCATTTACCGAAAACTTTTGATTGCCACTATCATGTTTGTTTGAAAATGAATTATAAGTTAACAATGATTTGGATAGTTGTTTACCTGAAATATTTATATCAAATAGAAATATGCTGAAATAGAAATGGAGTATCCATTATGAAACAAAAATTATGCAAACTTTTGAGAAGAGAAACTATAAATTTTCAGAAGTTAATTTTAGCTGCAATATAACCGAATGATAAATGACAATTTATTCATTAAGACAGAATAATAATTAATCAAAATGAATGAGTAATAGTTCACCCAATAAAAGAAATGGTACTTAAAATAGTTAAAATCAATAAAATCAATTTATTAATAGAAAAAGTGATAGTCAATAAATCAATAAAAATGGGTAATAATTATTTCCCAAAATAATGTATTATTCTTATTACTCCATTACTCTTATTATTTAGCAAAATTAGTCATCGAAAGAAAACAATTTGTAATTAAAATTTATCGAACAGAACAAATCATAATTTACTTCTTTACCCAAAAATTGAATAGTAATTTGGTAAATAATAATAATTGATCTAAATAATGAATGAAAAAATTTCCCGAGTTTACTCGGGTAATAATCTATCTCCAAGGGAAGAAGTGATTAATCGAAAATGATTAATAGTAAAGTGATACTTTACCCTCCCAATAAAATTACTGCCTAATTATCCAAAAATAAAGGATAAATAATAAATTACCCAAACATGCTTTTTCACAATCTATTTTTGTTAGAAAATTATTCTCATTTCCACCATATCCACCGTATATTAGTTGTTTACATGTGGAACTTTTCCAATCGTACCAAAATCGTTGAATTTCTCCACTTCCATAACCATTCGCTGATGTCAAATAGCAACGTTCTTTCACTGTAACGTTCTTTAGTATTTAGTATTAAGCAATTATGAAATTGATTTATAAATAATTAATTGAATATATGCTATTTAATATATAATTTATAATTATAAAATGGATGGAATAATTAATTAAATATGTAATTAATTAGCATAACTAACAGATATGTAAGCTATAAAGCTAGATATGTAAGCTTCAATGATGCATTTCTCTCGTAATTAACGCTTTTATGCAATTCATTTTTTTGTTTTAATTGAATATTATAACGTTAACAATGACAATTTCTTTAAAATATTTGCATAAATTAATTTTTTTATCCGGTTAATTATTTCCGGAAACATTAAATCTAAAGATTATCCGGAATTTTGAAAATGATCTGCTTTTTCCTTTGCAATTTATTGAATGCAAAAATTCAGTTTTTTTATTTTAATCTTTAACTTCATGTATAATTCATGCATAATCTGAAAGTATTACGGATTTGCATTTACATCAAATATTATACCTTTTCTGTTCTTCGGACAACAGTACCAAGAATTTTGTGTTGCACCAATGTGGCACCAAAAATTTTTTGGACATAACATACTGCTATCCGAATTTTCATCCGGTAGACATTTCTTTACCGTATCATTGGCTAATAATAACGGTAATCCTTCCTCACAGTAATGCTCGATGCCTATTAAGATTTTAATTAAAAACATTTTTATCATCCATATGCACTGATTTATTAATTAAACTACGTTAAATTTAATAATTAGTTCTAAATATTACTTTTACAAGAAAACTCGACTTTCAGGAATGAATCGGAAATTAATATATTAAGTAAAAGGTGGAGGTATAAGTAAATCTAATAGAGAAAAAATTAATTTTTTTAAACAGAAAACATTTAAATTTCAAAATACAACATACCTATGCCAGTATCATTGAAAATCAGTGTAATATTTTCAATATTTTTATTTGCTTGAATTACGGTAAAAGCATAAAGAAATTTTATAAAAGTTATGTAATATCGTATATTACTGAGTGACATTTATCTGAAAATAAATTTCAAAATGACATATTCCAAAATGTTACAGTATACTTATTTACTAAAGCAATTTAATTTCTCATTTTTTAAATCAGAAAATTTTACAAATTTGTAAGGAAAAAAAATGTGATTTAGATGATAGCAACTATTGATAGTATTTTTTAGTTATTCTAACAGCTATTCTGATATGAATAATTTTTATAATAATTACTATTACAAAAGTATTATTGATTGGCATCTGAGTATTTTGAACACTACCATAAATACCTTAACAAAAATAATTTATCATTTAAACAAATAATCTGATTAATATATAATTAATTTCATCTAAATACACTCTACTGTTACGATACAATTGAATAGAATTGGAAGAGAAATGATGGATGGGTACACAATGTAATGATGGCAAGTGGTAAAATGTTAAATCATTGTGGACAATAAATGACCATCACGATTAAAGCTCGAGCACATTGGGTATGCATAATGAAGGAAGAGAAAGAAGAAAAATTTTTGTTTACAAATGGCTTACTCTAAATATATACCAGATGAAATTGTTCAGTGAATAAACAGAATGACTCAATTTGAGTGCTTTAAAATTTTATTCCGTAATCTTACCGGAATTGTTTAAGTAAAATTTTAACCATTGAAATAATCTTTCGTTCTCTTTTCCTTTTCATTTATATAATTTGCATAATTACTTATTCTATTTGTCTTAAATTTTAAAAATTATTATTTTATCATTTCAAGATAATTTCTAACTTTTATCTGATCGTTTATCTGATCGTTGAAAATTACTATTATTATTATCGATTTCATTAAAATATATCCAATTTTATATTAAAAAAGAATTTGCAAATTGAAATTTTTGACTGATGACTAACGTTCGGAAAATTGCATCGTTTTAATAAATTTTTGTTTTAAAAGAAATTAGAAAATAGTAATTAATTTTATTTGTATAATTGTTTTATTTGGCATGCAAAGTAGTTGGTGACAGTTGGCAGTGGAAGATTTTCAAAAGAAAATGGAATAAAACAGAAGAAGAAAACATAAACTATGAATAAAGCATAAAGTAAACATGAACTTCTCCCGTGAAATTCAAAGAAGTCTATCGACTTTTTTCGAATTCATTAAACTATAAAATTAACATCTTAGAACAGGTAGGAAATTAATGCATACATTTAACATGAAAGCAGCATTTAATAAAAAATCTTCATCTTATTATAAACAAACAGCTAATTCTATTAATTGCAATTTCAATTGCCAAAAATGATATTAAAAGTAACAAATAAATGTCATCAAGAACAACAAAAATCTTCCAATCAACACAAAGTATATAATTAATTTACAATTTTAAAAAATTGAAGAAAACTTTGATCAATCATTCATTTCAAGATTTTTTTTTATTGGGAGTAATATTTGTCTGTTATTTGTAGTGCCAATTCTGACCTTCAAAGATCTAGAAAATTTATAATAAAATAAATTTAAATTTTTAAATTGATTTTATGCTGTTATATATTTAGATAAATTTGAATGGAAAGTTTTACTACAGCATAATGTCTTGGTTTAATAAATGAGAGATGGTTTGATGGAGGAGATGGAAGTGAATGTTGCTATGGGGTGGGGCCGTTGAAGTGTTCATTGTCAGTTAGGTTTTCCGGTTCATGGGGCCGGAAATAGAATATAGAATTACTCGTTTTGGGAGAGTGCAAGATGACATTGTTTATGTAGGGGAAGTTGAAATTTCTTTTTCCTTTTTGTTATAGTAATTATATAGGCGTGTAGGCTTATGTAGGCTTAATTGTGTTGTATGTTTATTGAATGAATTATACTGTGGCGTAAATGAATAGCTAAAAAAAATGAAAGAAATATTTGGATATTGTTTTCAATGGACATATCGTGTATAACAGTGGTAACAGGCATGTGACATTGTAACATTGTTATGTGAGAAACACATTTTTTGAACACTACAACATTCGTAACATAATGAGTTATGTTACGAATGTTGTAGTGTAGCGAATGTTCTGGTTGTTCGTGAAACTGTTGACAGTTATGTTATATTTATGACCTGTAATTTAAGCTTGGTAGGAGCATGATCTAAAATTAAATATGTAGTGTAATTGCTCTGATTTTGAAATTCAACTGTATATAATCAATTTTGAATTGTTTTTTCAGGCTTTCGGTCGATCAGAATGGCTCGACGTAATGAATGTTTGGAATGTAAAGTATTTGTAGGAGGTCTACCGAATGATGCGTCAAGTGAAGAAGTAACTTTATGAAAATCAGAATTTTAGACGAGTGTTTTGTCATGACCTATTTATTTACCTTTGCAGAAAAAAGTACCTTTCTCCGAAATCCGTAATATAATTTTGATCATAGCACAATTCTATGAGAGGTTATTGGTTATCTGATGTGAATTCACTTGATAGAATGTGAATTTTTTTACTAGGTGCATATAATTGAGAAAATTTGTTCCTTAGATCATCGGTCCTAGGATAACCAATTAGTGCTTAGTGTATTATTTTCTGTTAGAAGGTCCATCTTTCTATTTTCTGTTCTGTCTGGAAAGTTTGTCAGAACAATATCTACTTCAGTTAGAAGAAGCATTCAGTAAATATGGTCGTATCAAAAAAGTTTGGTTGGCACGTCGTCCACCCGGTTTTGCCTTTGTTGAATTCGAGGATAGTCGGGATGCGGAAGATGCCGTGAAAGGACTTGATGGAACGTAAGTTCTTTACTTTTTCGATATTTGATTAGAAATTCTCAGGAATAAGCTTACCTCATGGACTGCCAGTATTTTATTCCTGCGCCTCCTACTTTTCTGTAATTGGAAGGATGAATTGCCGACCTTATCAGATGTTGAAAACTGTTCGAAAAATTCAAGTGTTGGAAACCAGTTCACATCATATATTTTCCCATTGTTCTCTACAGTGGAGAAATTGTATACGTCGGTGTGACAGTGTAGACAGTATTCAACACTTGAAAGGAAAATAGTCTATATAACAATATAATGATAAATACGAGACAGATTTTAGACGCATTTGTGGTGTTCGCCCGAGAGTGGAATTTTCGCATGGTGGTTCGCGCCGTGGTAGCCGAGGAGGTGGAGGTAGACGTCGTTCGAGGTATTTAAATTTTAAAAACCTGGTGAATGACTGGGTTTTTATGCAACACAATGGAATATTTTGCATTTATTTATTTTTATAATAACTTCTACGAAAGTTCTAATAGTGTTCAACAATACGAAGAAAAAAGAATGCCATAGTATGAAATTGAAATATATATTTTAGCCCGTTACCACCATGTCAGCGCCTCCTACAGGAGCTCGTTTTATGAGTTCCACTTTCGCTCACTCCATACTACTACTGCAGTGTCACTGTCCTGAAACTTTGCATCCGACGCTTCAGTTATTTTCGCAATTACACCATCTCTGCATCCTTCATTTTTTGCATTGCCGGCGGGTTCAAAGCCTTCGAAAGTGGTCAGCTTGCAAAAAAGATCCGGAAAAAGGGTCATCATCTTCTAAGTCTTCAAAAACGCTTCATCACTCCAAAAATTAAAGTTAACTGGCTATCATCGTCTGCACAATTTCATTGTTATAAACGACCGCGCAGCTGCGGTATCCGTGTTCTCGGTGGTCTCTGCCACAGATGTATCACGTATACGTCACCGCAAAGCTTCCACACTTCTTTCTGCTTGTATCACTTAACTCGGTAAGAAAATTTGCAGTAGGAATACCTGAGTATATATAACATATATATGTATATATTCTAAGACGTCAGATAATTTTTATTCACACTGGAAACTTATCGGGATAGGAGTAGCGATCCATAGCACGAGGGAGATTCTTTGTATGTTTTCAAAAAGCTGAGGAAGCATTACTATGTCATGTGACACAATTTCGATTGCTGGTATTCAGAAATAAAATAGTTCCATGGCGTTATTTTGGGTTCTTTCGGGACTTTGATGTACTTCCATTTCGGTATGCTATCGTAGCATTGCCTTTAGGATGTGCTGCGTTGCATGATCGGGAAATAATGGGTGCGGGAAGCAAGAATGGTTCTCTAAGCTATCAATGATATAACTTGTTGATAGTTCAGTGGAATAGTTTGATGATTGATAGTGACAATGTGAGCTTCTTTGAAAACCCTTGGACAATTTAGTGCGACAAATTGTCATCCATTGTCCGGAGGTGCTTCGTTTTAATCTGATATTCTGGTGATATTTTGCTAGAAGTCTGCTTACATGATTTATCCAATTTGTGATATGCACTCTGTTTCAGCGATTTTATTGGTTTTTCTTGAGTAAACCGCTTAAGAGAGTTCATTTCCTCAGAGAGGAAGCATAATTCCGGACAACAGAGTGCATGGAAGATTTTTTTAATTTTAAAATATTTTTGGTTTAATAAAATCTACCTTGCGTTTATTATCATGCGGAATTTTTTTCTACTTGTAGGACGCCGATACGACGACGCTCACTTAGTCGTTCACGTTCACCACCTCCGCGACGATCTCCGCGATATAGCCGTAGCCGTAGCCGTAGTCTGAATCGGTTAATATTTTTTACTTCCTACAATTCTCCTATTATAGGTTATAACAGAGTTTGAATTTTCTTTTTTAAGCGTAAGGACCAATAAATCGAGAATGATGGGAAATATGCTTGTAATAAAATAACATTACTGATTCGTTACCTTCCATTTTTCAAATAGTTTTGGTTTTTATGATTTCTTGTAGCAGGTGATATCTTTTATCGTATGAGTTTGTCCGCCGCTTGTTCCTACTAGCTGATCACAATTTTAGTTTACATGTTAAAATCTTAACTCACTAATCATTGTTATCAATATTTTTTATTCAAGACAGTTGTGCTAATCCAGTTCTTATTTTAGGGATAAATGAACAGATCAATAACAGGAATGCATTTCAATCTACGTAAGTTACAGCTATGTTGCTATTTTGGGGAGATCACGAGGATATTTTAACACAGAAACAATTTATATGAGATAAGGTGAAAGAATGATGAAATATTTCTCCACATGAAGTATAGAAAGTATTTGTCTAGAAAATTCACTGTTGATCTGGAAGCTTTTCCCAATACTTTTGCAGCCGCGCTTGGTTGACCAGTATATTGTTTCCTTATCATTCACTCATCCTTAAATGTGAAATTCAATTTTGTTTATAACATGAAAGTGAAATTTATTTGCTTTAAATTTCTTGCGATTAATCAACTTATTTACAGATAAACAATATGTGATGTAAAGATGCAGTAAGATGCTAAAGAACTATTGATTAATTTTCATAATTTTTCTTATTGTTTTTAACCTGATATGGAATGCCTCCATAATTTTTGCAAAGAGTTTTGTTTCTTTGACCTTATTATTTGTCGCAAAAGTGGTTAATTTGTTGTTTGGCAATTTCTGATTAAAGCGACATTGCCATTTTTGAATAAGTTTCCTAAGGAGTAAGATTACTTGCTATCGGAGCATCTTTATTCGTTTTTTGTTCTTTTTTTGGAATTTTTTTGTTCTTTTTTGTGAACTATTATTGATATTCGTTGTTGTGGAACTGCACAGTGATGACTAGAAAGCATTAAAACATAGTGCAAAATCGGTTAGAATACTGAAATGAACAGGCTAATGTATGTTTACCGGAATCATACTTTTTGAATCGTTAGTTGCTCAGTTCACCGCCCGAATGATCGCTAGAATTTATCAAAAAAACATTAATGCCTCCGAAGAAGAAATCATTCCTGCCTATAACTAACGTTCCATAGTTTTTCTTTAATTTGCCGTTCGATATTTTTTGCAATTTTTATACTTTTAAAAATTTAAATTTTTCAGTTCAGATCAATTGATATTGTCATTTATATTTTATTCATTAAAATATCGTTATTCGTTTTTGTTCTTTTGCAACTTCAAAATGGGTGTGATACTCAACTAATACATTTATGCTCTAAATATATTACATATAACAATGAATGTTAATAACATAGAATGGTAGACAGCAATACTATGATTATAAATGCTGAATAGTGGAACGATTAATTAAACAGTAAGCTATGATTAGAAATGCTGAATAGTGGGAACGATTATTTATGTCAAAAGATAAAATGATACAATATGGTCATATTGTACTTGTTACCGTTTCATTACTGTTAAAATCTGTTTCGCTAAAATATAAGCTAGTTCTCAATATCTGAACCAAGGCGAAGTTCCGTTCTTTACCCTTTAGTGGTATAATAGAATTCCGTCGTGTCGTATTATTGATTTGAAAAATGGAGTGATTTTTTTAAATGCATGTATGAATATAGCATACTTTTGGTTCCCGTATACGTAGAGTCCCGAATAAGTTTTCTGTTTTTGCACTGTCCATTGTAGAAAATTATCAATCCCCATATTTCTTTTTTTTTTAAATGTTATTTTGCCTGAAGGTCAGTCATCTCTAAATCAATTTACCGAATATGTCACGACGGTCAGATCCGCTTGATTGCAAAGTGTACGTTGGAGGCTTGCCACAGGATGCTACATCTCAGGAGGTTAGTCAATTCTAGTAATTTAATTTGTGTTTTGATGCTTTCTATTAATATGCTTCATTTTCATGTCCATTAATTAATCACTAAGCGGGAGCTCGATTTTCGTGCCAATCGATAACTCATTATTTGTTTCCTTTTCATCCAGAAAAGATAAACTTCGTTTTTCATTTTTTTTAGCTTGAAGATGCATTCAATCGTTTTGGCCGCATACGTAAGGTTTGGGTTGCCCGGCGTCCTCCAGGATTTGCGTTTGTGGAATTTGAAGATGCCCGTGATGCTGAGGATGCCGTAAAAGCATTGGATGGGACGTAAGACTTGGTTTTTCTTCGTTTCTTCTCATCTTTCGTTTCAAAATATTTTGCTTTCCTTCCCAAATTAATTGGTATCATAGATTTCTTATTCCCATTTTTCTTAGAAGAATTTGTGGGGTACGCGCTCGCGTGGAAATCTCACATGGTCGTCGTCGAAACGGCGGTTATGGTGGCGGTGGAGGTGGTGGAGGTGGTGGTTATTACGAGGGTGGCCGTCGACGTTCAAGGTATATCTTAATGGTTTATTCGACCATTTTCTTAGCTGTTAGCTTTGTACGTGGATAATTCTTGTTTCTTGTGGATCAAGCTTATACTACCTTATTATTACTCACATGAAGTTAAAACTCTATTGGAGGATAGGGTTTTATTCTCCCCTCTGCATCAAAAAAGTCATATTACGGGACAGAAGAGTCTCGTCCTTTTCCGATAGTTGCACTCATAGATCGTCCATTCCATTTTACGATCCCGAGCTATTTTTTGTCATAATATCGTTTAGAGAAAATAGGATTGGTAATTAGTTATGTAAGATTGTTTTGTAAGAGTAAAATTTCCAGGTATTTGGAAACGAAAAGAGTAAGTTATTTTAGCCCATCCATGCGGTTACCACTACTATTGTTACCACAGCCATTACTACTACTACTATTGCTACTACCACTACTATCACAACTCATCTCAACATCAGCACCTACTTCATCTGCTTTTCAACTACTACTATCAGTTCTACCATTACCTAACGAATATCTTCATAGAAGCATTACGACTTTTTCATCGCTTCATCGGTTTTCGTCGCCTACACGTTTGTCTGCAACAAACATGCAGCAGCAGGAAATTTCCTGCATGAAGTAGGAAATTTCGAGGCCGTACGGATGGTCCACATTTCGGGTTGGTTTGAATGAGGCATGAACGAAGGTGCATCCTTCTACCTACCTTACGCTTCAATACAACCAACCAGGCATTTGTATTTGTAGGTGCTACCATTTCAAGAAAATCGAAATAGTTAATGTTGAAAAAAAGAAAAGAATGCGTCAGTACAGCTCTCTTTCCCAGCATCTACTATTTCATATCAAACAACATTCATCATAAAATAATAATCGTTATGATTACTATCATTATCACAATTGTCAATCGTGATCATGAATAATCATTATCGTCGTCCTCGTCACTCATCATTATCATCGTCGTCGTCATCAGTCGTCATCATCATCATCATTATCATCATCGTCGTATTATCAGTCATCATTATGATCATCATCGTCATAACCATCATCATCTATACAACATCCATTCATCGTTTCTGGATGGTAAGAAATTCGAATTTCGAAAGGGGGATATTTGTTTTCCCTTTCAAAAACAATTTTTTAACTAACACCTGACGATTCGGAAAGTTTAACGTCTTTTTCTACATCTAAAATTTTTTCGCGTTTTTCGTTTTCTATTTTCTGGTCTTTTTACTAGTGGTAGCATTATTTAAAATGTAAGAAAATTTTTCCTGATTTCGAGAACCCCTGTTTCCTGTGATAAACTGTGAGAAACGTGTCAATTTCGTTCTCGTAAAATTTCAAGTCATAATTTTCATCATCAAGTCCGTGAAGTTTTGGAACCCAGTGTATCACGCACAGATTTCATTTTATTATACTTCTTCGGTCATAAGGAAATTATTTTTTGTATTTTATTCAGTAATGATGAAATTATGCTTCGAAACGTTACGTGAATGAATTCGTCATGTGGAAGTTTGTGATAAGTATGATTTTTTTCCCTTTTATTAGGAAAAGTAATTGAAAATGGGATTTATGAAATATGACATCACTGTTTTTGAAGGTCGCCATACTATCGGAGGACACGTAGCCGTTCCATCACACCACCACCACGTAAATCGCCTCGATATGACGAAAGACGGAGTATGAGCAGAAGCCTAAGCAGGTAAGGATTCTGTAAGCTTTTTCTGGTCTGAAGATTATCTTCAGTAAATGTTTAAAAAAGTTAATTTTGGAAGAGATGAATTGGAGAAAATAAGAATATATAAAAAATTTTTTCCTGCTTCTGTCATTGCTGCTTCGTTATTGTTTATAAGAGAAAAAAGAGAAAAGAATTAAAAATTAGAAGTTATTGGTTTTTGGATCACCCATTAAAGCGTTTGGAAACATCTGAGTGAAATGGTATCGAAGAAAGTTGTGTGGATTTTAATCAGATATATTTGAATTATATTTTGTTCGATTACATTGCCATTAATAGTGCAAATTTTTTTGCGTTACCATCAATGAATTCATGAAGTTATCTTTTCCATACTTTATTTTTATGCAACTATGTTAAAAAATTTTTAGAGAATGATCGAGACAGTGGCGGATAAAAAGTCTTCAGACTTATTGCTTAATTACGACTCTAATTATTGTCCACGTAAGAAGGAAGTTTCTTGACATATGTCTCCTGTACATTAACTAGAACATATCTAAAATTGAAAATAAGGAATTTAATTTGAATTCATTTAGTCAGAAATTTCATAAGTGATATAGCAATAAACTAAGCGATGAAGAAGTCCATCAATTCTTTTTGTCAGATGCTTTTAAGAGATAAATCAAAATCCTTTATTAAATCATCATGTAATAAAATTCTATCAATATATGGAACTTTAAGCTTGTAACGATTATTGTTTAACGATACAGGACATTCATGGCGAAATTAGTGTTTTTTTTTTCATTTGGAAAAAATTCCGATGCTGAAAAAAATATTTTTTGTTTGATTTTGTCACATTTGACGTAATCTGCTATCTTAAAATAGTGTATGTGTTTTATTAGATATGATTATATTTCAGATTGAATCATTGAATTATTTTTTGTCTCAAATTTGTCAAATAAAGTGCAATGTTGCAATGATTTTTGATTATTACAAACTATTCCTTATCTCTCTGACTCTCATGTAGACATCCACCTATATACATAACATAAATTAATATATACTAAATCGACTAAAGTATCCAAAATTTTTATGCTTACGATTAATTCTTATGGCCCGGAATTATAAAATAAACCATTATAACAAGAAGTTATAAAGTGACTATTGAATAAAGATGATTATTAGATAGAATTTTTTATATAAATTCAACAACAATATTATTGATATTATATTCTCATATCACGTATGATTACAACTCATCATTGTTGAAATAACGTTTTCTACGTTTAGCAAAAGGTGACCGAAACAAATGGATACCATATTCATCTTGTAATTTCTGTGCACGATCCAACATGATTTGATAACGATTAACAAACAACGGCTCTATTGTTTTCTTCAAATCGTTTATCTGTAATCAATTTAAAAAGTGTAACACTAAATACTATTAAATTAAAAGAAACAGAATGGTGGTGGATAAAATTGCTGAAAATATTGTTATCCAAGCTTGATGTTCATGTAATACTAAGATTTTAAATGATATAGTCTTAAAATATGAAGCTGCATCAATTAAAGAATTTTATAAATGCAAAGATGAGATCTAGGATGTAAAGTTTATCATATTTTATGCAGTTTTTGAAAATTGCAAAGGGTAAAGGAGAAGATATGAAATTGATAAAAGTCGACGAAAAATTATTCCTAATTCTTTTCTAGATATATGTACAGTAATAAGTGAAATTCAACTATTAGCCAAACAAAAATCGTTGCAAATTATAAATGATAAAAAAACGAAAGGATAGGAAAATAAAATAAGAGAAAGGTAAATGAGTGTAAGAAATGAAAAAGATAGTGTACTAATGAGTTAATCAGTAAAATAATTACAAATAATTCATTTACTAAATGAAAAATTATGTCAAATTAAAAATAAACAAAATAAATGAAAATTTAAATTGAAAAATTTCATGCTTAATTAATTCAAACTAACCATTTTCTTTTCTTCATGATTACTTTTGGTTGGATCTTGCCGAAATATATCAACAACTTGAATAGCATCAATTACTAACGGTGGTAATTGATCTATTTCCATTCCAAGTTCTTCACGTTTTTCATAAGCTTCTTTTTCTGTTTTCTTCATAATTTCTTCGAATGTTTTCTGAACGAAATTTATGATTTTGAAAAAAATTTCATATAATTTGCCTTTGAACTCTGTTAAAAATCAATATTATAAAATTTCAAATTTCATATTAACCGATATTAAAATTTCAAAGCGATGGCAGTGGAAAATTCAACAAATTTCAACAAATATGCTAATTAATGAAGTAAACGGAAGAAAAAAAAATCTTCATTTAACACTTTTCTATGAAGAAAAATATTCGATGTAATATGCATTTTAGAGAAATTTTAAAATTATAAATAAAGCCAACCATAAAATTGGATCCTTCATTTTTTGCCCAATCAGATAATTTCATATAAATGTTATCAATATCTTGCATTTCATCATTTGCAATGTTTTGAAATAACTGTTGACCATTACTGGATGCTTTCTTAGATAATGGAGTTAATAAACGGATAATTCGTCGTTTTGGGGTATTAATTGAATCGGAAAAATTTGAGAGAATAAAAAGAAGTAATGGAATTGGAACTAAGTATGGTAATTGACCGGAAAATAGTATCATTTGTATTTATTGGCAAATTTTACAGCTACCAAAATTCGACATATAATACTAGATTTTATCATTTGAAATTAGCATCACTCATATAAAAATATATGAATTATTATTGCCGAAATTGAATCATACAATTACAATTCAAAATTATATTCTCACACCCATTTCGTTATCTATCATATCTGGGAATTTTTCAATTGCAAATCAATTGATTTCATTTTTTTCACTAATATAAAATCATTACATAAATATTATAAAAGAATAGAACAAAGAGAAATTTAAATTAATAAAATCAAAAGAAAAGAATTATTTGATCATATATGCAAACGTAAACAATCTTTCTGAGCAAACTATAACTTTGTATAAATTAATGAACGAAAAAAAAACAATAGAAAATATTTGTTTATTGTTAAACTAATTTTTATTACATCAATGAGTGCTTTTTGCATTCATTAAGTTTTGATTATAAATTTAAAAAAAAAGAATCTGTTCCAAGAAAACCTTCCGCATTCTGAACAATTTGCGCCTCTTCTCACCTGTCCAAGTCAACGTGTGCCATTAGGAGATTTTTCCCGGAAATAGAGAAATGCTTTTTCAATATTTTACTTTCCATCAATGTGAACATACATATATCGTTTAAAATCTCCACATTGCACCGATATAAGTCAGCATATTACACTTTTAATTTGGTACTTTATTTTGGCACGGTATCGAATTTTCTTCTTTTCATTTATAACTTGTTTACCATTTCTTCCAGTCATACTTTGATTCATTGATTTAACTTCTTTTTCATTCACTTCTTCGGTTGATTGAAAATTTAATGATTCTTCTCTTTACTCTCCTCTCCAATCTTCTTGAATTGATAAATTTAATAGCTCTGTTTGTTCTTCTATTCACTTCTTCAATTGATATGTTTATATTCATTGCTTGTTTCTTACTTCCTTTTGAAATTGATAAATCCAATAGCCTTAATTGTCCACCACTTAACTCACTTTTTGCACTGACTAATTCAATGATTCTATTTGCTCCTTCTTTTAGCAATAATAAACTCAATGATCCTGTTTATTCGTCAAACTCACTTTTGCCGTTAATAAAATCCAACGATTTCAATTTTGTTTTCCTTCCGGAAATCAAATTGAAAATCAATTTAATTTTATAAATTATACGAAATTGTGAAATTAAATTAATTTTTAATAAACTTATGGTAGTTTAAATATTTGCTTAGTTGGAAAGAGAAGAATAGAAAGGAATGGATGAAATAAATATTAATAAAAGTAATTTCAGGTTAATTCTAAAAAATATTCAAATCTACTTAGTAAACAGAATGTTGCATTCAAGAATGACACACACACACACACACACACACACACACACACATACACATACACACACACACACACACACACATTGTCTTCTCTTTAATGACAAATGCTTAGAAGAGGAATTTTTGCCTTCCTTTGAATATCTTCCGAAATATTTATTAAATTAAAAAAATGCAGTAAAATTATTTGATTGCTATTTGATCGTAATGAAATGATCAATTTTGAAGAGAACGAAATTTTAGGAATAATAATTTCTTTTCGATCGATATTAATAACATACCATAGAATGAATTTGTAAATTTTGCATTTTGAATTATTTACGAACAAATTTCATATACTTTGGTCCTTTGAAATCTTTCTTTCCTTTCTTAATTTCATTAGTTCCTTTTACTTTCTTTTGAATTAAAATGAAAGTTACTTTTTAAGAACAAAATTTTCTTCGCTCTAAAATATTATTTCATTTCATTTTAAATTAACATTAATGAAAAATTTCTAAAAACAACTTTTTATAAATTAGTTTTAATATAAATATAAATGGTTGAATGCAATTTTGAAATTGCTTTTATTTGCTTTTCAGTACAATTATGATAATTGCTGTATACTGTAAATGTTATGATGAATATAAATTTGCTTTAAAAAAAATTAGAAGACATACTTTAGTGATTACTAATATTATTTGAATATAATCAACAACAGATAGATATTACATCTTTAAAATACAAATGCAATTGGAATGTTTAAGCAAAGAGATATTAAGCATTGCTTTTATTTCAATCAATCTTGATTGTTAAATTATGAATAGTTTCGGATTATCTGATCTTAACCGGATAATCAAAAATATGTTCTAACATGCTTGATATTACTTAATCTTATTGCTATATCTGTAATATGTCAAAAATAGGCAAATCAAATTCTTTGCAGTATGTATTGTGATAAGTTTAAAAAAAAGTAAAACAAAAGGAGGCGAATTTTCAATAATTATTTGAAATTGAAAAAAAAATCTTGCAAAGAAAAGATCAAAGGTACTGAAATATGTTTGCTTAGCAAAGAAAAAAATGAAAATTAATTAATGAATATTTTGCATTTCGATACATTTTATATTAACTGACATCCTTGCAATGTTGCAGTACGAACGATACACAAAGTTTCATCTTTCAAATTTGATTATACAAATGACTGACAGCAACAAAATAACAACAACAACAACAACAACAATAAAAGATTTGAAATTGGTACAATTGTATGAAAACAATTTAAATGATGTGATGCAATTTTTGATGAAACATTTCATTCCAAATGAACCAACCGCTCGTTCAGTTCGTATGTCCTTCAATGATGGTTGGGAAATAACTGAAGGTTCGTTTTCTCTCTTCTTTTATTTTTAATTATATTAATTTAATTAGTAATGAAATTTAGCATTTATATATGGCACATATTTACATTTATTTATTTATTTACTTGTGGATAGAGAAATTATTCTATTCTCAGGTGGAATTACTATACTAATGTGATAATATTCAAAACGAAAATTTGGTATTTTTTTTATTTAACATGTAATATTGATTGTCAATAATAATAATCTTCTAGCATATAATATATTCATCGGACAGAAATATTTAAATAACAGCTTGTTAGCTTATTTCAAATATTTATCGACAATTTTGACATGAACTTTATAAAATGCTTTAATGCTTGAAATTTTATTTTATTTTCAATCAAACAAAATTTAATTTTTTGACGCTTTGTCTTATTCCTTTAAAAGGGAAATATTTTTGAAGGAATAATTATTTCGTTCATTTTTCAGCAATAGTTCGAAATTGTCTCAAATTTCCGTATTCTTATGCATTAAAAAACGAAGATGATGAAATAGTTGCCGTTCGATTGGCTGAGGTGATAGAACGACCAAAATTAAACGAAACAAACAAATGCGAAGTAAATTGAAATATAAACAATCATAAAATTATTACATCAAATATTATTGCTACCAGCTAAGAATTTAACAGAAGACAAAAATTTAACGCCTGAAAATATAAATTATCTTTTTTACTTTTATAAAAAAGTATTAAAATCAAGAAAAAAAGAATACTTGCATTTTCATTTAGAATGATAGAACATTTGTTTTATCGAAAGAAATAAATGAACACAACGAAAAGGAAACGGAAAAAATGGCAATATCAGCAGTTGAAATAAACCGATTGCTTAAAACATTGGAATCAAAGGTTTGTGAGTAAATAATTGAAAACAACAAAAAAGGATTAATTTGCAATGATAATGATAAGCTATTATTCTTAATTTATGATAATTAATAAGCAAAAAGACAAAAAAAAAATTAATTCTAAATTTGATGAAATTCAATTACAGATATGGCATTTGGTAGCAACTTCAACTAAAAAACTTTTAGCAATTATGATCATTTCAACGCATGAAAAATATACTAGACGTGGTTTGATGCGTGAATTGTTAACGTTTGATTTGTTGAAACAAAAATGTGATGGTATTCAAGGTGGAATTAGTGAAGCTACTGCATATAATTCTCAAAAAGTTTGCTGTTTTTAAATGAAGAAAAAAGAAGAAATACAAATATTAAAATATTTTTTTACAACATTTCGAAAAATACACGAAACTTTGTTATCAAATATTTACGAAAAATAAAAATAATGTGAATAATAGTTACTTTAAGATCCATTTCAACAGTTCATAGTAATTAATTGATATAAATCAATCGATACAATATCATTAATTATTACATATCTATTTAATGATTTCTCAATCAATTATTTTCTTTGCAGTTATTCGCCGAATTGGGTTTTGAAGTCCTCTACCAAATAAACTATAATGATTGGTTAGACAGAAATGACAAACAAATATTCAAATGTGATGATCGAACAAATTGTGCTCAACTTGTTCATCGATTATATTGATGAATTAATTGAAGGAAAACAAAAAATTTGAAAATTTATCGAAGGAATCATGAAAGTTTCGTGATTGTCATAATTTATATTATAATATAATTATAATAATGATATGATGGTAGTTGCAATAGAAATAATAAAAATTATTACGAATTTTTGCTCAAAATCACAAACATATCATTCATTAAATTTTTTGCAGTGATTGATCAAATCATCCTTTCAATTATTCTATATAATTAACTCTTTTAGGCAAAAATACATTAGAGATTGCTCATTAATAATTCCATCTTTCTCTTACTTGCCACTGCCATAAATGCCATCAATTGTCGATATTCAGAAAAATTTTTATTAGAATAAAATTTCGTTTTCCTTTTCTAAATTATGGCTAAGAGCTTTTCTTAGTTTTCTTGAGATTTTCCATCAATTGATTACCGTATATTTCGGTTACCATCAAACTATTGCTTTCTTCATCATCTTTTGATTACTGTGTTTTTACGTTAAAATACAGCTACTGAGTTGTTCGCGAAATGTGTAGAAAAAAACCTCAATAGGATATTTCTATGAATTGAATAAGTCGGAGTCAGTTTTCCTGATACTGATAGTTGATAACAAGATAAGTGGTGCTATCATAGAAAAAAATTGTTGAATTGTCGTCAGGTGACAAACGCATTTCACCAAAACATATAAATTTAAAGTTTATATTAATCAATTATCAAGAATTGATAATTTTAAGAAACCAAATAATTCAATTTTTCCTTTTTGCTGTACTTTTAAAGCAAATTGTATTTCAAATAAATGGATACATTCAAAGATATTAAAGTTAAAAACTTCTCGGTGGTCTCAAAAAAAAAATCGTAAAAAGATAAAACACGTAAGTTTCCATGCTGCAAAATATACTAAACAACAAAACTGTTGAAATGCAAACTAAAAAATTTTTGATAATCAGAAATTTCCATCTCATTTGTATGCTATTATTCAGAAATAACTGTTAGCTTTTCAATCATTTTAATGATTTCCTTTCATTGTTGAATTCGCTTAAGTGAATTTGGAAAGAAAATTTAATGATGATCGTTGTATTATTATCTTCATTTTACAAAAATAAAAGAAAAAGAAAGATATATGGGAAATAGGGAAATATAGAAAGGAAAAAGAGGAAAAAAGTGTTTAAATAGAGGGAATACAAAAATGGAATGCGAGGAATCCACTATTCTGACTATTATGATCTTCAACAATAATGCTTTATTTTCAATTATCTTATCTAATAAAGATATGATAAAAGATATTAACACTTCTCCGCATAAAACGACTGATATTTTGTGGTGATAATGGAAGAAATGAATTTGAGCTTTTTCAGCGGCATTAAACAAGAAATGTACATCGATATGCTATTATCCATCATGTATTTTTGAAAAAGGATAAATTAAAATTGCACAAACTCCCGTCAAATGATTGACTAAATATTGCCGTTAAATACTTTCCTTGATGTAAATATTTTTTAGTCAAATATATGTAAACAAACCAAAACTAAAACAATTCAAACATTATGCAAAAATAATAAAGAAAGGATAGGTAAATCTAAGCCATTAATTCCCTGTTCAGTCAGTGAAAATGCCAAATACTTTGTTTTTTATTAGACCAAAATTTAGATTTTCGATTTTCACCTTATTTCTAAAAATTCCAAACGAAATTATACAGAGATTTCAGAATCCAACCTGTTACCATCACAATTCCACCGGATGAGAATTAAAATCTATGGAACTCCATTATATTAAAAAGATTGGATTTTCTGTTACTTTGAAATTGGGCGGAATTAAAGAAAGCAAGTCAGAACTGTTATAACAATTGCGTCCGGCAGTACTTTTTTTAAGTTTTTGAAGCTAAATTTATTTATGGAAAAACATTTCAACTGCAGGCTTTGGCAAGAAACAAATTGCAAGCTGTTTCATGGAAAGCGGTAAAAACTAATGAAATTGGATCGGTTCACTCACATTTTGTTTAAAAACGGTAAATAATCTAATGTCCGACTAAAAATTAAACAAAAAAGAAGTGATATCTACAAGGCAGCTAGCAATGGTTCCCAAACAGCTAACACAGATATATGTCATAAGGTTTGTAAACCCATTTTACTTTCCTATTTCCTTATTCGTTGACAAACGGTTTCGTCAGTTCATATCACTAAGTCGAAAAATGCGGTTACAACACTGCTGACACCGAAGAAATAAACATACACTCAATTTTACAAAATTACGCAAAAAGTACTTGACCCCAAGTCAGGGTGATCCAAAATATTGCCTACAAAACAAAAAGGTACTTTATGTATAGTCCAGCCTAAATGTTCGCACTTCCATTGGTTCTAATAACACGTCATTCACGTCACCAGGATGATCGTATAACATTGTTAACGATGTTTCCGTTACACGTGAAGGTGCTTTCATGAATAAACGCTTCACATTAAGCTGAAAAAATGTTAAATCTAGAAGTTGGATGAATCAATTAAATTATGCAAGAAATATTAAACAAAAAAGTTATTCAACAGCACGCATAATCTTCTATCAAACAATAATAGCTGTAATATAATGGAGTTTAAAATGAAAGAAGATCTAGATAAAAATTAGTTTACAAGCATGAAATCATTCGTTTCACCATTTTTCTGGAAGACACTTATGAGTTTATTTGATATCGTCCAATTCCTAGATTTCTAATTCATATTTCAAGATCCAAAAGATATAAAAACTAGTAAAACATACCGTAGCATTGCACGTTTCCAACAATTCAGTAGTAAAGCGACAATCGACACCAAAACGGTGCAAAATAAGACCATATGAATTACGAGGAGTATGAATATGAACCGAACGAGCACCGTAAATCGTTGGAGCTGCTAAGGTGCGTAAAGTAATCAGATGCATATTATCACATGAGAATGCAGTATTCATCAACTTATAATTATTGGCATAGCCTGAAATATAGCAACAAATAGTTCGAATGCATCACTACCAGCAACAGTAACTCATTTCCATTATAGCATTATAATATTCAACTCGTCATGACATAATTCACTAGGAAAAAGTCTGAATGCTGAACCGGTAAGATATAAGAGCCGACATAACAAAGGTAAATACTAACAGTTGTGGCGGTATGTTCAGTATAACAAGAGTGAAGCATATAACTTTAGTTTACACAACAGTCTGCTCCGTCTACATGATTTATATTAGTTAATAAGCAACTAAACTTAAAGCAAGTCGATTGCTTCAAATAAAGCTTATTATCACAGATCTATATTTGCTTTATTAAGAGAGGATGCATAAAAAACTCCTAAAATCATTTATCAATTTGTTAACAATTATCGTCAATTTATTCACCGCACCAATAGATGAGAAATTAGAAAAAAAAACATATTTGAAACTTGAAAGCTAAGACGCACCTTCACTCAAACTAGTCAGCAATACTACAGGTGGATATAACAATGATAACATCCGACCATAAGTATGCGGGGAATGATAAGCAGTAACGCTGGCTTTAGTATTCACCGGAACATTTCGAGAAGGAACTTCAAACAGAAGCCGGAAAGAACTTATTGTTTTTCTATTATCTGTTACACCCTGAAAAAGACTCAACTCAAACTTTTCGCGATTTTTTGAAATAACCTGATATAACAACTTATTAACAGCCTAATTGTCATTAGCTGAATAAAAACGAATAGCCGCGATGGATATGCTGACTGACTGAAACAAATGCACCCCCTTCAAAAGTTCCTTGCATATATCATCAGAAAATATATTATGTTGAATAAATCAGATATTCCTTAATTCCAAAACACATACACTAAAAAGGCCTCTTCCATCATCCTGATTTAAGCGTCGATCCAACATTATATCCATCTGTCCTGCAATCTATCATCTATCGAAAATTTATCATTCCTAATAAAATGTGTCATACCTACAAGAGATTTTTCTTTGCTAACTCATATCTATCAAATTTTCTTGTTTTTTCATTCTTTTTATTAAAGCTTTACCACTGAGATTTTAAAAGAAACTTACAACGTACTCCATGATCAATATTCCCTACGGTAATCGTTATTTATACGATTGGTTAATACTATTATTAGTTATGATTGTTATTATGATTATTAAGTTTTACCAATTTTCATCATTGATATTTTTCATCAAACTCTTTACCATTTTTCATCAAAAAGTTTTACCATTCTTCAAGAGATCATAATTGTTATGATTATCAGCAAAAAATGGAGAGGTTATTTAGATCGCATACCGCTAGCAAGATTTGCAACTCCTGAAGGTTGAGCACTTAGAAGCGTCATCCGTAACGTTTCATCTTCTATGAAAGCTGAAGAAGGCATTGGAAAGAAATGGGCATGTAGTGGTAATTGCTTGAATCTGCGTCGTTTCACCATCTGAAAATAGCATTCCGAATTGAAATCTAATAATATAAACAGGAAAAAAGCTCCATTCTAACCAAAGTAGAACCTCTGACCATCTAATCTAATGTAACCAAAGTGTCAAAGCTGCAAAAAATCTTAAAAACAAGCAGATTTGAATTATAATGTCATACCCACCCAGCAAGACATGGGAAAAAATGCAACCACGGAAGATTAATACATTTTTATTCAACATGATTTTGGAACTTTTGCTGGATTTCATATCTTGCTATTACTGCTATGATTAGGATTATAATTAGCTAATAGCTTTTAAAGTAACTTGTGGAGGATTCAAATTAGCATAAGTTTGTTGCAGCACAAAATTCTTATATCACTACTACTATTTTTCTTACTGCTATCATTCTTCTTAAAAATTTTCATAGAAATCATTAAATTTTGTTATATAGTGGAATGACGACTACCTGATATCCATTAAGATCAGTGAAAAACTCATCTCCATTATCAATTCCCGCTTCTAATCGCATTGCTAACTCAACATTCTGAACATTATCCAAATGAAATGTATTTTCGATCTCTATCGACGGTGATAATAGTGGGATTTTTACAACATGAGTAAAAGTCATGTTTCCGTCATTAGCTAGCAACACCTAAAAAAGATTAAAAGAATGTTTCGTTTCACGAACTTTACGATGTTATATTTTAGCTTTAATTAAAAAATGTAGTAATCCAAAACTTGCATGTACGGAAAAAATAATTACTGACAATCTTTTGGCAATATCGTCATCGATTGCGTTACTTAATCTTTGCTGTAAAAAAAAGAAGAAAAATGTCAGAGTTACCTTTTGCATTATTATTCCTTGAACAGCTATAAATGATTGCTTAATTTTCACTGGTTTTGCTGGACCATTTGGTAGAAATAAGTAAGCACCAGGAGGATTATCGGTGCCTTTCAGAGGTACTGCGAAAAATAATATTTTATGTCATCATATTTAAAATCAAAATGGCTTGTGCTCAAAAAGCTAAGAGTTTTTAACTTTAATCTTCATTTTCATCCAATTAGAAGTGCATATAATTTCAAAAAATTTTGACCATAAATTGCAAAAATAATTATATAGAGAGCAACTAGAGAGAAAGCTCATTAGACATAAGTCTGAGGTGAACGAACTTACATGGGCTCTTCGGTCTCGTTCCATACCATACGAACGATGTTTTTACTGGTATATTCTTCCCTTGTTTTAATGATATAGACTGGAAAAAGTTTTAAAAAAAGAAGGAAAAAGAGAACAAGTATGACAAAATAGAGAGAACAAGTATTGACAAAATAGAACAAAAAAGGAAAATGAGGAGAAGTTCATTCCATCAGCAAAAACTTTTCATAATTAAGAAACCTCCAGAAGACTTTGAATTTCAAAAGTTTGCCATTACCATAGATATAAAATTTCCTTTGTCTGTTTTATCTCATTTTCACCTTATTTCCATTTCAAGACTTGAGTAATTGAACTTACATCCAAATAACCTGTTTTTGGATCAAATGCTGCTGATATTAAACCATTATCAAATGTAAAATCTCCCAATGGCGCAACATCAAAGTCGCTGGAAACAAATGAAAGTGAAAGTAAATAAATAAAAATAAATGAAAATTCAATAACCTATAACTACGTAAATTTAATAATGGTTCTTTTTTTTTTTTACCAACACTTGAAGCTTCTAAATGGCGCTACTTTTACTGAATTTTATTCTTCGAATAAATTTTCATTTCATCAAATATTGGGCAAAAAAGTCAAGCAGTAAGCAAGGAATAACCTGCTCTGCAACCCAGTAAAATTCAATCGAATCACGGCCTTGTCATGTTGAGCACCGGATTTAAACAAATATTTCTGGAAGCTTAACGGAAGTATGCGGGAAACGAAGCAAAGCTGAAAAATGAAAGATTAACACTAACGAGAGGTGATTAAAAAATGAATTTGACTAAAATCATTTCATTAGTTCCAGTCTCCAAAACTGAATGTGATTGGTAACTAGCAGAATAGAAGACATATCTTGAAATCTTACCTCATATTTCTTTGAATCGATAACCCATTTGTTGTTAACGAATTCAAGAACCGGACCGATTTGTTGCAAAACAGTTACATTGGGCTCCGAAGCTAACACTACTACCGTATTCAAAGCATTAACATGAACACATATCGTTTCCATCCGTAGGCTTCCCAGTGAATTGAATAAGATAACTTCGCTGAAATGGACACAAAAATCATTCACAAATTAAATAACTGGAACTATCCTTTTCAAATCGATCCGTTTTTATTTATTCCAATTCTGTCAAAGTCCTTGAATTATCCTATCTTACTCTAAGATGTAAAAACAGTTCTGAAACAATGCTTAAAACCATGTGTGAAATTAAAAATACGTTTAAATCTACAATAAACTTAATCTTAACAAGACGTTATTGTCAAGCAGTTTAAAACAAACTAATTTGGAAAATTTTTTCTTCTCCTTCTAGTCCCATATCGTTACCGTAAGAAATTTATAAAGAATTGGAAAAAACGAAAAAATTTTCAGATTATGATATTTCTACTTACTCCTTCCAAAAAATATTATGACACGAAAGTTTCAGTTTAATTTTCAAATGTTCGAAATTCTATCCATTTGTTATTTTGTAGCATGCTCTTTTTACAAATTATATAGTATATCAATGATGCAAATCATTACTAAGAACGCAATTTTAAAGGATGTGGCATAAATGTAAACTTCGCTAACCTTCCATGCATCACAACTCGTTTTTCCGGAAGTGATTCAAAAGTGCGATGGTTTTCTTCCTGAAATTTTCAAAATTCAGAACGTTTTTCGAAAATTCCTTGAGAATTCATGTTTGGACAAAAAAAAATCTGGAATTAAGAATATCCTTAAAAGAATTAAGTACAGTAATAAGTATATTAAGTTTCTTATGATGAGAAAAAGGAATAATTTTTTATAGTGTTGAAGAATATCGACATATATATCTGGAAATTGGAAAACGCTGCATTTTATGCAGTGTAAATCGCTAAATAGCTACAGTAATAAAATCTTTCCATTACCAGAAATACAATGTGAATCCCAAATGAACAAGAGCTACATGTAATCATATTATCTGCTAAACAAGAAAACCAAAAAGATGAATCCTGATGATCAAACTGGAAAGACGGATATATGTGCGCATTACTAAAATTCTAATAATGAATCTAGTAATAAGGATTATAACCAATTACAAATATAAAGTTTGAATCTACCATCGAAAGGCTCGAAAGGTTAAAAGAATTTCGTGATGCCTCTCCTCGAAGCAAAAAGCCTGCAGCTGTGAGTATAATTTCTTCGGAATTTTTCATCGCATCAAACATTCTGCATAAAAAAAGCTTTTTTGAAATAAATCGAATAGATCATAAATGATACTATTAAATTGATAAATTTTTCAAATTTTTGGAAAACAATGAAAAAACTTAAGATATGTTACGAATACATAATAAATGATGACTTACGTAATGATTTAAAATATGAAAGTCAAGAAAGTATATGAAAACAGATATATTACAACAGTTAATTACACTTTTTGATCAAAATGCAATTTTGTATAACAAACTTCTGGCCATAATCAGCCATAACTTCATCTTTCGAAGTGCCGGTAATGGCATCATGGTGCTGGAACAAATTCATCCAACGTCGAGCGACCACAAGCAATCCAAATAGTCGTAATGCATTTTCTTTCTCCAGTCCTTTCATTCCCATAAAACTATATAAAATTTCAGCAGTTCTAAAATAAAGAAACATTGATATGTAGAAAATGAACAGAAAAGTAGTAAAAAAACAGGGAAATCATATGAGTACTAAGTGATTTTTCAAAAAACAAAATTAGGACAAAAATTTTGATTTCAACACAGTAATGAGAAAAATCAAGGATTTTTCCACACTTATTTCTACTACATTTTTCAGAAAGTCCGTATGCTGTCACTGCCAATAATATATCCCTACAATCTAATTTCGCAGTAGTTCCAATAAGATCAGTTATTTCTCTAAAGTGTTAACCTGACATAATGTTGTAAAACACGATCAAAATGCTTGTGAAACGGTCGACTCGTATAATATCCTGAAGGCAATTTCTTGTTTGGTAAGATTTCAGGAATCAAATTTTAAGACATTCATCATTCCGAGAAAAATATATTTTTGTTTGAAAGATAAAATATAAAACAAATAACGCCTCTGTGCATTAATGATTGAATAAGTCATATTTGTCGGTATTTTACTTTTAGGAACAGAAAACGAACCGCTCCAATAATGATCATTTCGGTCGGCATATGTGAAAAAATCGCCGGACAGAACTGGTAAATGATCGTTATCTTCGTGCAAACGTTCATGAACTAAACGGAAATAGTCACTCAGAGTCCCGAAACGAGCCTGAAATAAGGAAAAATCCATTTTTTGAACATGCATTCTACTTGCCCTTTCTAACATGATTTTATAGGAAATCTGAAGTGTTATTTGAATTCCATAATACTACTTTCCAATTAAATGGCTAGAATTACAGAGAAAAAGGTACTATTCTCCACAATATATATATATATATCTATTCTTCAAATAATAATTGCAGTGATTTACTGTTTAATATGTTATACACCAATTCAAGCTTCAATATGCCGTGCTAATCATTCTTATATGCCAGAAAGCCTATTTTTTGGCCTATAATAACAAGTAAATTACGAAATCAAGAGTAACAGGTTGATTATTTTCTTACAAAGGGTAAAATACTAAAGCAAGAAGTTACTACAAAGGATCCAAAACTCAAAAGTAGGTAAACCAGTGTCTAAAAAATGAACTTACATTTACATTCCACTCATTTTGCGCATTCATATAGACGAATAATTTCATGTAATTTGCATATTGGCTATTCCATTCAAATTCAGTGTCATAACGAAAATCATCACCCAATGGTACCAAAACGACATTTGTCTTGAAGAGTTGTGCTTTTTTTCTGTACTGATCATGCAATAATGCTGCTCTGTAATTGTGACAGTCCAATTCAGTAAAATCATTTATAACGACTATACTCGGAAAATGTTTAAAAAAATATCACGCAATATTAATGAGAAAAAAATAGAATAAGTAACAGATAGTTAAATCAAATTAAACCAAATCAATGAAAATAGACGGAGGTTGGACTACTTGCGGTATCGGAAACTAGTACGTTGCCCAGAAATACACAATGTCATTCATCAAAACCATAAGCTTTACCTCGCCTTAACATTATTCTCGGTAATATCAACTGCCGGCAATTTCCATGGACAATCTATATCACCTCTAGCAGTTCGTCTAAAGTCAAATTGACAACATATCTTCGGATCTGGACCACATGTATGAGGTATATCATACGAAAAAAACGGCATTACATGTGTAGTAAAATCTGTTGAATTGTCACGATTGCCTGCAAATCTTCAACCATTAATTTCATTATTCATTTTCACTGATGATAAAATGATTTTATGATAAAATGATAAGTAAATAAAGCTGTCAATCAAAGAAGATTTGAATAGAAAAAAGTGTGCACAAAGTTTAAATTTACTGATCAACGAAGTTAAGTCACTGTAGTAACATTTAATCTTTGTTTACTTATTAACCAAACAATTCTATTTCCATAAAAAAATCAAGGTTTAGTTACATGAGGACTTAAATAAAACAAATTATTCAAAAATGCTAACATCGTAAACACTTTTTTCTCACTAAAGAAATTATATAATGATTGTAGTCGAATTAACCCTCTGATAATAAATGTCATAAACAGGTGAGACTTCAACAACTTTTTAATCGAGTGTTTTAAATAAATTTAAATGCTATTAATTAAAATCGAATAAAATTATCTCCGGGGATTGATAACAGCGATTAATTCGACTGCAGTTTTGGGAAATGCCTTCGTAAGAGTTTATGCCAGAGTCATGAGAGATATTGAAATTCCTAAACTTTACATTCATGACGTACCCCATAACTGTCTCCACATAAATTCTAGCTCTTTCTTTTCTGCTAAATACTTTTTCACCGAATAATGAACTCTTTGAAGTACACCATTCGAAAAATTGGATAATTTCATAAAATATGAAATTGTCGGACTTAAACCGAAAGGATCGATAGACCAGTGATTCTTTGGTTTGTAATCTGAAATCATTACATCAAAGCGTGAGGAATTACCAATTGTTAAGCAAAACAATGACCACAGGTTTGAGATTTCTCGAGGGAAAGTTATACTTTTATTTCAAAGAGCTATGATCAAGAAACCATGTGAATTTAATACTTCCATTGTCATGACTTTCTTTAATTACGGTTTTAAATATATGAAATCATGATAGTTCATAACCTTCTCCAATGTGGTTCTGAATCCATTCATGTCCTTCCATCAACTGACTAATCAATCCATAGTAATGTGAAGTAGCTTCGTCAGGCATCACCCAACCACCGGTTAATATTTCCAACTTTTGTGATTTCAAAAGCCTTAAGTAACTAACATAATTGTTGGTTAAAAAAAGTAAAATGATAACAGAAATGAACCAAAAAATCCGACATATAAAAATTTTTGCTCACCTACAGAACTAGCGTTAACTAAAAAAAGTATTTTTTCCAAAGGTAACTGGCCCCGCCTGATATATGTTAGTAATAAGCAAAGTTGGAATGCAAGTCAAAAAAATACTGAGTAAACAAATACCAACACTTTCGTGTAAATTCGACGTTCTACTAAATGAATTACTGAACGCCAATATATAATTCAGACATTCAGAACCACATTTTAAATAGTAATAAGCTGTGTTGGCTATCATAATTTCTAAAGCCCTCTATGATAAACTACTTTCAGCTCTGGCTCATTATATCACCCAAATTTGCTTATTTAAAGTTAAATCGTATAATTCTTTTGAAGATTAAGCTTTGGAAAAAAGACAAATTCGATAGTTCTTAAATCAAAAAATGAACAATTAATCGAAAATCGAAATGTATCTTCATAAAATACCAGATAAAGTCTTACTGTTTTACTAACTCTCGCTTTTCTTCATCAATTTCCGCCCACCATCGTTCAAAAAAGCTCATTTCTGCATAAACAAAACGCATTTCATCCATTTTTTGCAAAGAATTCAACATATTATTCAGTATATTTCGCGTTTGAGTTTCATAATATTCTTCAAAAGTTCTTATCCAGCCTAAAAATGTTTTTTTCCAAATAAGTTACGTGTATTCTTCCGAAATTCATAATTTTAAACTAATATTTTTCGCTTAAGATTCGCCACTCTACCTATGAATGAAATTGTTGCAAATGTATACTATCTTATCGAATGATTAGTCAGTAATGTTTGAAATGGCAAAAATAATCAATAGCGAAAAAAATGAACATATTGATGTAGTAAATTAAAAAACATTGAAAAATATATAACCTGGGTCATTATGTGAATGAGGTACTACAATTACTTCAAGTTTTTTTTCACGTCGTATCGATGATTGGCTATACACAATATCGTAACCTTGTTTCCAGACTCCACCATCCGGATCATCAAACGGTAGTTTACTATATATGTCTAACATCTTAAGTAAATTAGTGAAAATATAAGCAAATTGATAAACATGAATAAATGATAAATGAAGGAGTAAAAAATTAATATTTTTGAAAAATTTTCACAAACTATTGAACTAAGTTATGTTCACGTGGTATTCTGGGGCTCTGTCTAAATTCACAGTAAGAAGGAAGCTATATGAAGAATTTTTTGACTTTAATCCAAAGTACTAAAATCAGAAGTAGAAGATTAGAGCTTGAAAAAAAAGTTACTTGGATATTATTATCATCGGGTGTTGTCATAGACATAGCCGAAAAACACATGCTATAAGGTGAAGCAGAAGAAAGGCGATTTGAAAACTGCCTAACAATACCAATCTATAATTTCAACAATTGAACTTTTAACTGATAAGTTTGATTGTGAATTATTTCCACCAAATTAAAAAAGAATGTTAATACCTGCTATCTGAGTATGAGCAAATCTTAATTAGTGACCATCTAACTCAAAAGACTCAACAAGGAATTACTTTTATAGAATAAGCTAATTACTCGAAAGGTCACAAAGGTCATAACTGCATCAGACATATCAAATTGGCGCATCAACTAAGTGGAGATTTACTGTAAACAATTGGAAACTCCAGATGACACGTCTGATCTTTCAAAAGTTGAAAAAATTCCATTATGTGGTCTGCTGTCATTCCACTCCACTCCAAAATCATACCTTTCCACCTATTTTATTTAGCATTTCTGCTTCCTCCTGTGATTTTTCCGGAGAATGAATGACTCCATGTACTGCTTGTTCTTCTTGAACTTTCTGCTGCGCAGCTTCTTCGGCATTACGAGCATCTTTTTCAATCTGCAACTGCTGTACTTTCGAAATTATATGTACAAAAACAATAATTTAAATTGACTTTAATTCAAATGCCTCAAAAAATTGAAAAGTTAATTACGACTTATTTCAACAACTCAAGTGTGTGCAATTGAAGTCACTTTTTAGTACTCTAACTTGACTGCTATGAAATAGTATGCTTCAGCTTAGCATTTTTGATTAACTGGACTTATTCGAATTACCGCCTAATAAAACAGTAAAATTTAAGATGGAATATCATTAAATGCAAGGAAATACTTCTTCAGCTTTTTTTGGAGGAGGCAAAAAACCAACAACAGCTTGATCTATAACTTTCCTTCCTTTCTCTTCACCTTCCATTTCTATGCCATTTTTACCTTAAATAATTTAGGCATTAGAAATTTACAATGAATAATATAAAAATAATGAAAACAAAAATATGCGTGAGAAAAAAGAAAACTCGAGAATTCTAAATAATCTTCGCTTTCACGTGACAAATCATTCTTAACTGAAAATATAAAATTACTTTTTAATTGCTGACGTTCTTCAAGCACCTTCTGTAGCATGTTATGCATCAGCTGACCACTCCTTTTCGCATCATCTTCTAATAGATTGATTTGTTTTTCTAGCTTTTCTAATTCGAGCTGTAAATTTATTTGAACAATTATGACAATTTTTCTTTGGTCACAATGATCGATAATAGCTTTCACATTTTAATATCTCACGTATAAATTCCGGTATCTCAGGGAAATTTTACTTTTCTACTCATATGCAATAAATTTCCTAGAAACTAATAATATACCAAATTGATTATTAAATCATTGAGCCGTTCCAGAAATGATACAGGCTAAGTACAACAATAATGCAATAACACTTGATTAAATAAATATATGTATAAAAAAGCCAAACATACTTCTTGATGTTCATAACTTCGATTGTGTTCGAAAGTTTGTGTTTCAAGTGAATTATAAAGAATCAAACAGACAAATACAGATATGCTTAAAACACCGGCCAATAATCGACCCCAAGTTAAGTGCATCTTTGGCCCATGTATGAAATACATCCAATTTTACGATTTCTTAACTTCTAATTCCATTTACCATAAATAAGCCGTGGAAGTTAACATTCTGTAAAAATCAAAAGAAGGAAAAACAATATTATAAGATTGCTTAATTTAAGTCAAAATGATCGTTGAACTTTACAATTTCGAATATTTGAATAGATTAGAGAAAGGGAAAAAAAGAAAGAAAGAGGGGAAAGACAAAGCATATTATCAAGCCATTGTTCTTCTCGTTATCAGTTTTACTGTAGAATAATGCATAATACAAAAGTATATATATCATACATTATAAATCGTAGGACAAAGCCAGTTTCCATTACTCGGTGTACAAATAAAACACTATTTTACATTGCGAGTTGAAACCGACCCTCATCAGCTGAGTTCGATTTTCTATAACATCAATTGGAAATAATTGTAAACAATTTTCGATGATTATTTTCCAAGGGTTACTTTTTCAATAGTTGGAAAACATCCCTGTGAAATGTATTAATGATTACGACCCATATCTATTATAATGAGAACTTTGATATTAAATTCTATGAAGGAAATTCCCTGCAATACTTCAACAATTCATTTAATATTAATTCTTTAATAAGCAACTTAGATCTCGAAAAAAATGGAAACATTGGAGAACAAACATAGGAAATTAATTTCAAATTAATTATTACAAAAATTATATACTAAAGCATTGTCTGACAATTTGGAAAACAATGATATATTGTGGTTGAGAACCTTTTTGGCATAATTGTTTTTTTTTCAGTGATTGTGATAATTTGGTAGATTCTGTTTGGTACATTTCATGCCGACAAAAAATTCGAGTATATTTGCATCATAAAGATTGAAGAAATAAGACGAATCAATAAATTTAAAAGATTAATCAAGATGTACCTCGAAAACGTAAGGTCACATTTGTTCTTGGCGACGGTTCCGAAAAACCGCCACATTATTTCTCATAATTCCGCAATATCAGTTTTCCGTGATAATTCTGCTATATTTTACATAATAATATGTTTATATCAATTTCAACTTATTAACATTAGCGATATTCATAACGCAAATGACAAAATTTCAAATATCTAAAATAAGATTTGCATAACAATTTCCCGAGATCTTAATTTGTCAACTGCATACAGAAATCTGTGCTGCAACAATAAAATCTAGGAAAAAAAAGGAACTTCAGCAAGAATCACAAATATATGAAAAAATAATAATAAAGGGAGACGCATAATTTGGTAGATCAGCCATGATTTAGTGAAAAACTCCCCAGTTAAAATATACTATAAGATTTCCTCTTCTATTAGTAAATAAATGAATAAATCCAAACTTTGTAATATTTCAAAATAGGTGAGAATAATGGAAAACAATAGCAGCGGTAACAAAGGGATCAATGAAACATCCGCACGACACATCGATATCGTAAAAGCAGCAATGATAAATATGATGATCAAATAACCTGTTTCTTTTTTCTTTTTGTACCGCTTATGTGATCAGCGCAAATGTATTGTGGTTCCGTTTATCCCGGGAAATATTCAACATTAAAATATTAGAAAAATATTTATTCACGCGATATAGAGTATCTCACCCGTGGACATCACGGGAAATTGATATGTGCGAAATTACAATATGCAAAGTTCAGATTAGTTTAAAGATGCCGCATGTCACTATAATTTCTGTAAAACTATATAATTCGCTTATGCCCATTTTGATTCTATTTATCCAGTGGAAAAATCGATTTTAAATTTTTAGATTTAATTACATCTGCGTAATTATAAATAATAATATGTCAGTTAATAATCGATTTTTCCATTGTATAAATAGAATCAAAATAGAGATTTTACAATATTGTCATGCAGACGATAATACAAAATCTAAATACACGACTTGTTTTACTTCAGTTTCATTATGACAGAGTGTATCCGTGTAGCAAAAGTTCGCTTTACACCTTTCTATTTCACACACAATATCATTCATATTTTCACGAGGCACAAATTCTATCGGAAAATTATGAAGGATTTGTAAGAGTGGAATACATATATACATATACACATATGTATATATTTATATATCACATAAGAAGAAATATACCCTGATAGGAAAAATACAATCAAAACAATGGTCAACTGCTTAGTCTGTATTCTAATTTTAACGTGTATTCCTTACGAAATATTACATAAATTCCTTACTCCTAAGTCAAAGAGCTGATGCGTTATATGATAAAATCAAGCGAAAACAAAGCAAGGAATAGAATCTAAATTACAGATAACAGCAAAGGAAATCGACAAACAAAACAGGTGCTTTACTAAAAATACCATGCATTACTGATCATGAATTCGAGTAACTCAAACAACTGTACATGATGAAATAAGTTACTCCGGAAAGAAAGACTATTATTCCACTCTTCCGTCGTTAAGGGAAGAGAATCACTTTTCGAGGTAGCCTGCCTGGTCGAGATACCTAATTCTGATAATTCTGACAATAAAATCATGTCAAATATATAATTGGCCACGATGAAATAAGTTTAAATCTAAAAGTATTATTTTACAAGCTAAAAGAAAGTCCGATAAACTTTTAAAATAACGCATTCCATTGAAGTATAATAACATAGTTCCCAAACTGACCCTGACTAGATGAATTTCACTTCTGATAATTTGTTCACCTCATCATTATACTCATCCTGAAGAATAAATCACATCTCAACAATCTGCAGTTATGAGTCAGAGAAACTCGCAACTTTGTCATGAATTATTTGAAAAAGGTTCCTAACCTCAAACTGAAGAACGAATATGAAAAACGATTTTTTCAAACTTTAAAAGATTATAAGAGACTTGTTACAACAAAAGTGACTATATTACAACAAACAGATTGGTAAAAAGAAAAATGCATATATAACCTCAAAAAAAAGAAAAAACAAAAAGAATACTTTTGTATCAAATCTGAAACTGCTGCAAAACAGATTAAAAGTAAAGGTTAGAGATGCCGACAGAATATCCGCCAAAAATCAAATAAGTCTCTGCTTCGTTCAGGAAATATTCATAACCTGCCAGGCGATGCGGCATTAAATGTCACTGATGGTACCGGATAATCTTCCATATCCTCATTGGTGGACTATAAAAGCACAGTTTATTAAGCGAAATAAGTAACAAAGAAATGAAGCTATCAATAAATTCAAAGCATATAAACTGGCATAATTTTCCACTGGCGAGCGATATTACTCGGTTTCAGAGAGTTTAAAAAGTTCGCTTCCTATTTTTCAGTAACATATCATACATGAAATATTAATAGCAATGCTATCTTAAAAATAAACGACGAATAAACTGCATTATCCTATTAAAATGCATGATAAGGCTTAGAACTTTAAACTACATAGTTCATGACAACCAATTTGAACAATAAGAATAATTCACGAAATGAAATTTGTTTTGAAAGTGAAACATTAATAATTGACAAAACTCTAACTCCTCACACATTTCTTTTTGAACTGACGATTTTGAGTTAGTCCATCAAATCGTCGATATGTATAATTCGAGAATTCCCCTCTATCGCCAAGTTGTTGTTTAGCTGTACCAATATCTGGTTTGTATCCAGCGGAAAAAAATTTTATAGAAATAATGAAGATGAAAGGAAATAGGCAGAACTCTTTCTGTGATGATTTACACTGAAAAGTGAGTAAAAAAGGAGAATAAACTTACGAATACATAAATCAGCGTCCGGAAATTCATCAAAATTCGAAGTGTCATCAATACTTTTCACATCAACACGGATGGGTGTCGGACATTTCCTAAAAAAAGAAACAAGTTGAAAAGTAATAAACTATCATTCTATCTGAACTTTGTAAAGATTACTAACGCTTGTTTCAGTAAAATCTTTCAGTTGTCAGAACACTTTCTTAATTCATTTCTTGATCAGACTGCCGTAATTAGTGCAAAAGAAGATTAGAAAACGATTTTGAAAAAAAACCAATTACAAAGAATTTCAAACAAATCCATAAAATATGAATAAGAAATATGAAGAGGGCGCATAACTTGAATTTCATTTCAAACGTAATCTATTATGACTCCCATCTACCTGATGTTGTTCCAATCGATTCCTCGGAAAAACTGGCATGCCTTTAGCTCTTCCACACCATCACTATGACCTAAACGATGCTCCGGTTCCGAACAAAACTTCCTTATCGTCTGAAAGCTAAGTTATGCGTAGTTACATTTCGTTATTTATAAATATCACTATTTATCGGACATACTAATTGAATAAACAGGTCTTATCGCAACCAGCCCGCCTAGTAATAGAGCCAAGCTGGAATTGGAAATATGCTACTATTCAAAATCAGAACGTGAAACTATGACCTAGGATTAAACTCACTGTTTTAGCGTCAACAGAAATTGGTATTTCTGGTGGGAATAGCAAGGTCTGTTTCCAGTTGATAACTTTTCGGTAAGTTTCTTGAGGTGTTTCAGAACAGAACGGTGGATAACCTGCAAAACTATATATCACAGCATAAAAAAATTATTCCATATGAAAATTTGATTATCCGTTAAACAAAAACTTGATTATTCATTCTTTGAAACTAAGAAATCTCAGGTTTCTATACACCAGTACTTCAGCAGATCACTTCTTAAAATACCTACCTATAAGCATTTCATACATAATAACACCAAGAGACCACCAATCACAAGCCTTCGTATAGCCATTTGGTTGAAAAATTTCTGGTGCAATGTAATCCGGTGTGCCCACTGTTGAATAAGCCTGAGTTCGTTTTTTTTTTTTTTTTTTTTTTTAATTATTGTAAATTCTAAGCACAAACGTCAACACATTGAAATTTCCAGATTTTTAAACAAGACTTTATACGGTAAAAAATTGAAAATTTCAAGCTTGAAAAATGAATTAGTAAAAACATCACAGAAAAATTCAATGTTTAGAAGTGTGGTTTTTTATCAAAAAATTTTTGGTAATAGTTTACAATGGATCATAGCGTTTGAGAAATTAACATACAATTGCTCGTCTGTTTCTCTTCCATGTTTCGGCTTTTCTCTTCGATCCGAACGGTTTTGTCACGAAATCCTTTGGCAGTTGACTTGGCCAATTTCGATAGTATTCAGTCCGGTGAGCTTTTTTCAAGCCTGTGCACAGTCCAAAGTCAGAGAGCTTTATATGTCCCTGAAAATGTGATCGCGATAAGTGGATTATCGAACAGAGTGCTCCATGTTAAACGCGAAAACATTCTCATTGTTAATCTGATGAAATATTCGAGTCTGTTTGAAGAAAAACAAAGAATGACTCCTGTAACTAGAAATAAATTTATATGTATAATTAGTTTGACGGTTTTCACCAGTATCTAACACACTGTGAGCATGTATAAATAAACATAACTTGTTTTAGAAGTTATCATAAAAAATCTTCAATTTTGTAATAAAAACTGAAACTTACTTTTGAATCCAATAATAAATTGTCTGGTTTAATATCACGATGAATAAAATTTAAATTATGTATTGCTTGTATTGCTAGTGATGCTTCAGCAATATAAAATTTGGTGGCATCTTCCGACAACGTATCCTTCTTGATAAGTAGTGTCATCATGTCACCTCAAATAAGTCATTATTACAATTCTTATATTCCTCTATATTTAACTAATTAATTTTCAAGAGTGGAGAAAACGTCCGAAAATTTGCCTTCAATAATTTTAAATTTTATTAAATTTCGATGCAAATTTATTAATTTTTAAATAGTAACAATGTTTCTAATTTCTTTCCAAATGAACTTCATAAATCGAAACTTCATAAACCAAAACTATATGTTAATCTTTTGCGCCTTCAACTTCCATTATTTTGTATGACCTCAGCTGCATGATACATGATCTTACTGCCATTAATTAGGTCTTAAGCCTTATCCTTACCTCAAATACAAACTGAAGATTGAACACCCCAATCATTTCATGATTTTATTATCATGGACTCAAAATTATTCGAACCCATGAAACATAACAGTAGCTTACCGCCAGGTAAAAATTCCATAACTAAATACAGGTTGAGAGGATCTTGAAACGAAAAATACATCTTTACAACCCATTCACAATCAGCTTCGGATAGTATATCACGCTCCGCACGTACATGAGCTGTCTGAAAACACAGCCTATTATTACTGACTAAGTTATTAAAATTTCTCGGAAGTTAAACTTATTTTCTGAAAAACAAAAAATGAAGTTTATAAATGAACGAAATTTTATAAAAGAGAAATATACGGTAACAGCCGACAAGGCAAACAAATCACCTGCTCCTTTTCAAGCATTTCAGTTTTTCGTAAAATTTTCATAGCATAAACATGACCAGTGTCGATTTTTTGAACCAGTCGTACCTGAATAAAAATTTGAAGAAAAGTTCGTTATTTCAAATTCCATATTATAACTCGATCGCTATCAACGACGACAGCTGTCACCTAATGGAAAATGAAAGAAACATGATACATTCATTCCATATTTTATTACATTATAAAGCATTCCGAGAATGGCAATTCATTTTTCAATAGAAGAAGCAGCAACCGAGTTACAATGTGGAATATGAATAGGAGAAAGAACGCAATACTCATGCATAAACTAAGAAAGAGAGTCATCTCTTTAATCAAACTTCATTTATCTTCTGCCCTTCTTTATGTTAATTTATCCTCCATCTTGGGCTGTAACATTCCAAATTCTAGAATTAACTCAAATGCAATTATTCACCAACTTCTCCGAAAGCTCCTCGACCAATTACTTTCAGGGATGTAAAATCCGCAACAGTAAGTCGTGTCCTCTTCAATCGTAGAAAATCTGTTTCTTTAGCCATATGTACTTGACGTCGTATCACTTTTTCTGATTCCTGAAGGCCTGAAAAGTAAAACAAGTTGCCCGATACTTTGTATAGTCAGAAGGTGCATCGAAATATCTGTCAATTATTTCGAATTCGACATTATCTATAAGTCTGTCAATTATTGCAGCATTTTTCCAGCTTGCGGAGTATGTTCATGCATAAAATATAAGGAAGGATAATGCCTAATCTGCAACATTTAGAGATACATTCAGCCATACGTTAGCTATTTGGAAGAAGTCTTATAAAATGGCAATACCTTTTAATTCTTTTCACAGATTAGGTAAACAAACCAGTATTCAAACTAATAAGTCGACGAACGAATAAACTAATAAATTAGTAGGACATTATTATGATAATAAGGAGATTTACATGAACAGCCCGACTGACCAACCTTCCATTTCCATTTTTTCTTCCAACTTTCGTAATCTTTTTTCTCGTTCATGACATTGAGTTAGAGCTTGGGCGTAGCAGTTCTCAATAAGCAACCGGGTACGGTTGGCACGTTCCAAGGTATACTGAGATATTCTTGTACTGCTTGTTCTGGCTGCCGAGGAGGCCATCTTCCTAACGAAACACGCAGTACACGGCCAACACAAATGGTCCCCGGCCAAAACTTTCTTCAGCAATGCGTCCAATGCTTCCTAAAAACTATCATTAATTTCAAAATTATCATAATTCGCTACGAAATCGTATTAGTAATTAAAATTAACCAAATGTTTATTGGGTAAAAAGTTCCTATTATAGAGCAATAAAATGAATAATTCCCTAAAAACAAACTACGTGTGGGATAGATAGTTATATGTATAGCAACAGTTATGCTTAACATCGATCAATAAGTTATTAATAGACGAAGCTCTATATAAGACGAAGTTCAGTTTTGCTCTTCAATTCATTTATTATAAAACGGGGGAAAATGTGTGCATTATAAATAATCTAATATGAATCAATAAGCTTATTGATAGGATTATGTCTGGTGAAGCAATTAAAAAATAACAATAAAGTAATGTTATTGGAACTAAAAATGAGCAAACCATGGCTAATTCCAATAGCTATCATCACAAAGTTGTACTGTTATTTTACGCCTATCACGGCTACTCAATTTATTGTAATAGCTTGGATTAAATAAGCTCACTTAGCTTTTCGATTATTTTACGAATAATGAGCATTATATGGAAAAAAAAGGTATTTATAAAGCTAGTAAAGCAAAGAACACATCCCTAGATCACCTGATACTTTGCATATTATTTCGAGCATCAATATTTTTGCATTGCATTTACGTCATCAAGTGAAGGCAACTGTCAAGTCAACTGTTTGTTAATTTGGAGAACAAATATTGAAGAAAAAACCTAATCCAATTCTGCATTTTTCATTCCGGTTAATTTGCTATCGTTTTATTTGTTTTTCTTTTTTTTCATTATAATTATTTGTTTATTTGTAAAAATGTACAGCCATATATTCGATACATATAAATAAGCTCATTGTTTCATTTCATATTTCATGTAAACAAAACAAAAAGAAAAATAATAAAAGGAATGCTATAAATAAAAGAAAAAATGGATAAATCTTTTATATGAATTGGTATATTTCATCATTTTCTATAAATAAACGATAAAAAACAAATGAATAATTGCATACATATATCGAAGTATATTATAATACATTACATTTTACGTTCAATGTGTCATTATCATGGACGATTATATAACAAATTAATGTCAACGAAGGTCAAAAAAAGTGCAAATATTCTAAAAAGACAAAGAAAAACAGATACGAGGGAAATACAGGGACAGAAATAAACTCATCGGACAGACATGGACTCACCGATCATGGCAAGTATCATTATATCCTGCCAAATCATCGTTTTTTTCTGTGAAAGATTGGCTTAACCGCGGAATACCAATTGTATTCTAACTAAAACCAAGGAAGGATAGGAGAGACGAGGATATCATGTTAATGTCTCTCCTGATTCTTTCATGAAATTCGCACCCTTTCTCTGGAATATTTAAAAAACGATGTTTTCCCCGAGATTTAACACCTAATTTGTCAGTTGTTAAATTCCGGGAAAGTTTGAAAGTTCATCTAATTATGTTTTGTCAGTTGAAGAACTACAACTATTTGAAAGCAGAAGTGTTTGTTAATATTTTTTATTACCAAACACTTATTTTTTCATTCTCGTTGTATAAAAAATTTCCTGATACAGAACTTTATTGTAATTCTAGAGACAAAAGTTAAACTTTGGCTTAGCTAATATTTTTGATAAGTTCTAATTTAGAACAACGGAAATGATAATATACTTGCAGAAATAAAGAACCATAAAAATTATAAGATCAAACATTTCCTTCAGTGTTTATTAAAGTAACACAAAGGGGTTGAAGTTAGGTGGTAAACAAAAGGTTTTGTAATCAATCTCCCCCTTCCTTCAGACGCGGATGGACAACGGGTTGCTCGAGCATGACAGTGCGCGGGTGAAATGAAAGGATAGTGATGTTGGATAGAGGAGGTGGAACGGCGGGGCTGGTGTGTGATTGAGAAACGTTACTTGAAATGTGCGTGTTTACATTCTATTCTACCTTTTGCTGCTAAGCAATTTCTGCATGCATCACGATATACTGATTGGTAACTGTTTGCAGAATAACGAGCAAAAACGTAATGGCTAACATATCCGAAGTAGGAACGCTAAATACGGATGAAACCGAATTGACTCAGCTTGATACAAGATTGAGAATTGTTGGAGAAACTTATGCGGTGTGATAAATTTTAAGTAGCAAATACGAGTTAAATTTGAGCACAGTTATTGTAATTATATGTGCCATACTTATGATTACGACATAGCTCTATTGATTGCGAATGTCTTAATCGTAATTAGATGTTTCATGTCCCTGACTTCCGTAATTGTGATTGCGGAATTTAAACTATAAGCACAGTTCCGTAAATATAACTATCATTATCTAGAGTTTATATAGTTTCATTAATATTTCGGACAAATGTGGAATAGTTGTAGCTATTGCATATTTATAATAATTCATGCAAAGTTAAAGTCGTTTTTTTTAGCATTATTAACTTGTGATAGATTTGCAGGTGGAAAAGATTGTTGGGATCAAAACGAACGAGATCGGCGAAAAACTCTACAAAGTGCGATGGAAAGGCTTCTCCGAAAGTGAGGATACATGGGAACCGTATGAGAATTTAACGGATGGCTGCGACCGGTTGATTATCGAATATGAAGTTAGTCAAAAATCGAAAAATGACGAAAATGGGAAGCATTTACGGCCATCAACTAGTAGAAGTAATGATACATCGGTAAGTTCGTTTGCGCATTTTGAACAAATGTGCTTTGATAGTTTGTTTACTGATCTTTCAAAAGAGCCATTCGATATCATTAGCTGCTTATATAACTTTCCCAATTAAATAATTAAGGTGTCTGATCGCTTTTCAGGAAGATAGTGTCGAGCGAAATAGCCGACATCCCAACGCTGCCCGTTGGGAGTATGAAACAGTTGAAGTTCTTACACCAGATGAATGGAATCGATTTGGTGATGTTGAAAATCGTGAACTTGGTGGTCTCTATATTCCAGATCGAATTCCAACTGAAACGGAAAAGGTTTGTGATGAGTTTGTTAATGAAATAAATAAAGTATATTACAGTTCTTTTGTCTTTAACACAAAAAATGATTCCAAGATATGAGGTAAACAAAATTCACTTGTATCTGCCTCTTAGAATGCACGATGGAGCGTGCTATGTATCGATGAGTGCATCGATTAATGCAGGCTCATCTTTTCATAATCACCCTAACTTTTGATCTTTATTAAATTTTGAGTCCCACTGCCAGAGTTTCGCTGTCATTCAATGCAAAATATATCTTTATCACAGCCAAAAGCAGTCGTTTCAAAAATGATGTTAACCATTCAATTTTGCGGTTTATTTTACCTGTTGAGAAGTTTTAAATGAATTATGAATGCATTTTAGCTGCTGTGTAATCTTGCTCCAGATGTGGGACGCGTCACCAGAAATAAGCTGAAAGCTGTTATGAAAACAGAAAGTTCTCCAATAAATGAAACATTATCGTCCGATTGTGGTAAAAAACAAACTGCTAGGGGCAGACGACGAGGTGGAAAGGTGACTTTTTTTGCTGTAAAAAGTGATAGTTAATATATACGATATAACCAAGAAGATAGTAAACAAGTGAACATTCGTAGAAATATCAATTTAAACATCTAAATATACTGCTTGGTTTTTTTTTTTTGAAATAGAGCTTTCATACCCATTTAATGGGAAATTTACAACTTTCCAGAAAAGTGACACATCTGTAGATATGAAAAAAGCAAATGGTGATGGACGACGTAGTGTTATCAAAGATGAAAGCGCAATGTTGGCTCATAACAATAAAGCTGAGGTAGCTTTCGGACTGTCATTGTTGCCTTACATTTTTTCAAAAATATTTTGTGATCGTTTCATCCTAAGATCTCGATTTTCACTGCTTACATACAATGAAGACGAGATTTTTAGACAAAACAATCGATAAAAATAAAATCCTAATCCGATTTCTTCTAGGAAGAACGAAAAGAATCTTCACTATCAACCTTTTCGGAAGCAGCAGTTGCAACAAAATCAGAAATCCCGGATGAATTGTTGCTGTCGAAGTGCGCAGATGATAATTTGCAAATTGTAGCAGCAGATACATCCACAGAAGACGAGCAATCTGAAGTTAATAGAAGTAGCTCTTCAGCTCGTAACATTATCAATAAGCGTACAGGACGAGGAAGACGAGGAAGCCGAGGACGTGGAAGACGAGGCAAAGCATCCACACCATTCCGTTTGATTGAGGTTCAGAGCAATCAATCTTCTTATAGAAACGGTCCATGCAATCTTTGTTTTTATATGATTGAGCTTTTTGGAATCTTTTTTAAAAGATGTTGCGAAATCTCACTTTTGAAACTTTTTTTTCGTCTTTTGCAGCTATTTTAAAAATTTTGTTCATTGCCAAAACTTTCTCAAAAAATTGATGCAGGATGGCATTTCACCAGCTAATTCTGAAGTGCGACCAGCAAGTTCTGAATTTGATGAAATGCCAAATTTGGTAGTGGATGAAATGGAATCGATATCTGATGAAGAAAAGTCGAATTCAATATGTGAAAGTACATCGATAAGTTATCGAGGTAGATCTCGCGGTCGAGGGTTAGCAAGGGGAAGCAGAGGGAAAAGAATAGCTGCCTCACGTGGAGTGATTGTGGAGGACACAAGCGAAACGTCTGACAATAGCATCAGACCGACTAAGGGCAGAAAGCGAAAATCCTGTACAAATACCGATGACATTATTGAAAAACGGGTATGTACCAGTGAAGGAACTTCCGAACGAGATGTATGTTGCTTTCATTTTAATTGCGTTATAAAATCAAAATAGGAATTTGCTAACTGCTCTTGTATCTCATTTTAAATAATGACTTTTAATTATTTAATTTTTTGTTTGGTATTTATAAGCAGATATGATTTGGTTTTCAATCATAAACGTTTTCAGGGACTTCCAAACGTAGGTAACAACGCTCGCATGTTTCCTGCAGATGATGAGTCAGATGAACCAGAACTAGATGTTTCAGCATTAGAAATGCTTAACTTTGAGACACCAGAGTTACCAATGCCTTTGACAAATGCCGAAATTTCAGCTATTGAAATTGCTACAATTCGTAGACATCAACAAAATCGCGAAAAACCTCTACAGACATTTGAGGTGAACGATATGTCCTTTATTTCATAATTTAATAGATGATAAGTAGGAATTGAAGCTGTTTTTGAAAATTTTGCTACACTGACAATAATTGATTGTTCCAATTTTTTTTAATTTTACGTTGTTTTGCTTTATACATTTAGCTTTGTCGAAAAATTAGTATGTGAACTACTTCTGACGTAGTACTTTTTCGGTTACAACCGTAGAGTGATATATGAAATGATTTATGCAGAATAATGACAGTCCAGATGATATTGGTGATACTTGGGAAAGATCTAAAATCATATGCATTGAATCTATCACTTCAGTTTCTACACCTCTGATGGAATTCCATTGCTTTCAAAGTGCTTTAGAGACAATTGGATTGCAAATGTTGGTATTACATTTCACAATGAAATTAAATAAAAATTCCGAAATTTGCAGCAGTTTCGGAGCGCAGTCTTAACGAATCAACTCTCGGCTGTTAGGTGGACGGGTCGTTGCGTACCAGAAAGGCGCGGTTTTGATTTCAACCAGAAATATCGCGGCAAAACTGTTGCAATCGAAGTAAGATAGTTTTTTTTTTTTTTTTGAAAGCAATAAGCACCGCTTGATTGAAATTTATCGATCTGATTGAATAGTTTTTTTAAGTTATGCGAGAGACCTTGTGGTCCAGCTCATGAAACTGATGACATGTTACGACAAATTGTCCGTGACGGTGCAAGGTTGGATATTCCGGATGACACAAGGGGGCGTATTCCGCTGCATTTTGCTATATCTTGCGAGTTTTGGTGTCGAGTCAAAACCCTTCTGCATTTAAGGTTAGTTTTAGCAAGCTGTTATGCAGAAGTATGATTCGACCAAGCATCACATCATCATACGAAAATGATAAGGGCTGGATGAAATTTTGATTCTGGAGTGAACGTTGTGCCAGTCTTTAAAAATTAAATTCATGAATAAATCTGATTAATAATGATTTATTTAGTAATAATCATTAGACCATGATTTGATTTGGGACGGAAGGTTTATGATTCGAGACTTAGAGTAACGTACTTGATATATACCTAGAACCCGGGTAGCAATTGGAGTTATATTATTCAGATTTCATTTTATACCAAATTTTCAGATCACCAGTAAATACTGAAGATAAGGACAAAAAGACACCACTGCAGCTAGCGATTCTTACTCCTCGTGCGCCAAACTTCGAAGTGACAAAAACGATTTATCTACTTCTTGAGTATGGTGCTGACGTTAATGAAGTGATCAAGAAAATGGCACCATTGCGAAACAGGTGACATGAGTATACATTTAAACCAGACTAATTTTTTGTCAGATTTCAGAATTACTTATTTAAATGAATTTGAAAAATTTGACCAAGAAAATTGGAAAAAGAACTTTTTGTTATCTCGAATCTATTAATGTTTTAAATTCCTTTATCGAATCTCATTTTTTGTTCATTTGAAGATATCTGTCAAATCTTGTCGATCATCAGCAGCGCCTTTCAGAGGCTTTTGATGAAGCGAGAATGAAAACTTTGGTGTAAGTTACTAAATAGTATTGAACATGCATTCGGACTTTTAAATTACTTTCTTTGCTGGGCTTTTCCGACAATTCGGACATAGTTCCGTTGTGACAAAGAAGGAGAAAAAGTAGGGAAGTAAGGAAAAAGATTTGTTACTTTACTGACTGACATTTCACTGCAGCAAACAGAAATTCGAGGGAGAGGTGCACGTCATTGGACACTAAATCAACTGGTCTTCAAAATATTCTAAAACTAATGCTTCGAGTAATTTTTATTTTTTGATCCTGTTCACACTATATTCAATTGTAGAAAAGGGGATTAATTCAATTTTTAAAATTTCGCTGAAGAATCAATTTTCAAATAGTTCAGAAAGTATTTGAAAGTTGATTACTCAGCGTATATAAAAAAAGAAAACTAAAATTTAAATATTAAATTAGAAAGACTTTGGAAATAATCTCGAAATGTTACGACATCATCGGTTGATCTTAGAGACTTATTTCACATTCAGTGAATTTTTCGGGATCTAGTTTTTCACGTCACTCTTCATGCCATCTATTCTGTTTTTATTAATCAGTCAAGTATATAATAGTGACGACACAATCAACATGTTCCGCTGGATGGTAATCAAAAGAACAAAATCATTGGATTTATCTGAAGATGGAAGAGAGACTGGGTGGTGAACGTGTATTTTTGGAATTTCTTCAAAAAATTTGACATTTTAACGGATACCAAAATTAGTCAATTTAACAAAGAAAAACCTATAATGACCTTTCTTTAGATGAACAAATTAGTTGTTGAATTGATGTAATTAATAAATATAATACTCGTAAGTCGAAGAAGTTAATAAGTAGTCTGTTACTGTTGCAGAAGTTTTTATTACCTAGTTGTGTTCTGCTTCAATTTAATGTTATGGAAATGGTAGTAGTACAGGTGGAAATATTTCGCTCCTTTATTAGGATTTTGTAGACATAATGATATTTTGTATAGCTGTATCTACTTGAAATTCATTCGGAAAAAATTAAATGTGAATTTTTATTTTTGACCTTTAATCTTATTGGATGCATCTGCATGATTAGCAGATGATAAAGTTTTCCGACGATCATGTAATGAAGAAGAGATTTGTTTTGCCGGTAACTTTTAGCTTTAAAAAATAAATGAATCGTAGGCACGAGATCATTCTAAATGGCATATGTCATCAATGAACGTTTTTTTATTTGGTTTTCTTTTCATCAAAGCACGGATTTTTTCACCTGCTTTGGCTGCTTTGTCAATATTGCAGACTAATAACAGATAGAATAATATGGTAGATTTCATCTTTCTTAATTGCCTTAGACTAAACTGTAGATCAACCTTTGCTATCAAACAGACAAAAGCAGTAGTAAGGCGAAATAGTTATTTTCTAAAGCGTGATGAGATAGTTTTGGAACAGCTTTTACAATGCAATTCGACTACTTTTCGAGAAGTTGTGTCAATTTTTAAATATGACGGTTTCATGAATGTAGCATACACATACATCTACTCATATACATATATAAACACACAAATGCGATTGATATCAAATAGCAAGACATTTTAAGTACAAAGGTAAGAAAAATGTATGTGGCGTCTCAAAGCTCGATACCATAATAAGGAAATTAGTTTTTCCTCTCTTGAAATAGAATTTTTTTCTTTTTCATTCCTGTTCACTGTTCAGTGCGACAATAGAATGAGATATAATTAATTAAGGTACACCTACTTTTATTAGTGTTATTTTTTTATATTTAATTGGATCAGGAGAAACTTATCTGTTTTGTCATTTATTGAAATTCGTAAATGGATATCATTAGATGGACTCTATTCATGTTAAATGAATCGTAGGATAATTTTTCCTCAATTTTTTTTGTTTCTTTTAAATAAACAAATCTAAATTTGCGTAGGTTTGCAGATGTTTATTATTATTTTTACGATATTTTCAATTTTCTGTTTTGATTTAATTTTCAAACATTCATTTTATTAAAAAAAAAAAATAGTTTATTGGAGAATTTCTAAATTGCAGTTGAAACTGGAATTGCTGCATTTGTTGACGAAAACGAGAGATTTCCACCATAAATTTAACGGCAAATTATGATTAGATTCGGTTGTATATTGCTGGACTAAGTTTGTTAATATACCAATCAATGGTGCTAATAAGGTTAAGGGAAGTTATATAAAGAAAAGTAATGAGGAAAAGGCGAGATAAATTCAGTTTATTTTTCTCTTGCTATTTTTTCGGTTTTGCACATTTTTGGGTATAGCGATTGTTTGAGATTTTTATCAGAATTGATTAACGTTTTCTGTGGGTTCAAACGGTGGAGGCGTAAGGTACGAAAATTTTTTTGTGTTCAAATTGCAAGATTTACAGAATGTTTTTTAAGTTTTCTCTAATTATTAATACGCGATAGTTTTTGATCAAACATCCTTCAAAGCTGGAAACTGCAAGAAGAGGAGAGGGAATTTTGATTTTTTTGTGAATTTTCTTCAAGAGTTTGTCAGCACCACTAAATTCTTCTGTCTTCTAGAACGTTTTGGAATAGCTTTATTGAAGGCACTTCTGAGCTTCATGGTTTTTAATTTGTTCCTTGGCGCTGTAGAAACTCTGTCATCGGTTGTTATATAGAATTATGTCCTGAAATTATAATCTTTTGCTGGACTTATGGACCTATGATCCTTTCATGGAGTTACGATCTTTCCCTCCAACAAATTACTGTATTGTTTGCTGAACTACCTTCATTAACTGATAAGTCTGCTAGCATTTAAGAGGATGAAATTTTAGTTCAAGAGAAAAATTCCGAATTTTCGGGTGCTTTGCGGCATATATCCATCATTAATTACATGCCTCGTGCTATCATGAGCATACGTACGGTTAATTTAGCCGTCATTATTCTGTACAATCAATATATCAAAAGTAGAAAAAAACTTACAGCATCTTGAAAATTAACCAGCTGCAAATGTATAGCCATATGTTAGTCTTTGATTTCCATAATTTCCAGGGACATAGCAGTAAAACGAATACTTCTTCCGGTATCCGTCCGGGCGATGTGGGAATTCGAATCAACAAATTGGACGACTGAAATAGGCTTTAATCATGAAACGTTCCTGTTCCCCAATGATCGCTATGCCTATATGATATTACTGGCTGTTTTCGATTATCGCAGCGCACGATATGTACTAAGCGTTTTTGCCAATCTTTTCGAAGTTTCCAAAATTACTGATTCAAACCAATAATCTAATTTTCAATTTAGAACCTTCCACATGCGTCTTAATATTTAGAGATATATAAATTATTTGATTATTTGTTGTTTTTATAATTTCACAAATCAATTTTTTCCATTTTCTACTAATACGTCTCTTTGTAGAAAAAATAACATTAGGTTAGCAAAAGTTGATAATTGAAATGGTTAATTTTGCAGAATAATATGGCTGGTAGTTTCCTTATCCGCATCAGATCAAATCTGATTAGTTGCTTGCCCCATTTTAAATTACAGGTTTTAAAACTTATATCATAAAATTACAGTGGCGTGTACGAATGTGGGGTGAAAGTCCTTTCGACGACGTGCAAATGAATGATGCTGCGGTGGAACCGCTTACAAATAATCCGAAGGGTTTCATTTATGTAACTTCGCTGATCAATGGCTGGAATAAACTAAAAATCAAATTCCAACCATATGTAAAAAAGAAGAAGTGGTTAATGATGGCGCAGGTAGACATGATCTTTCTAAACCCTTTAATGAAAAGAAATGTTGTTCTTTTTGGTAGGGTCTCATAAGCATTTTATGTCATTCAGGATTGCAAGAGTATGTCACTAGTTTTTTTTCAGGTATTGCTTGTACAGTTACACAAACCTGCTTCGTATATACCGAGACCCGCGCTTGAATTAGCTCCTGAAAGTGGTACTGATTGGAGACATGAATGAAAAGCCAATTTCACGGACTTCTTAGGATTTATTCAGGTTTTGGTTAGGTCCAGTTTATTGTTGTTTACTTCTTTATTAAATATGTACTCGGATGTTCCGGATATGAATTTCATTAAGTTTCGAGTAATAGCGGGATTTGACTGGGATTTTCATCGAACAATAACATTGAAAATTACTACATTTTGCTCAGTATCAGCGTAATTTTGGAAGTTATTACAAATCTAGTAAATGATTGTTTATACTTTGCTCAAGATCTGTTAAATTTTTATATATAAACCTTTGCACTGGCTTCAAAATAGTAAAGTTTAAAGTTGGCATGACTCATAAATATTGTGCGCTTATTATAAGAATTTTAAATCGCTTATTGAGCATGATTTTGCCGGCACCGGACGTCTTTTAATATCAATAATACAATTCGCTTGTGAAGATTATAAATTAGCGTAATTTGAATTCAATAAACTCATTATTTCTCCGAATGCGAATTAGACATGCAAACATTGGTTGCTTTTGGAGTTAAGAAAATTATGAGTAAAAATGAGTAAAGTCATCATTAACTGAATTCTTGAAGAATTTTAATATATTTTTTTTATGGTGTGAAGAAACATTATTCATCATCAACATTTGTAAAATCATATGGTTTGAAGACTTGCTTCAAATTATCTATCAGTTTTGCTTGTTCGCTTTTCTCCATCTCGCACTGACGCCAATCAACTTTTTCTTCACAATCCAACAAAGCCGGTTCTGCCAGTACCTGTAATTAAACTTTTAGCTCAACAGGATGGAATCCTTTCTACACAGAAATTTCTAAAATTTCTTACAGGACGGCTTCAACTGTGCTTCAAACATTTGTTTTTCAATCAACAAAATGAAGTGCATAGGAGACAACATATAGTGAAACCTATAAAGCCAACGACTTAGGGTATCCATTATACTGGACGAACTTACTTCTCGTCCAAACTGTAATGGAAAATTGACCATTTTCAACGAATAAAGTCGACTGCCATCTGGAAGCTCGACAAGAAAATAGGGATAACCTTCACTTACTGTGTCCCAAATCTGGAAAACTTTTATATTTCAGCAATATTTTTGCAAAAAAAGTGCAGATGGACTGTTACTATCATTTTGGAAAATTTACCTCCTCTTCTTCTTTGAGGAATACCATTTCTATGTTTTTTATTTGTGCAGCATTCAGAAAAGAATTCCGTAAAGCTTTCGAGCAAGTTTTCGGGATTGGTACAACTTGTATCTGTAATATACTTTTCTTAATAATCATTACAATAAAATTCATTGGGGCAGAAGGAAAATGAATGGAATAATTTTTGAAGATTCACAGATTTAATGTTCACACTTATTTCCTTTATTCAGAAGCAAAGAAAGCGAAGGGTGAGACTATTTCGAAAAAACAGTGAAGGAATGGAATGGATGATGTAACGCAAAATAAGTGACGTGTTTGCTTTGACTGGATTATTTTTCTGCATCTGAGAATTGCGATTGTACGATTTCAGAAGCAAAACAAAGACGCAAGATGTGCTTTGAAGATATGAATGAGGAGGACTTCGGATTAGATGAAAAAGTGTACCTGCAGGTGCTGCGTTTTATAATTTCGTTCGAAAAATACCGGTAATTTTCCTTGCTTGTTGAACATCAACGTTAGGGCATCTTTGTATTTTTTGATATCATCTCTAACTGCCTGCGGAGCTGCCACAATTGATTGTATATGACCTATGAAATAACGGATATTACTGTCTGTCCTATTGGGTAATTGAACTGTTAGCAAGACTCAATTTCAACAAATTCGAGAAGAAACTTTGTCATGAAATTATGTATAGGATTTATTATAATTTGATTAAAATAGAACTAACCAATCGGCAAAATCATTACATGATCATCTACTAGTGGACCTTTCGGCATAGCCAAGTAACACTCATCAGCTACAGATATTACCAAATATTGCTCCGCATCCACGTTTGACAAGCAAAACCAGCAAGGCTGTTGGACTCGTGGTTCTCGAGAGGAACATTCTAAGAATTTAGAGACATGAAACTTTTTGGTAGCCGGCAACTGCATTGAAATCAAAGTGTTTTACTGGTACATCGCGGAAGTTTTTTAAAAGCTATGACGATTCTGTCCAAAAAATTCAGTTCCTAATTACGAAGACTACTTGTTTTCACAATTCAAGGGTTTTTTAATTTTTCTATTAAGAAAAAACTAAGATTTTACAAAGGTGCCATTTTTAAGCGACAGAATTTTTCGTTTTAATCTCGAGAAAAATGGGATGCACTCAGTTCTTTTTTAAACATACCATCTTTTCTCCGTCGTTTACCGCCATGATCAACATTATCCTCAATTTCAGCTGACATATCAAAGAAATATTGATCCCTGGAATCCTGTTGTTCCTTCTTTTTCTCCCTCTCGCTAAATAAAATTTTTACAAATTTCCTATTTTTAACGGTTACTGAATTTGCGCAGGAATCTTAATGTAATATCAATAGATTTTGAAATGAAGCATTTTACATCAGGAGCTTATTGCTTCTTAATTCAAGTTAGTAATGTAAACTATGTAATGCTTCGGTCAGCGGTCATTTAATAACATCCGATTTTTATATTCAAGTTTTCAAAAAGCAAACAAAAATTGAATCGTACTCTAAAATTATTCGTGCCAGAATCTCCATGTATGGGAACTCGGTAGCATTATTTGGTTGTGCTGTAAGTTGAGCTCTTGATAACTTCCGCATAGGGGTTATTGAAAAGGCATAAAGCCATTTATCCTTTTCCGGATTATTTACTGGAGCTAAACCAATAAAACGTGTAACATGCTGAGCGGCTTCTTGTAATACTCGATGATTCCTGAAAACTTTTCTAGATGTTTTTTTTTTTAAAGTCACGAAGTTTTAATAAAAAGTGTCCCAAATAATTCTCAATGTTGTTGTCCTTGTTTTTGTTTATTTACACTCAATTTTAATTACATGATAATTTACATGCCAATTTTAAAGAAAGACATAAATGCTTTCGTATGTGCATTGAAGAGATAGATAACAAATTAATTAAGACATCAGCAATTCAATTTCAAGCTTTGAAGGAAAATTAAACCTGTACGGTGTTCTTTCGAAATGTGCACCCATCCCAGCAAAGTGATAACGAGGTTTTAAGCCTGAAGCAAGCTGTGATAAAATGCAACTCCCTTCTATATCTCTTTTCGGACAATTTGTCGAAAATTTTGAAATCTGAAATTTGACAAAATGAAAAATCTATTTCGATACGTGTTGAAACCAAGAACTGCATACCAGAAAGCAACATAAATCAGTACCCCAGCAGGCCACATGGATGTAAGCAAAATATCGAGTCCTAAATATCCGGTACTCGCTTTCACATACTTTAGCAATTCATTAACATCGTTCTGGTTGAACTGAAAAATGTGATGAATACAATAAGTCATTTAATTAGAGAACAAATTATTTAATTACTTCAAAGGTAAGAATAAGTAAGCAATAAAGTTAGAAAGGCGAATCAATAGGTAGATGAGCAAACAACCATTCACAATCTTTTTAGCAATATTACTGTAGTATAAGTTACGTTCAAAACAAATATTACCTGGAAAGGCATAGCTTGTGTACCCTCAATTCCACTTATATATGCTACTTGAAGACCACCCGCTGTAGTCAATATACCTCTTTTCCCAAGATACGTTAGATTTGCAAAGAATTCGATACCATCTTCCGGATAAAATCGTGATGTCGACGGGCAACATGATCCTAATTATGACTGTTAATAGTTTCTAGATAAAATTCACTATAAAGCTATCGCAATTTCCATTTTAAACCTAAAGTTCAATTCCGTGTTTCGAAAATTTCATATTTATTTCTTAGAAAACCATTAAATGATCCCTTATCTCTACTTTCCCATGGATATTACTTATCGATCGGGAAAGAAATTTAGCAGTTATTTACAGATGTCACTAAAGTTAACTTCTCATTATTCTTCCGCCTGTGATTCAGTAAATGAACTTGAGTATTATGTTCAGTATCACATTGAATGTCATATTGAGAAATATAATTCAAAATGAGGCTGGCGTTGGTAGTTGTTTAACAGACCCTTAGGTCAAGTGTAACTTACAGCAACTACTATTAAAAACTGGAAATTTTTAATTTATAAAGAAGACTTCAAAAAAACCTAAGATATATGTAGAAACGGGCATTTTGACAACACCATTAATAATTCGTTCGTTTGACTCCTTATCCGGACCAAAAAATTCGCCGACACAAAAAAGCATATCAAATGGACCATTCTGTAATTAAGTCAAATAATTCCAAATACCATTTTCTGCTGTAAATTAGCATGAGGAATAATAATTAAGCTACAATTATTTCACATATTTATGGCACTTCTGCAGTTTATATGCATAAACGAAAGATGTTGCTTCTATCAACACTGTTATTTTTTAAGGGAATATTAATTCAACTGCAATTATCACGAATTATTACAATGCTTTTCTCGACTTTATAGAAACAGTTTCACTAAGATAATACTTACTTATTTTTCTTTAATTGGAAACTGTTCAACCACCAATAATAAAAAATTGTTTATAAAGAATAGAACAGTCTACCGGAGAATACGACAACCTTTAGTTGATCCTTGGATAAGACAAAACAAATGATCTGGGTAAGAACAAGGCAACACCGGACATAGTAATTTTATATGACAGTTACATGAAATCTTACTTTTTTATTGACTGCATTCACTCGTTTCAGCAATGAATCGAACTCTCCGTTCACATCACCGCAAACAAGAATTTTCAGCGATGACTTAGACATTCTCCAACAATGAAGACTTGGAAAATCTGTTACCTATAAGAACTTATTAAATTATCGTTTCTCTTCCTTTTGTGACACAAATATTGAAAATATGCTCTTGCACTGCTTTCAACTACCCACCGTCGAGCAAGAAAAAGACTTCAACTAGAAAAAACTCCAGGAATGTAGTTGGTTGAAAAGAAATACGTTTTAGTTCCCATTAATGCTATATTTCATTCTCGACAGCGTTTCTAAGAGAATCACAGGATTTCCAAATATCATTTCCAAATGATCAATGAGTAATGCAAATATATTCACTTTCATGTTTTACTACGAAATTATATCAATAACTTTTCAGATAGAGTGTTCCGCATAATATTCAGATTAAAGATAAACAGAAGAGACAAATGTATTTCTTTTATTTATAAAAAAGAACTACAAAATATAATGTATCATAATAAATATAAAACAAAATATAATAATTAATACAAAGGCACATGTAATCAACGTCATATAAATCCTGCTGTTCTAAGTGAACCAGAAAATATTATCAAGTGTTGAGAGGTTAAAGCAAAACAACAAATGCGTCAATATTTGCATATGGTTTTACTGTGATTAAAAGATGAATCTATTTATAGTGGATCTACCATGTGTCCTGAATTTTGATAATGTGCGATTGTATCTCGAAAGTCATGAATAAAAGCAATAAAATTCTCCGAGGAAATAAAAAATGCGACGATGTTTAACTATCTTCATCACAACCTTCATGATCTTCTCTCGTTCTTCCCGGGCAACCATTTTCCAATTCTTCTTTTGAATCATACTGAGCTCCGCACCAAAAACAATAATAGTGAGTTGCATAGAGATAGTTCGTTAGTTCCGACAACCTGCAATAAATTTCCACTGAATACTGGTTTAAAGCAAACAGTCAATTTGAATCACATAATATTACGTACTTCCATTAATTTTCATCGCTGGCAAACTTATTAAAAGTGTTTTATATCGACAAAGATTTCAGTTGACGCAAAATCTTTTTGTCGAAATGCTTCAATTCTAAATTTTTACTTTTACTTTTGGATAATATAAATGGAGAGTGACATAATCTAGTGACTATATCGTTGTTTTAATTTGTATTAAACATAGTTAAACGTCAATTAATAAAAAATTCAATTACTCAATCTTTGGTTAAGTAACGAGTTGATCACTATCTAGCTGGAGTGATAATTTTTTTCTTTTTTAATAACTTAATAACTTTTTTCCTTTTTCAAGATGAATTTCAAAAATAACATACCGTTCCACGATTTCATTCTCCGACAATTCATCAGTGTTCAAATCATCTGGTGCCGCTTTTCCATTAAAATAAGTAAAACATTCTGTAATGCATTCTGATTCCTCAGTTCTTCTATTTTTCAATATAGAAAAATCTTCCTCCTTCTTTACCTTGTATATTGGCCAAAAATGACAGGATGTAGGAAGCTCCAGGCCACTTCTGAAGTTGACAAAAAAAATTATCAACAGAACTGTTCTATAAATCTAGAAGAAAACAAGTAATATACCAACGATTCATGTCTATTTTAACCTGGCATCTAATTCCTGACATACTTTCCTGCTTTCTTTCAAATCCTTCGACAGTTGTTTCATACGCGCTGCCCAGCGTTTTCTTATGGAAAAATCATCGATAAGTACTTCCTGAAACTAAGTTACTTTAGCAAACTAGAATTTCTGAAGTCATATCTTCAATTAAAGGAAGGAATTAATAAAGCGATTAATGAAGTACAATAGCGCAAAAGCTTTTTTTGGTTTTACATCTAAAATTTGAAATTCCCAAAAACTAACATTAGCTTTTGCCCTTTCCAGTACAATTCTTTGGTAAAGATCCATACGTCGTTTTCGCTTTTTATCCTTTTCAGCATCATGCCCTAATCCTGTGCGATTAGTTTTCAGCTCCAGTGCAATGGGTACTTTGATCCCTTCGCTGCAACCTAAATTTAGTCAATTCTTTCAAAAAAAGCATAGGAATTTATCATTTCGAAAAATGTTGGAAGCATATTCTTCTATTATCTTCCAAAGCTACAAAAATGAGTGTAATAGAAATTCTGTGTTTTGATAAAAAAATTCTATATATTAGTCCATCATCTTTTCTACAAAAAAAGAAAACAATAGTAATTACCTTCTTTTTCTACACCTAAACTCATCCCAGGCTTGTAACCCATTTTGGATAGCAACAAGAACCCTTTCGAATCCTCACTAATAGGCTTTGCCAGCCCATCATCTCGCATCTTCCTTTCTATTTCCGAATGTTTTGGTATATTTCGTAAATGTTCAATATTTTCCACCCGTTTCGATTCAATCTTTAAATGTCGCCGTTGAGTTTGGGTTTTCGCAATTCCTGAAACAAAGAAAAAAAATGTAACGACAAAGTAAAATAAAAATTTTTAAGAAAATTTTCTTTCTTTTTATCAAATGAATATTAACTTGATGTATCTAAGAAATTTAATTTAATTTAATACAATACACGGGTAGGATGAGAGGATGATTTTTATCTTTACACTCAAGTGAGAAAAGCAAGCTACAGTTCCTGAACATCAGCAATTATTTCTTTTTTTCACATATAGAAAGTGATTTCCGGTATTCTTAGCTTAAAATTTCAATTTCTCTTTCAAATTCAGAGACGAAAGCTAAAAATATAAATTATTACGAAATTCTCAACGAATTTCTCCTCTCCTAGAATTTATGCTAATCTTTTTATATAAATAGAAATGCAAACAAACCAGGTCGTACATCCACAGCCGTATATGCATCAGACATATAATCATCGTCATTACTTGTTGTTGCATCATTCCAATCCATCATCCTTTATATTGTTGTCTATGATGTATTATAACTAAACATGTCCATATCAAAAAAAAATCTTTGTCAAATTTATAACACTTCCACGTGAAAAATATTAGAAAAAGAAAAAGAATGTCAAATAATATAATAATTATCAAAATTACGACACGTTTATTTAAAAATATTAACTTTATTTTTTACATTTCCCTCGAGTATTTCATCGTTTATTATTGCTGCTTATAAATCCTGCGTATTATTAAAGAATTATTGTAAAAGAATGCCTCATCGACCTTTTCCTGACGATTATTATCTGTCCGTCATTTTTTTATTCCCATACACTCAAAATCAAACATTTCAGATTCCGGAAGCAGAAAAAATCACCCACACTCCATTTTTACTAATAGACTTTTAACTCTTACCGTAGCCACCGTATTCCGAAAGAATTCACTACCACAATTTGTTTTGGCTTTAAAATACCGGGCCCTTTTGTTTCCGTCCAATTTTCTGAATAATGCGGAAGCAATTGAGTGGTAAGTTGACTGAGTATTTAACTGGGTGGTTACCGGTTCAGTTGTTCTGTTACCTTGGTTTCAGTCTTCAGATATGAGCGGTCGTAGAGGTGGTAGCTGTCGGGATGACGAAATACCGACATTATATGTACGACAGGTACATTACTCCGCTCGGTATGAATTTTTGCTTCGGCAACTTTATAAGCTTTTTGAAATTTCTTTATTTTTTTTAATCTTTTTTTCAGAAATCTTTTCATTATTTTTGCTTTAGATATGTTTTTTTTTAGTTTTGAGCATCAGTCAAGAAGTTTTTAGAAATATGGTCTATTCATTTGTTTGCTTATTTTTAGTTTTTTGTTAATCTATTTATTTATTTATTTGTTTTTTGAAAAATTGAAGTGTGGTGGGCAAAAGGAATTGTTTTAATTGGCTGAATGGTAAAAGACAAGTTTATTGATAGCGGTAAAGATGTGAAATTGTGTAAACAAATAGCTATCATTAGGTTTGGATTTATTGTAGCGATTTTGGTTATTAAGGTTTTGAAATCTTCGAGTAAGGTTGTTGATTAAACTGTGCAATTAATTTGCACGATTACTTTAGACGTTATTGAAGAATCCTTGCCCTGTTGACTTACGCATATAACCTTCAGATGTGATGATCTGTGTGTTTGTTTTTCCAGGCCTGATGATTTACGTGCTTTGTTCGAACGAATGGGACCTGTTCGTGATGTCTATATTCCGTTGGATTATTATACACGTGAATCACGAGGTTTTGCATACGTAAAGTAAGTGCTTTTAACAGATTCGGATTTTTTTTGGAGATTTCATCACTGTGATCCGATTTTTTAATTAACTTATTTTAGAGACAAAAAATACCACCCATTCTTTCCACATCTTTCTATTTTTAAATATGAAATTCACATTATTTTTTTCAATTAGGTGAAGTTGGAAAGGTGCAAACCTTCTCTCTTTCTGGTGTTTCAAGTACTAATTATCAAGCACATCTTCAAGTTCAAGTGTTGGGTATTGGTTGAGTAACAAGGAGGTTAAAGTTAACTATTGGGAGCTCAAGTACGGGTGGTATAGATGGCTGTACCGGTGATGACGATATACGGCGGGGTAAAATATATTCACTGGATATGAATTCTGTTACTGCTACGATGCTTTTCTTATTACTGCTGTGCTACCGTTACCACATTCATTACTACTACTAATCTCTATGATACAACAAACCACCCCTTTCCATACTTTTGGTTGTGCCAAAAAATTTCCTCGTTTTTAAGGTGTGTTTTTGGTAAGTTTTCCCATAGTTTATACTTGTACTTTTTAGCGTTCAGATTTTGGACTTTAAACTCGTCAATTTTCAGTACTATTCCATACTGTTAACTTATTGTCATAATTCATATGAAAGGCTCTTTGTTTCATAGAAGCAAATTATAGATTTGAATTCACACGGGATGCAGAAGATGCTTTGAGAGAGTTGAATGGTGCAAGCATTCTGGGAAGACGTATCGAGGTTGAATGGGCCGAAGGACAACGAAAAAGTATTGCTCGTAGTTATTATAATTAATTTTTTTGCTTTTAAATACTTTATTTGTTGGGTTTAAAATGTCTTTTAAAAAAAAATAAGTTCACGTAACTGAATGAATTATCCTCCCTTTACTGTTACCATTCGCTTTTAATCTGGTCGCAGATAATCCAATGATCTATCGCGAGACATTTGTTGCCGGTGGTAGTAAGATTTATTTGCTTCGAGCTTTTTTTGCTATATTAGTTGAAGCAATGTATTTAATTGTTGGATTATCTACGTTCTTCATTCCTGGTCACTGAACGGTAATATGTAGCAATCATTTCTCGAACCTTTCGTTAATGTATTACATGCATGAAAGCACCAGTTGTCTATTATCACTTTCAGCAAATGATAAGATCTTGCTGGAATTTCATGAGCAAAAAGGAGGGAGAGATATTAGAAAGGAAAGAAAGAGAAAATTTACGTTATATAATTTTTTCTAAGTTCTATCTTTTGCATATCTACACTCAACATCATAAAATCCTTATGATCTGACATTTCCGAATTAATTACTTCATTCTAGGAGTAGGTAAAACTTCAAGTTTTTCAGCAAAAACAGAAATGCGTGCAAGAGATTCCTATAGTTCATATCGTGTTCGAAGCCGGTAAACTTATTTCTTATATTGATATAATTTGAAGAAAACATGTAATAAATAATTTCTATTAATGAATTAGACGCTGTGAATTTTGACATATTCACTACTTTTTGCAGTTACCGCAGTCGCTCACCTTACAAGTCTGAACGTGAGCGTTCACCTCGACGACGATCACGTTCAAGGCGTCGTTCACATTCAAGGTCAAAACGACGATTACACAATTCACGACATTATTCGAAGTCACGACATCATCACGGCAGTACAAGATCAAGAAACAGTAGGAGCACGAGGTCATCATCGGCTGGCCATGTTTTATAAAATTTTTTTTCTTTGTTTTGTTTCTAGTCGTTTTCAAGGTTTGATTCGATCAGTCTCATTTCGCTTTTTTTTTTTTAATTCCATACAATCTGAATATTTTATAATTTTATTGCATCATAAAAAGTTTCATTTCCAGTGTTCGAAAAAAGCGAGATAGGAGTCAGAAAATAGAGAAATCGAGATCGCCGCCTGTTTCTGGATTATTACTACATTCATTAGATGAAATTAAGAATCTAAATGATGAGAAGCAAGATATTGTTGTGGATGAACACAAGTAAGTTCATTGAAGTAACTTTTTTTGTTTTTTGTCTTGCGTTTGCAGATTCATACCAGATCATGTAAAAATTTGGTACTTTTCACCTTATGCTCTTCATGAATTTATTTCGTCTGCTGGTATACGTAGTTTTTATAAAGCCCAGACCACTGATAGGGAATATTCAAGCAGGCTGCAGTTTCCAACTTTCTTTTTTGGATATCGATAGAGCTTTGAAATGTGATAACTTTAGCATTTTGAAAATTTCACATTGTTTTTACAAGTTGTAGTATTTCAAATCGACAATCTGCCGAAGATCTTAAAGAACCAATCGATGAACTGGAGATAAGAAGTGAGGCTCGAATCAGTGATATTGAAGTCGATGAAAAGCAAATTCAAGAAGCTGTTCAGACAAATGGAAGCATTAACAATATTGAGGATCATATCGGAGTAGAAGTTGATGGAAGTAATGCTTCAGCAACGGAAGAGAAGGATAAAGTAGTCACGGATATTGAAGTAATTGATGAGATTGTTGAAAAAAATGGCATTTTTTTCAATGATACGGTAGATGGTTGTCTCGATGATAATATTAATGTCCAGGAATTACTAATAACTGATACCACCAATTAATGGTGAACTTGTTTTAGTTATCATTTGATTTTGTCTTTTGTTGAATTTATATTCTAATTTCTTTCACTTGTCTTATTTTAAATTAATTTTCGAGATAAAATGAGCGATAAATAGGAAGGAAAAGAAAGGGGAAATGCAAAATGATAACTAAATAGCTAAGAAAATACCGAGGATAGATTTTAATTAACATTCGTTTGATGCAGTCAAGATTGAATGTTAATGGAAGAGTTGTTATCTGAGGAAATCAGATGATAGATTTCTGGAATATATTGATATTCGTATTCATATTCTTTTAGTACTTCTTGCTTAAGTAACACATTTATTTGATATCTAAGTGTTTTAATCTGTGATATCATTCGCAGCTGATGACAATTTACTAGTCGAATTTCGGTTAATTACACAAATTTGAGTCATTTTCATATCGAGCTCAATAGGTGAAGTCAGGTTATTAAGTAAGATTCATATCAAATGCTGGAACCTCTTAAATATAATGGAATCAATTTATCATTTAATGTTAATTCTTTTAGTATTCAAGAAAATAAGATCATTTTATAGGATTGATTATGGCACGATAATGGAGTTGTGTTTGAGAATCCACTTAATATAACTTACGGGTTTAATTTTCCGCTTTTAGTTCCTTTTCTGTTTGCTCTGATTTGTTTGTAAGCTCTCTCTTTGTCATATAATTATGAGTGATTAAGGATTTGTTTGTTTTCCAGAATATTAGTTTTACTGAGCATTCAAAATTTCGTATGTTTGTACATTTCTAAAACAGTGCCTAGATCTTCATACCTGTTTGACAAAGGAACAGAACATATATATAAATATATAATATTCATTTTTACAATAGAATAAGCAGTAAAATTGCGTCGGTTCATATTTAATTTTCTATTCTCGTCATATGATTATATCATTTTCATACGCTTCGGATTGTATCACGAATGAATTCCTGTTGTTTATGCTTGTCTTTTGGAAAATCCTGTCAAAGGGTAATGCTTTATGGAGGGGTGTGTCCTTTTTATGTCCTAGTTTTTCTTATATTTTTAAATCCTTCTCAGCTGTTTCCTTGTTTAAAATTTTGTATCTGATTTCGTTAATTATTAATGAAAAGAAATTATCATATAAAATATCAAATTCTTGTCTAATTTTCTCGGTCCTTTGCTTCATATTCACCATTTATATATCTCAAAGCACTACATCAAAGGTAGTTATCAAATTCAAAAGAAATGATGGTTTGCAATTTCTTTTTCGCGATTTCAACAGTCTGTTTCAGCACGAATAATTAGTAACTTAATGATTAGAGGGAAAACAAAAATTGCTTCACTATAAAAATTGCTTCAGTTGTTTACTCCTAACTTATTTCTAATTGGAAAACTTATTGGGGAAAAACTTATTTTCTCTAACTTATTGGAGAAAAATCGGGACAGTGTTTTTCACGTTTACAAAGAATACTGCTTTTATGAGATGTACAGCAATAATGATGCTTTAGTATTTCTTGTTGAGAAGGGCTTAATTCTTGACTGGTCCTTCCATTGCATGTTCAAGAAAAAACCGGAAAAATTAAGGATCATTATCTAGATTAACGCGCTTCCTTACCCAATTATCGGATTAAGATTCCTTTCTCTTAGTTGGCTATTTTAGTTTTATTTTCGGTGCTGCAATGTCAGTTTTGCGGCAGAAATTGCTGACCGATTTCTACCATTCACCGGATAAATATTATGAATCAGATGCTGTACCTCTATCAAATATAAGTTGCAAGTCGAGTTATGTCGCAGATCCAATCTGTGAAAGTGAAGGATTTTCCAAACCTTTATCATTAGTTGAAAATTATTCGTTATCGGTATCACCCACTAGAGCTAGTAGCTCGAAAGTTATTCGCACAGTTATTATATCTAAAAAAGAAAATAAAAAGAGACGGAGGACGCTAGCGGATGATCCAAAACAGATGATCCTGGATGCAGGACAAAAGCTATTCGGTCATCAGCAATGCAAACAGGTTTCTTTATAGGTTTTAACTATTCAGCAAGAAATGGTAAAAGAAAATAAAGGTTCATTTCAAGATTTTATTAAAAATGGAGGGTGAAGCATGGTTACCTGTGACATTTCTTATTAGTGAGATAGGCAGTAATTTCTCTCGTGATTTCATATGGATGATCTTAATGAAGAAATGAGAAGTGCGATTCTCTCTTATAATTGAATGTTCTCAGACAAACATATTATGCATCTTCAGTGTGGTATGGTATATGATTGCGATTCACTGTCCGATCGGAAGCAACACCAAGAATTTCACAGCCGTTTCCTATCAACCAGATGGTTTCGAGTACAGACCGCACAACTAGATATTTGGAAACGGTATAATTATTCTTTTCAGTATTTGAATTCAGATGTGAAATCTTTACTTGAGGTGTCAGAATTTCGGTTTGGCTTCCATACAGATGATTTTGTAATTGTAAATGAATTGAATATAAGCTACATTTTATATTATTACTGATGGCAATTAATCAATCTCAGAGCAGCAATCTTTTTCAGGGCTGTTTTTTGTATTGTTGAACAATTCGAAGGAAATTACAGCCACATATTTTGTATTACGCAAACATCAAAATGTACTCTGAAAGCACGTGTTGATAAGGTTTACCTTCTTTGTTGCTATCCTTTTTTTATATTTTAAGTGGACTTACGTCTTTGTATCATAGCATATATCTGTTGATATTTCGATATGCATAAGTTTATAACTAAATGATAGAATCTGGATGAATTTAGGCAGTCATTTTGGAACATATTTGTAAAATTTATTGGTATTTTTATTTAATTTATCGCATTAGCACGATGCATTTTTTTGTTATTTTTCCTGTATTTTCAGGTTATACAGGAATGCATCAACAAAGAATTAGGTTATGCACCGGATTTAGCGCAGGTCTGGACATCGGATGGTAGAAGACAGGCTTGGGTATATATTACAGCTTCAGACACTTATTACTTTATTGGTGCTATAGTCCTGGTTGAAAAGATATCTAAAGAACAGCTGCAACATACAGAGGTATATCCTTTTCATGCTTTCAATTCATTTTAATTTTGATTCAAATTATGTTTGTAAGAAAAAGCTTAGTTGATCCATATCTTGTTTCTATTATATCCTCCTTTCCTTTAAGAGAAAAATCCTGTAATCTAAGTTAATGCGCAATCTGATGTCTTTATAATATTTGTGATGCTTAACCACAGCATTAATAATTATTTTCGCTTAATTTCAAGGAAAACTGTGGAAGTAGTGATGTAGTTTCAACAAGCAGCAACGTATATATGGGTGTTAATCGAATTTGGGTGCATCAAACATTAAGACGCAAAGGCATTGCAGCATTTTTGTTAGATCATGCACGATTGCATTTTGTCAGTTCCGATTCTGTGCCACGTGAAATGATTGCATTTAATAGTTTAACTGATAGTGGTTTTGCGTTTGCTAAAAATTATACACCTGGAGGAAAGGTGCTTCTTTACAGTGTGAATCCTGAGACTCATCATTAAACAATCGATGATTTTTTTAATTATAATTAATCCACCCCCAAATTTTCATTAACACCGATTTAGACAGAATATTGGTAAATATTGGTATGCTTCCGGGTTTTGAATTTTTTTCAACATCAGTTGTAATGGACTTGAATTTCGTTTACAAGTTTGATAAAAATTAATTTTATTCAGTACTGTTTTTGGGTTTTTGAGTACATAAAATTTGAAGAGAGTGTCTTAAAAAACTTTTTCTTTTGTCTTTATAACATTTGCTCATATTTAATGAAAAAGTAAGCTATCAATCATGTCTGATATTACTGTTTCAACGATGTATTAGATGGTTTTATCCTCTCTTTAAAAAACATTAGAAAAGTGAAAAGGAATTCTTTTTTCATACTTCTTATCAACATTTTGCATGAGTCGCGCGATCAGCCCATAGATGAATTGTAATTTGTACTTTTTCGAAAGTATCTTACAAGAAATCAGTTACTCGAATCGTATAAAACAAATGTAAGATAAAGGAAAAAGCTTTGGGGAAATTATTTTTTTTGACAATATGCGTGCTATTAATAATTGCTATTAATAATTAAGAGGATGTCTGCACAAAGGAAGGATGGAAATAAGCAAACACACTAGTACTCTAATTGACATTCCAACAAAACGATCAGTATCACTTGATTTTTAGGATTTAAGAATATAGATATAGAAGATTTCAAAAAATAGAAGAAGGAATTACTGAATTGGTAACTGTTTGATGAGATGATATAAATTAAACAAATTGAAACTTACATTTCAAATGAAATGAACTGTAAATAACAAGCAATTGTTAGGACATTATGGTACTTTTATTTCAACATTATTCTTCTTGTACGTTTTGGTTATTGTTATATATATTTCTCTTTTCATTATTACCATTGTTTTTACAGCTTTCTTATACACATAATTTATTATTGGTATTATACAGCTTTATTGTTGATACATTCATGGTTATATGATATAACAAAACAATTTGTGTTACAACCAATGATTTAATCGATAAATTAAAAAAAAAACAAATGTTCGTAATTGGATTAGATAATTTAATATTTTTAAAATTAAACTTGAGTATTTAATATTTCCTAACAAACTAATCATCTTTTCTTTCTCTTGCTTTTTCATTTCTATTTCTCATATTTTTTGTTCTATCAATAATTTGAATTGTCTGGAAAGAAAAAGGAAAATGACAAACTTGAAAAACTTGTAGAATAATATGCTGAATAATATAAATACAATCATCTAGAAATATTATTTTTCCAAATTACCCTTAATTCTTTGACCTTTCTAATAATATAATATAATAGAAGAAGTGCATTAATTTTCTTTAAATTAGCCATTATCACTGATCGAATCTGATCGATCAAATGTGATAATAATTTAGTTTTTTATTGTAATACATTGTTTCAAAAATTTATTAAAATATTGAAATTTTAGGCATAAAAAGTATGAAATAATTTCAAAAAAAGTATAATTTTAAAATATGTAAAGTTTCTGTTTAAATTATTCGATGCTATTTTAGATACTGTTGTATTTTCTTTAATTTCTTCAACCATTTGATCCGGATAGACTATATCCATTGTGGAAATATACGTTTGTTCCCTTTTCGTTTCTTCATCAGCTGTATAGAAATGAGAATTTTGATTAAGAATATGTTTCGTTGTGTAATTATCAATTAACAGCTGATGATAATTGTTATTAGATGATGATGATGATGATGATGGTGATGATGTTGGTTTTATTGGTCTTTGTAGTGATGACTCCAACTCATCTTTATAATCAGGATCTGCTATTTTGATTGGAATCAAATCTGAAAAGATAATGGAAAACTTTCAGCAGAAAATTAAATATAATAATTAGAGGAAGGTAACTTTATGATGGGAAAAATTACAAATATTAATCTAAGAATAAGTTCAAAATTAATTGTATTTTAGAATTTCTAGCTATTTATGATTCATTTCCTATCCTCTTCCATCCATAAATATTCTTCATTAATGAAAATGAAGAAAACTGATTTTCATTAAGATTTTTTAATTTTTAAATTGTGAAAAAATTATGTTATAAGGATGGGAAAGTAGTAGTTATGGCATTCATTATATCTATCCCCTATTCGTAGTAAAGAAGAAAAATCATAAATTTGAAACAGAAAGTTAATTTAGCAATTACTCCAAAAGCAGGTAAACTATAAAGAATTTCTCTGTGATAATTTTATGTTGTAGACTTAGAAAAAATTCCTATGAATTGGAAAAATAATTTTTGTCTAATAATTTTGCCATACTTATAACTGATAAATGTATAGGAATTTATAGAGCAAAAAGTGAACAAATACGATATGATCGTACGTGAGATATCTCGTGAGTGAATACGTCTAATAGTTGTAATATACGTAAATGACAATCGATATATATAATACAGCAAAAACTTATTTTAAAAGAAGGAAACTTCAATTTCGTTGAAGTCATTTAACATTCATTATTATATGTATACTTAAATGGTTTATTTATTTGTTGCATACATTACGAAATAACTTTTGTTTATTTTTTTTAATTATATATACTAACCTTTCAATGATGATTCATCATCAATTTCCAAATTCATTAAATCAAAAGTGAAATGTGCTTCATTTTCATTCAGGTAATCGTAATCAATCAATGGATTATGATTGATCATAGATGCATTTATAAGTGGTACATTACCTTAAATTTCTTTTTTCGAAATATGAAGTTTAAAAATAAATTTTCAATTTTTATTCCATTAAAGTTATTTAGCATTTATTACTATATAAATATACTTAATTAATTTACTCATTTATTGCATTCATTACTAAATTACTTTTGTTTATACTTTTTATTATGCACTAAATTTTCAATAAATTACATAAAGATCTTAACTGTTATTCAATAGTAGTAAATATATTATTCTAAATATTTTCCTATTATTCATTATAATATCATATTATATTATTTTTTTTCTTGTTTACATATTATTGTTTATTATTTTTATAAGTAAATAAAATAATCATATAAAAATGATTACCTTCTAATGGAAAACGTCGATCACGTAAATGATTGCAAAAATCTTGCAAACATATGCAATGTTTTCCTTTACCATTTCGTTCCATCCAACATTTTGCATCGTTCATTTTATTTTGTTTACGATAATGATTGGGAAGATTTAATAAGCAAAATGCTGTTGTCAATAATATATCTTCACCTTCATCTAAGACAAGGAATAGAAATAAAATTTCTTTCATTTCATTTTTTTTAAATTAAAATTTCATTCATTCCAAATGAAACATTTTTCATTCTTTCGTAAAAAATCAATATTTTTGAAATTTTTAAAATAAAAGGAAAAATAATCTAAAACAATGAAATAATTAAATTATCATAATAATGGAAATTATTGTATTAGTATTTCATTTTATTTTATTCCATATTACTTAAATAAGAAACAAAAGAAGATTAATTATTTTAATACAAATAATTGGAATAATTTAGTTGATTAAAACTAACATAATAAGCAAGCTTCACCCGTACAATTCTTCCATTTGACACATTTTTCATTGGATGGGCCAGTATCGTAACAATCATAACATAACAATGATTGCGAATAACGATTTAGCAATAACAGAATAATGAATCCAAATTGTTTCATTTTCAATTGCTTATAATAATATTACATTTCTTCTCTCTCTCTCTCTCTCTCTTTCTTTATTCATATTTTATTTAAGGCAAATTTTTCTGTTTTATTTAAATTTCTTTTTAAGTAAATTCGTCTTTTTTTGTTTTTAGTAAATTTTTAGGAATTAATTAAAAGGAATAGATAATTAAAAAACAAAAAACATTTATTTACTTACTTATTTTGCTCTCTTTCTTCTCTTCTCTTCTCTTCCTACCACTCTTATTCTCTTTAGATTAATTCCCCTAAAAGAAAACAATATTTAACTAATTACAAACTTCAATACATCGCATTTCAATTTTGCAAATTTATTTTATGTCTACAAAAATAAGGAATCAATTAATAATGATCGATTCAATGAACAAATGATTCATTCTTCTCTTTACTATTATTAATTTACTGAATTATTATTTCAATTGCTTCGTTAGAAATTTAAAACAATTGAAAATTGTCACAAAGAAAAATTCCAACAATCATAAAAAATTCAATTATTTTATTTATATGAAAAATTTAAATTTAAATAAATAACCTTTTTGTGAATAAATGAAATTTATAAAAATTAAAATATCATATTTGCGTGAGAAATTAAAATTTATAAAAATTGAAATATCGCATTTTCATATACAAATTATTGATATATTGGAAAAGAATAAAAGAAAGAAGAGGAAATGATTAATTGGATAAGCCTACGATATATGTGATTTTTCGCTTTTTTAAATTTTCATTTTGTAGTGTGCCTTTTTTCTTTGAAGAAATTACCGGTAAATCATTAATAATTCCTCGGAGAAATTACTGGTAAATTATTGATAATTCCTCGAAAAAATTACCGGTAAATCATTAATAATTCCTCGAAGAAATTACCAATAAATCATTAATAATCAACGATGATAGGATGGTGAAGCTCAGATCAGAGAAGCTATGAGAGTTGTGCAAACAAAAATTGAAATAATTAATAAAAAAAGAAATAGACAATTAAATATTAGAATTCTCAATATCTAAACCGATGGAAAATTAAAATTTCAAAAATTAACAAAAGAAAGATTGAAAAAATAAATAAATGAATTAATTGATAAATTAATTAAGTATAAAAATAGAAAGAAAGGTAATTGTTTAAAAATATGATAACAAAAATAAACAATACAATCAATAAACGAAATATGCCAACTTCAATTCTTTCCTTCAGCCTAACAAGAAAATGTCGTAGAAAAATACGAAGGAAGCAATCAATAATTCTTGAATTTTAAACTTATTTTCACGAATGAAATATTGTTCAAAAAACAAACAATCTCATTTATTAATAATTTAAAAATGATAAATAAGCAAAAAAAAAAACAGAGAGAGAGAGAGAGAGAGAGAGAAGGAAGATGAAGAAATCAATAATATTTATCTTATTTCATAAATAATTCAATTTTTTTTTCAAATTTAATTTAATATTATCAAATATAATAATAAATGAATTTAGTTCACAAATAATAAATTTCGAAATTAAACGTTGAAGAATTTTGTTTGGAAATATTTTTCAATGATCGAAATTATTCAACGAAATTGTGATATGTCTAAAATCATATTTAACAATGTTAATTGAAATTTTGTTATTTACTTTTCCTTTGGTTTATTAGCTTATAATTTAGACAATGAAATTGACAACTTTTCCTGACAGTTTGCTAATTGTTAATTGAGAAAAAAAAATCCATTCCAAAAGTTTTTGCTACAATTGAAGAATGATTAATTGAAAGAAAATAAAATAATGTCAAACAGTTGTCGAAAAAAGAAACGCTGTCAGGAAGGCACAGTAAAACTTTATTAAATTTAAACAATACTCAATAGAACTATAATAATGCATTTGAAAATTAACTTTAATTGCACACATTAGATCGAATATTAATTTTAATAATTATGCATATTAAGTGGAAATTGATGTCAGCGAAAGTCATTTTAAAAAGAAAATTAAATTTAATGATATAATATTGAAAATTGAATTGAAAATTAATTTTAATTACATTTATTTAATTAATAAAGAAGCAGCAATTGTTTTTACTTAATTTCAATATAATTTTAATGAATATATTAAAATTAATTGTTGTATTTGATATTTTCGTTTAGCATTGAAAATGACTGCATTTCAAATTTTTTTGTTTAACAAAATTTTTGTGTAAGAAATTTGATATATTTTAAAATAGAATTTAAATGGCTGTAAATAGTAGTAATCTGTTGTCGTTTGTTGTGGTACTTTTATTGAAGAAAAGAGTGGAAATGCTTTGTTAAATGCAAAAAAATTGGCGACACTTTCCTCTTTTCTTTATTTCATTTTTAGCTAAGGTTGGCAACAAACTCTTCTCAAACTTTTTTAAATTTAAATGCATTAAAATTTAAATCAACTGGCTTTAACGAAGAAAAAGAGAATAATGCAAAAGGCTTGAACTTTTGGGGGAAAGATTTCAATAATCTTAGCAATTGGAAGAAAAGAAAATGTGAAATTTAAATGTAGGATAGGTTTGTATGAATGAGTTGTATGAATGAATGAATCATTTAACTTACAAATTTTACTTGAAATTAAATTACGAATTTAAAAATTAAAATGAAGAAATTAATGAGTACAATTATAAAATGTAAACTAAGTAACAATAAAGTTGGAAATAAAAATTGATCATTTCATAGTAAACAATAGAATTGACCTAAAATTAAAGGAAATTTTTGATATTTTTAATATCCAAAAGTCGAATTAATAATCTATAAGAAAATAAAATTTCAAATTATTGATTTCATATGTAATTGTATATTTTTCAAAAGAATTAAAAATTTTGCAATTTAGTTTTAAAATCTAATTTAAAGTTTGATTCAAATTTATCCATGTCGTATCTGACCGATATTTTTGCTTATCCGAAAAATTTTCACACATTTTATATTTGCCCTCCAATATTTTATGATTATGATTATTACTACGTTGTTATTTGCAACTATCATATTTCACTGACAATAATAATGGTACTCTAATTATGATAATAAATTTTATTTCAAATTTTAAATAATAAATTTGGTGAAATATTCAATTAACAAAATAATTATAAAATATGAAAACTTACAATTAAACGAGATATTATAGGTAGTCAAAAATTCTACTTAAAATTTCATTAATTTGATTAAATAATTAGTTTAATGTAAAAAAAAAAAAGCGAAATAAGTTTAAAAATCAATCGTAGGCGATCGTAGATGATCAAAAATCGAATTGCTAAATTTGATTAAGCAAAACTAATTAGTAGGAAAAATGCAAGTTGGATTGATTGAATTAATACTAAACAACATGAATCGATCAAAGTGATATAAATAAGATGAGTTTGATCAGATATGATAAATAACGAAAAGCAGTAGTCAATAGCACTTCGTTTTGTTGTTTTCTGTCAATAATATAAAGAGGAAACATTATATACTATTCTTCACGAAGCACACATACATATATACATGTATACATACATACATACACATACATACTCTCTTCCTATCTCTCTCTCTCTGTCAAATGACTTCCATTAACTCAATAAATAAACAATAAAACAATGATTAGAATTAAAAAATAAGAAGAGATTGTTGCTAAGGCTATATGAATTGATTATTTCCATAAAAAGTATAGTGCTTGCACTTTTCTCTCTCTCTCTCTCTCTCTCTCTCTCTCTCTCTCTCTCTTTCTTGATAGACACTTTTTGAAAGTTAAAAAATTCAAATTAAAAATTAAGAAATTCAAATTAGTGAACAAATATAATAATTGAATATTTGAAAATCTTCAAGCAACTTCATTTCGAATTTAGTGAATTTTAAAATGATGACTAAAGATGATTGAATTAAATATTTTAATAATTCATAATTATCATCATTATAATTAGATCATTAAATATTTAATAATGATAATGATAATTTTTATATTTCTATCAAATTTTAAAAGTAAAAAGTATTAAGAAAAATCGCATTATATAAAATAATAATAATAATAATAATAATAATAATAATAATAATAATAATGTTAATGATAATGATAATTTCTGTAATATTCGAGCATTAATTTAATGACATAAAAATTCAATTAATAATTTGACAAAGCATTCATTAATTTCCCGAGAATTTCCCAAAGGTATTAATTTTCCAAAAAAAAAAATTTCTATTTGGAATAAAAATAAATACTATAAAATACTTTATTATCATTTTCTTTTTACCTCACTATCATTGATACTATATGCAACAAAAGAAATTTTTGATATTCCGAGAAATTTCATTTGATTTTTTCATTTTCCCCTCCCGCTGTTTATCAATTTCTTTGATATAGAAGTTGTCTGGTAAGTATCAATGTAAACTATGATGATAGTAAGTTAAGCTGTAAACAACATCATATGATGATTGTGATGTTGATCATTGTCATTACTGTTGCTATTGCTATTTTTTATGATAAAAACAATGGCCAAAAATAATTAGTCATAATGAAATGCTTGTTTATATAGAATTTGCATGATATTTTAATTAAATGATAACAACATCATCATTATCATATCAAACATTCGATCAGACAGCAAAACACTGAATAATGATGACATACTAAATTTAGCTCATGAAATGATATTATTTTCCAATTTATATTTTATATTCATATAATTATATTTGTATATTATTTCGCCAATTAATTTTTCAGTTTTTTAGGTCATCGAGGCGAAGAAATATATATAAATCAAAAAATATAAAGAAAACAAAAATAATAAAAACGGATGGAACGAAATAATTAATCTTTTATTCATCCGAAATTAAGTACCAACAAAATGATTCGATACCTTTTATTGATTTCTCATTATATTTTACCTTTCAATATTTTACAACAGGCAATAATTGATTATATATATGCATTTATGTGCACTTATATTATATATATATATATATATATATCAATCCTTCCAATACCAAAATTTGCATCTTACATTTCTTAAATTTAGGATTAT